GAGGTTCAATACAAAGATGGGAAACACATCCAACAGGTTTCGAATACAAACCGCCCGGTGTATTTGGAAGAGGAGGAAAAAAAGTTACTTTAAGAACCAAACTCTGCTGTAAGTTTACAGTTTTATCTTCCTTCTTCAATTACAATTAGTGCACTGTATTCTTACAATATTATAGAATCAGGGGTAAATCTTTATATAACATGCTAAACTAAACAACTGCTTGACATCTTAGTGGGAATATTATAGTATCTACAAATCACACAGCAATGATTTGATAACATTGAGTTTCTGTTTGTACAAACCAGTCCCTGATGGACACTGCTGGTGTTTTCATAGAAAACAAGTTCAAGGGCAGTTTCCCAGACAGAATAATTTTAGGAAAGACGGAAGAAAGCTGAACAGTTGAATAAAATCTTCCCCAACTTCATCAAGACCACAATCCTCATCATGATCTTTAACATCACTACCTTCATCATCATGATCACCAATATCATTGGAATCATCAATATCACCACCATAATCATCATACATATTATAAATAATGTATACTACATATATAGTACTATTAGTAATTTACTATTCACATACATAATCAACAATTGAATTTTCCTGGGTGAAGGCCACATCCATCTTCAGCTACAATAACTGAATAGAAAACAGTAGTAGTTCTTCTCCCTGTAACTAAGAAAATAATAGCAACCAGAAATAATACATTGCAAGGTAATGGTGTGTGTGTGCATGCGTGTGTTTGATCTTCCATTAGGCCACACGCATCATCAGCTCCTCTAGGGCTCGCTCACGGTGGTTTTCATGGACCAGCAGCACTTCTTTGATGGCGTTCTGCTGGAAGCCCATCTCATTGAACTGACCCAGCAGATGGAGGAACTCCTCTGCCTATAAGACAAAGAATGTTTTTAAAAAAAAAATAAAATGAGTTTCAAAGGCAAAGTTGAAAGTTGTGTTGTCTCTAATGAAAGGCTCATGTAGCGGTGTAGGATTCTGCACGTCTTACCTTTGTTTCACAGTTCTGAAACATCTCCAGAGCTTCTTCAACCAAAGCCACATCATAACCCAGCTGGCATAGACGGTCACAAGCCACCAGGTAACTCAAGATCTAAAAACACACATAAATATTCCAACATCTTGTGGGTAATAAAACCCAAAATGAACTTTTAAAACTTATTAGAAATAATAATACAGTAATAACCACAACTAATGTTTGACCACGATCTACCATTAGTGAATGAATATTCAGATGTTTCACTTAATTCAAGTAAACACATGAAGGTACAATCAGTAAAATGTCTCCTTTGATGGATGCATGTTATGTGGGTAACATACCATAGGAATATTATTGTATTGTCTTTTACTGTTGAAGCTGCTGAAGGTGGAACTAACGCATTTGCATTATAATGTAATCTGCTGATTGTTTTCTTTCATCATTGATTATTTCATTTGTAAAACAGAATGCTGCCATCACAATTACTCAAAACTCAAAGGGACAGATTTTTTCCCACAAATAGCCCATAGCTACAATTTAAAAAAATATTTCTTAAGAGAAAGCAGGAAGGTGGAACCATGAAAAGTAATAAAAACGCCATATACTGTATACATATATATATATGTATATATATGTATATGTGTATATATATATATGTATATGTGTATATATGTGTATATATATATATATGTATATGTGTATATATGTGTATATATATGTATATGTGTATATATATATATATATGTATATGTGTATATATATATATATATATATATATATATATATATATATATACATAATAAGCTGTAATTCCAGCTGTCAGATACATGCAGCGTATTTGAAGAACCTGAAGAAAGGTTCTTCATAGACCCAATTGGTTCTAAAAATGGTTCTTTGAGTAACTGATTTTATGAAATGTGAAAAAGGTGTACATTTACAGAGGGTCACAATGGAATCAGGGTTCCAACCTTTTTTATTTGAGGATCTTTTAAATCATCTACATACACAGCAATGATTATCATCAAAATGATCATGATAAAACGAAAACCTGCAAATGTACAACACTTAACTCTATCATTAATTAATGTAATGTAATTACTGTAATCTGTGTGCTACATGCAACAAGAAATGTTTAGAGAATTTGCCACTCTGCACAGCTACAGGTACCTATGTGTTGATCTGCAGGATTAAAGCTTCCAAAAATTATTTTTTTTTTCAGCTGACAAGGGTACACATGATTAAAAACACAATAGAGCGCCAACACGACAGCCATTGGCTAATTACATGTCTGCATCTTCGGTGTCGCTGCTGCTCAGGACATTTGTGGGTGTGATGCATTTTCTTTGAAGGCCGATGGTAGGAGTATCACTGCATTCACCAACTGGCCTGCAAATTACAAATCTTTTTTTTTTTAAAGAAGAAAAAAGTCATAACTCTGTTTCTAAATCTCTGATTCAAAGGCTCCCACAGAAAGGCCTACAGGTATTCTTTAAGACCATTCTGTTCCAGTCAAAGAGAGACCTTGCCAACTGTCCATAGATTTGCCATTTCCTGTTGAATAAACACTAAAAGCATGTACAAAATATAATTCAATGAAGCTGTGAAAATCTTAGCTTATGCTCAATTCTGGGTTAGCAGCATCCACCATGTATCACTCATAACAGTATTTCTGTCTGTTTTGGAGGTGACTACACACAACAGCATAAGCATTTTGGAACCATAAGGCTTGCGTAAAAAACAAGCTCAATTAATAAATGTAATTTAACTTACTATCATCAACTCAGACACCGGAAGCCAGCACCAAAATCTGCGTTGCGTTTCGGTCTGGTAGATACCGGTCATATAGGGACCAGTACCCAACCCTCGTATTCAAACAGTGTCCCGTTTCATCCTCCACAGTTGGTCAAAAAGCATAAATGAAAGTTTGTCTACTACTATACTGTGTAAATACACAACAATCAGGAACTTGGCATTAACATTACATGATATAGTCAGAAAATGTGGCTCATAGTATAAGCTGCCTTCAGTTCATAGCGCTCACTAAGCTCTAATCCTACAGACTGCTCTTCAACAGTTACTAACTAGTAAGTAGCTTTCTCACCTTAACTTACAAGCTACAGTTACAAAAACAAGTTTGTTAACGGTCTTACCCCCCCAGCCAGCTCAGCTGCTGGTCGCTGTCAGTCAAATATTGAGCCCAATCTCTTAGATAACTGAAGGGCCATTTTTTTAACATTAGCTTTCAGCAATTGGAAATAACGTTAGTCCGTTGACTAGCACTATGTTGTTTTCAACCGTGTGCAGTTAGCCAGCATGTAGCAAGGGCATCGTTTTGTTTAAATTGGTAAAAAAGTTAATGGCTTAATAAAGAATAGTTGATAGCTTAAGTAATTATATAGTTTATATCTAGACATGCATGGTGTTTCCAGCAAAGCTAATGGCACCAATATTGTATGTATAGTAACACTCAGATAAAATGACTGTGACATGACAAAGAGAAAAAAGAGCAATACTTTCCTGTAATAACCAATATCTTCCATCACTTACCTTAAAACGACCGCTGTTAGTTAGGGGGTTACTGGTTTGAAAAGACATTGGTCAGTCGAGATGGAGTGTCACGTGGAAGTACTCTTTAATATCTCAAAAAAACATTTAATTACCCAAAGAACTATATAAAAACATATAGAACAATCTAACAGATCAAATTGTTTGTTAGAAGGTGATGGTTATTTATAGAACCACACTGCCTTCTAAAGAACCATTGAAGAACCTTGTGTGTGCTATTAAGAAAAGATGGAGGGAAAATATGAATAGCCTATATGTAGCTCATATAGTTACAGTAAAGCTTCTTAATGTGATGTGATGTATAATGTGATTGCTGAAAAGTGGGCAGTTTTAGCGTTTATTGCAAAAAGTTGGTACAGAAAGCTACAACAAGAAAAAATGAGTTTGTTTAACCGGCTCCCATTTGGGATTAGCTAAAATGCAGACACATGTCCAATTGCGAATTAATGAAGGTCTACAAAAGCCAGTATATGTTAGAATATTACATTTGTGTTTGATGATGCCAACTATTGTCCTCTAAGATCCAGTGTGTATGATTCTGGTTGCTTTATTAAGAATCCTACTATGACTTGGTATGGGCAGCCCTAAACTGCGCGTCTGATGGCTTATACTAAAAGCCTTCATTGATTGGGTTGTTAGGTTGAGTTGAGGCCTGTTGGAGGAAAACCGCCCTGGGAAGTTTTGGGCGGCAGCAGCAGAGGCGCTGATAAACTGAGAAGGGCTGGAATACTGTGATTCAAGATTAGGGTCACCCAATTTCTGCTCGTCAAATCATGTTTATGTACGTGGTAGTACTGTTTGTGGGTCTGTCTGTAGGGCAGACAGTAAATAAATTCAGAGCTCCTAAAGTGTGTGATGCTGACTGACTTGATCTGGGGTCTGCTGCCCAGTCTTCTGCAGGGCAATGATGGCGGTGCGAAGGGGGTAACCCTGGTCAGTGATGGCCCCCAGTAGCTCTCTCTCTTCTGGGCTCAGAGCTGACAGGAGCTCTGCTGACGAGTCCAAAGCGGATGACTTCTAGGAAACAAAAGTCCAGAGAGTGAGTGTGGACAGAGGAGAGCCAGGCAGTGAGAATAGAAAGCAGCAGCCACTCAGACATATCCAATCTGATCAAATGAACGGACGTAGAACCAAGGCAGGCTAACGTCCATAAGGCCCTTACATTATTTCATCATCTAGGTCAGGGGTGCTTAATACGTTGATCGCGATTGACCAGTCAATCTCAAAGGCAGTACCAGTCGATTGGGTGCCATCAATAATAAAAAAATGACGTCACGCACGCACGGTCTACCGACCAAAACTAATGGTGGTGCTAATTAGCGATCCTTGCTTACTAACGGACGCATTTAATTTTATTCCAAAGCAACCCAGACTGACTTTAGTAAGGTAATGACCAAGAATGTGTGGGATGCTTGTGACAGTTTCTTCTGACAGATGAGAGGCTTGTTGTTTTCTTCATATCGACTTGTTTTACGCTTACGGCGTCACCGCTACTATTTACTGGTCGGACCCTTGCCCCCCCCGTCAGCTGGCACGGAGGTTGGGGTGGGGTAGATCGCCATGACCTGGTTAGTTGAAAAGTAGCTTGCGAGCCAGGAAAAGTGTGGGCACTCCAGATCTAGGTCCAGATGTCTCAATGTGGCAGCAGCTCTTTGCATGCCTTTAAAACTATAAACTCCATCCAGCCACTCAAATATAAAAGGTTGAAGCTCTTATCTTCCAGTTCTGAAAAGGTTTCTGCAATCCGCTGTTACGAATTTCCCTTACAAATAAACAAGAGGGCGTTCTCTGCAGGGAATTCCCTCAGACGTGTTCTTTTACCTCGGCCATGCCAGCATTTGTCTGACACTATAAAATTATTTTGATTACATTTTAAAGTGGTGAAACCCCTTTAAAAGGATATCTTCCAGCTGCTCCCGATGAACCTCTTTTAACCTGGCTGGATTTAGGGAGCAGATTTTACACATTACGCAGCAGTCTATTTTTAGAGTGTAGTCTTTAGAGAGCAGATCCCTGAATGTATTTTGTGTTTGTAAGTGTGAACTGATAAAATGGTTGGGATTGATTTCCCCTTTGTTTTGACATTCATGAGCCAAACAAAAGGACATCTAAAGACTGAGTTACGGCCAACTTGAATATAAATACAAATGCTGCTGTGTTGACCAGACAGGGTGTGTGGGAAGCTACATTCGGCGTTGTTGCTGGATTATGTGTGAAGATTTATAGTACGGATCAGTATTCATAGTCTGCTCTTGCAGAGTGAAGCGTTGACTACTACAGATTCCAGAGCATTATCTTTTCCTAACTCTCACTATAAGCTCTCTGTTATTACAAACTTAAAAGAAAAGCAGGAAATTAGAAGGCGGACCCATAAAAAGCTATAAAAACGCCATGTTTACATTAAATAACCAGTAACTCCAGCTGTCAGATATATGCAATGTAGTTGACGTTGAAAATGCTGTGAAATGAAAATACAAACACTTCAAACGTACAGTACTTTCATAACTTTGATTACTTTCCACTTCGTCATCTGGTTAAATGGTCATAATGTAATAACTTTTCATTTCATGTCATGTAGTGTAGTGCTGATTAAAGTCATCTGAAACCAGATGGCCCGGGCTCGTCCGGGATGTTGGCACCCCGCTGCTCAGACCACCCTGTGGTTGGTGATTGGGGTGTGGTGTTGGGGTGAGAGTAAGGCTTAGTTTTGTTGTCTTTCCTGGTAGTTGTTGTTCTGTCCTTTAGTTTGTAGTATTGGTAGTTTGTAGTGTTCGTTGTGCACTGAATAGTGCAGGGTTGTGGTGTGAGCATGGCAACTTCTTCAGATGTGGCAGGCTTCATTGCGGAGCCCTCGTTGGGTTCATTGGTTAACCTGCGTAAGGTGGATTTGTTAGCGCTAGCAGACCACTACAATCTTACAGTTGAAAGGCAGGCTCATAAAGAGAAGTTGCTAATGATGATCAAAGGCCATTTATTGAGTCTGTCTAGGGCAGGAGTTATGGCTGTGGTGGATGTGAAAACAGAGGATGAGGAGGATGAGGGCCCCGTAGAGAATCTCTCGCCAGCAAGGCCGAAGGGCAGTGTTGGAGATGGGGAAGCTCCAGCGCCTCAAACTCTGCCAAAGTACGCACCGTGGTCTCCTGAGTTCTCTGAGTCTGTAGAGGTTGCTCGGCTAAGGCTGAAAACGGCCCGGCTGGAAGCAGACCAAAAAGACAGGGAAAAACCTTTCAACGGTGGTAGCGTCCCTAACTACCTTTTCTCAGTCCCAAAGTACCCTTTAAATGGTCCGCAGAGCTGCACTCTGCGGACCTTATTTTTTTGGGGGGAGGGGGGCGTGTTACGTCCCCAGAGTTCTGGGTTTGTATAATGATTCTGATTCGGGGATTGCTTGAGATTTAATGTTCGAAATCCTACAATCCCTATTCAGAACCCATCAAATGCAGATGGCAGTTAGGTTTGTGTGGGTCCCTGCCCATGTTGGAGTCGATGGGAATGAGGAGGCGGATAAAGCAGCAAAAAGGGCGCTGAAGTGTGGGAGAAATATAGTCGATATAAAGATGAGTAAGGCAGAAGCTAAAGGGGTGATTAAGGGACAAATCAAAACGATATGGCAGAATGAATGGAATAAAGGGAGCAAAGGAAGATAACTGTTTAAAAATAAACCATTGGTTGGGAGTGTAGGAGCTGGGGGACGAAATAGAAAAGAGGAGAGGGTAATGACAAGGCTAAGAAATGGTCATACTGGTCTTAACAGTTATACCCTCTATACGATACCCTCTCTATACGATTGGGAAATATCGAAATGGAAGGTGCGAGCACTGTCAAGAAGAGGAAACATGTTTTGATGGCATGTCAGAGGTACGAGGCAGAGAGAGAAGTCCTGAGAAAGGGGCTAAGAGAGCTGGGTGAGGCAAATATAGGCAATATACTGAAGAAGGGCTTTAGGGACAAGTGTTGGGAACTGCTGTTGGCATATTTAGGGGAAACAAGACTAATGAATAGAATTTGAGAATTTTTGTTTTGTTTTGTTTTGTTTTGTTTTGTTTTTTGTTTTGTTTTTGTTTTTTGTTTTGTTTTGTTTTGTTTTTGTTTTGTTTTGTTTTGATTTGTTCTAGTAGAGGTTTAATTTTTTTAAGTCCACACTCCAGATTAGTGGGTGGCGGTAATGCACCCTAAAGTTGTTTGCCAACCGCCATAAACAGCAAAAGAAGAAGAAGAAGAAGAAGTTCTCTCTCGCTGCTAATGCTGTTACCTGCTCTTTGGTTTGTACCCGGTGTGGGGATATTTCGATTTCGGTAGTTGGTGTTAAATAACCTAACTTGTGTTCCTTTTGGAACTTGTATCAGCAGGAGGGAGCAATTGTTTGTTTGTATCCGTTTGACTAATTATTTGTTTCCTCTTTTGTTCACAGGGAGTGGGGAGTAGATTGAGCTACCCCGGGGTATACATCACCCGTAGGTTTACTTTACTTTTAAGAGTTTAGACCTGGGCGGACCTGGGTGGACCACCACCTGTACGTTTGGTTAGGGCGCCTTGACCGTGTGCCAGGAAGACTGTATTTTCTATTGGGGGTTAGTACAGGTTAGTGGTGGGGACCTTTTTGTTTATTTTTGTTTTGGTCCGTCCAGCCCTCCCCTTTTCCCAGAAAGTTAATAGTTTATTTTTGTATATTTATTACCGTGCTTAGATAAAAGCGTTTATACGGTATTTGGTGTTTGTGTCCGTTTCTCACACCGCGAGTCCATACCCCTTTTGCTGGCATCGGTGGGCCCGAGCAGTGGTTGTCATGTTCCCCTCCCTTTTGGGAGCTGGAACGTAACACCAGACTATACACTTTGTGAAACCACTAGAGATGCCAAAAAGTCATACCAAATGAATGATCTGCATCATCACATCAGTGCTGAAGGACCATTCAACTAAACACTGCAACACATCCTGGAACTCTGTAAATGCTGCTACTTAAAAGGATTAGCCTACTATGAATGTAACTGGAGTTCCTTTGGTTCCCTCAACATTACAATGTGTAATTCTTACCATGTGTGTTGTGCTGTGGTTGTTGGTGCTGGGAAGCCTATCAACTGTATTGGCTCTGATGTTGAGGGCTCGGCTGATGGGGGTCCAGTTTGAAATCGGGCTGTCTGTGTTGGGGCCGTGGTCTTGGGACGTTTCCAGCACTGACAGGGAGCACTGTCGCAGGTTCTTCCTGCGCTGGTGGGGCAGGCTGCTGAGGCAGGCAGGAGGGTTCAGGAGGTCTGGGACAAAGGCTCTCTGTGCTTTCCTTTGACCAGAGCAGGCTTTCACTGAAAAATATATCTTGTCTTTCTCTGAGGCCTCATCCTCTGAGTCAGAGACGGGCCCTTCAGTGCGCAGGACCGCGGGATTGAGGCTGTGGGAGCGCTGTCGAGGAGGGGGCTCCCAGAAGTCGGAGCAGTGGCGGCTGGCTAAGCGACTCTGCTGTGGGCTGCTGAACATCATCCAGTACGGAGGACAAGATGGCTGCAGTCCTGATGAGGAGGAGGTGGGCGGATGCTGGCTGGTGAAGCCACTCTGCAGTCCGGTCAGCACCCAGTTTTCCAGGCTGAACTCATACTGTCAAATGGATAAACTAAACATCAGTGACAGAAACAATTGTAGCAAACATACTGTGGGAGCCAAATTCAATTTTGCAATATAATATTTTGTTACATTTACATGTAAAACTTTAATCAGATTGTAATAAATACACACATGTTACGTCACAAGGATACGCGTTACAACAGGTATTTTATTAGGGACTGAAGCTGAGTGGAGCCGCACATTTACCGACTGTGTTATGTGTATTATTTTGTGGCCCTATGAGTGTGTCATAACTAAAGTTGACTAAAGTTGTCACGATACCAATATTATGACTTTGATACTACCTACCAAAATATTACAATACCCGATACTTACGATACAATACCACAAATACGATACGATGGAATATTTATCTATGATAGTAATAAATAAAACATCTGGAAGGTTCCCTTTTTTACCAGCTAGTTCCTGCCCAGCTTTTTGAACACTTAACAAATAGCATTCATATTAGTATTAACCACAGCAAGATATAGAAAACTACATCATACCAATCTCATAGCATTGACTATACACAGCTATGTAGGCCTATTGTCCGTATCTGACTATATATTTCCATAAGTATGAATTACATAATTTTACAGATTTGAGATGGAGAGTTTGATATTCTCACATTCATATTTTAACTCAATTCATGGAATAATTATTTTTCCTTAACTAAAAACAAAAAGAATTAGGTGAAGATCCAGCCTCAGGCTCCACCAGCCTATTGCATCAAGTGTATTATTGTTATTACTATGTAACTGTATTATTGCATCAAGTGTGTATTGTTGTGTGTGTGCATTTTAACCTTATCATATAGGCCCGAGTGAAATTGTAGGTTATTTTGCATGTATATATTTCTGCTGGACTATTCAGCAGTGCTCTGAAGTGTCAGGCATTGAGCGTGACAGTCACTCATTTCGGTCTTTAGTCACGCACTCCCACCACACATTCAATTTCTCACGCAAAAAAAAACCCGCGCCAGCCCCCCCCCCGTTGGCCCCCAACAAGTCGAGAGCCCTGATTCAGTAACGTATTTGCTGTCTCACTTTGTCTTGTGTTGCACTTGCTTCATGTTTGACTGTGTTAGGAAAGTTGTTGTCAAGCTAGCCAACAAAGTTACAGGGCTGCCAACTCTCACGCTTGGGATTTTTTTGTTGTCTCATTAGCTGTACTCTGTGCAATGACAAAAAGTTAAATCTTCTTCTTCAAGTTTACGTGGATAAGGTGCAGCAACAGTGATACCGTGCAGCGCTGATTGAAACGCTATTATCGAAGAACAGGAGGCAGAGTCAGCCAGAAGGAAAAGCTAATTGAAGATGAAAGAAGCATGGAGTTGAGGGCTACACTGATAACAACAAGGATTGCATCCACTATATGGAGCAGTTTACTAGTCATCAGCTCATCCATCCATCTTCAACCGCTTTTACGGGGTCGGGTCGTGACAGCTCCATGAGGGGACCCCAAACTTCCCTTTCCCTGGCCACATCTACCGGCTCTGACTGGGGGATCACAAGGCGTTCCCAGGCCAGTCCTGGGTCTCTTCCCAGCTGGCCGTGCCTGGAACCCCTCACTCGGGAGGTGTCCTGGGGACATCCTTAACAGATGCCCAAACCACCTCAACTGGCTCCTTTCAACGCAAATGAGCAGCGGCTCTACTCCGAGCTCCTCACGGATGGCTGAGCTTCTCACCCTATCTCTAAGGGAGATGAGCAAACCCATTCGGCCGCTTGTAACCGTGACCTAGTTCTTTCAGTCATGACAAATTCTTCATGACCACAGGTGAGGGGAGGAATAAAGATTGACCGGTAGATCGAGAGCTTCGCCTTCCGGCTGAGCTCTCTTTTCGTCACCGTTGTGACTCCGATTCTCCGGCCAAACACACACTCCATCTTCCCCTCACTCGTGAACAAGGTACTTAAGCCAGTGGGACTTGAACTGCTTCATTTGGGGTAAGGACACATTCCCTACCCGGAGTATGCAATCCTTCTAACTAGCCCCGAGAGCTAATTAGAAGCCCCCAGAGGGATCCCGCAAAAGGATATAACAAGGCCAAGCAGCTTCAAGAACAGTTCGGAAGTGAACATAAACTTTCAGTGGCCTACATAGACAAAGTCACAAAATAAGCCATGCACACTCACCTCTGTTTCCTGCAGTCTGGTGAGATAATCAGGCACAATTACTTCTTTTTTTACCACTTCTTTTATGACTTCATGTGAGGCACCCTCTGGCATCTTCAGAGGGACACCGTCCATCCTACACAGACAGACACACATTGACTGAAGTCTCTTGGACATTTAATATTCATACTATCACAATCACACTCTTTCTGCATCATAAATCTGCTTCAGTGCTCAGAATGTACATGCATAGGGTGTAAGCAACAGGCTATTTGGTAACTCTGAGAAACAAAATGTCAGCATCCTCCTGGTATAGATTTTTAGGTAGCAAACCTTTTAGACAAAAAAAAATAAACTCCCTGCAGTTATCTGTACAATCAAACTTTTCTGATAATGGTCAAAGTACCGTTTTATATATTTTTTTCTATACATATAGTGTGTATGAGGAGACGTAAGGACCAATCACAGGCAACTAGTTAAGGGCAGCCTGTACGGAGACCACAGTGGTCAATGGTGTGGAAAGCTGCTTTCAAATGAGCAGAGATGCGTTGTAGCACTGGGTCTACAACTACAAAACTGGAATTCATCAAGATGTCATAGCTGTCCAGAATGTCGACAACTTATTTACTTACTGCCTTTTCCAAAACCGTAAAATAAAAATAAAATGCAGCTTGGATATTAATGGTAAGAAGTGGTTCAATCAGACGCACATAAAGAGCTAAGAGCTTTTCATTAAGGAGGGGTGTGGATGATCCTAAGGAACCCAAAGAACTAGAGGGGCCCATCGGGGAGACAGGGGACAGGCTGAGACCTCCAAACATGAATTGGGCTAAAGTGACTCAATATAGACATGTTATCGCTAGATGCACCTGTCTTATTGTTTATTTTATAGCTATTTAAATGCTTTCATCTGCATGTTCTAACATCTGCTGACTTTATTTATTTTTACTATTTATTGGTGCGAGTCGGCCCTACTGCATAGCTCTCTCTGGGGTTGGAACACAGTGTATGTTACTGCCCCTAGGGGGCAGAACTCCGAGTTTGGCAACCACTGAATGAACCGATCCTTTCTTTTTTTGACTGAGTGAGGAAGGAGTATCAATCCCAGCCAACCAGTTCAGAGAGAATGTGCACTCCACCCAGAAAGGTGCCAGGCGGGGTTGAACCCAGACCTTTGTCCTGTGATGCAACAGTGCTAACCACCCCACCATGTGCTATACAATTGAGGGTACATGTTTATCATTTCTAATGTTTGAGACGTTAACGAGACGTGCAGAAAGCAGTATCAGAAGACAAATTGTGTGATTGTTTTCTGTGCAGGAACCAATAAATGCAAACAGACTCTTTTTGGAGTTGTCTTCCTTCGTGCCTGATCCAGATGTGTTACAGCAAGAAGATGATGATATAAATAAATGATCTTGCTTTTTAAATTCATATTGTTTGATTTTGGGCATCATTCAACCTACCTTGCTGCAGGACCTAAAATGGTATTCACTATTATAAAGTGTCACTCATGCTAAACCAAGCTCTTGGGTTTTAAATAGCACGTCTCACCTCATTCTGATGAAGAAATGTTTCCAGCTACACTCAAACTTTCTGCATTCTTTTTAAAGCCAGCGTATGTCATGGTTCTTCCAAGAGGATGAGACGAATTTTTTATCTTTATAAGACTGATCATCTACGGTTATTAAAGTAGCTATGAAGGCTGGGCTGCACCAACAAGGAAGGTTATAAAAAGGAACCACCACTAGTAGTTCAACGTTATCATTTTGAATCTGGATGTACTCATATTAATCTACACTGTATTAAGAAGTCATTTTAGATTGAATTAATCCTTGTAGTGGTATGATGTATACATTTCTTGGGGACTTTACCTTTACATTTCGTAAAGTATTAGATTTGTATCTCTTACTGTTAAATAAACAATCCTGCCTATACATGCTTCATACGTAATTAAAGACGGCATTGTATTACACACCATGTATAAACGAATAACGTGTAGTCAGGGTTAGACATCTGAGAAAAATTGGACGCGTTTACAGGACACCTGTCTGTTCACACGTACACGCCTTTCTAAACTGGCTGATCATGTTACACAACTAAGAGTGGATCATGTCCAGGAAAAGGATCAGACCGCATCCATCATGCCTGTGAGTTAACCTTCACCAACATCCCTCTCTCCCCGCTGTCCTGTGAAGCCTGAGCAGATATTTGCTTTATAGTTGAGAGGCAGGCGATGGGCTTGTTGCGTTGTCCCTGTCATGCTAAATGCTGAACGTGTCCGACCACTTCTTTACAGACCAGTTTGATCCTACAGCACAGAACTGCTTATTCTTATACTTATGTTGATACTTCAAACATGCGGTAAACTGAGGTCAAAGAAAACATGTCCTACAAACCAGAAAGTAATGAGACAAAATGATTTGAACTACAATCTTCAGTTTAAACGCTGCAGGATCAGTTAGATGTTAAATCACATCTTAAAAAAGCTCAACAATGTTTGATGCTTTACCTCATATTCATTTTTCTCAGATTATAAAAGAAGTTGATGTTTTTTCTTTTGTGAAACATTTTATATACAAATCTATATCATGGATGTATCAACTGTTGTCTGCCAAATAGCCAAAAACATTCCCCAGGAACGAATAGCATTGATGGTACAAATGGGTATTTCGTTATTAACAGTAACAGCCTTATTTTAAAATAACAATTTTATTTAAACCACGTTCGAATGTTCTAGTGAAACAAATGTTTTTTTACCTTAGTTGTCTTGGTGCGGCTGTCAGTCAGTCAGTCTCCTCTCAGAGGTGTGTGTGTGTGTGTGAAGCTCAGACTGAAGTTATAATCTAGTGACTCACAGTAACCTCCACCAGCTGATGTCCCGTCCCCACAAGACGTCAACAAAGAGTAGAAGCCTGACGTCAGCACACAAAGCCGATTACAGAAGGATCCAGTAAACACTTCGGCAGATGTCAGAACCAACTTAAGATTTTATTACCACCACCGTGGTGAGAAATATACATTTTCCTGTCCATTCGTGACCAGGAGTGATTCTGGGCACCTCCTGGTGTAACGCCATGCCAGGTTCTTCCCACGGGACTGAGAGAGTTAACACAATGTTTCTTTGCTCACACTGATCATATTGAAATACATGTAATACTTTACTAATTAATTTGTCTTGTATCAGTATGACATTAAAACTACATATAAAAAAGAACCAACGCCTTTTATTTGTCTGTTTTTATAACAAATATGAGGCAGAACAGAAAGGCAATAAGCTGATGGAGATCATGTACCACTGTGTAGAAGCCCGTCTTCTAGACGTGCTTAACAGCGTCTTTGTGTAATCACGAAGCCGTGTGCTTCTACTTCTTAATCCTTTGATGCTCCTAATCATTGTGTCCTTGCACAGAGCCCTGCACTGGACGCCTGCGGCTCCAGCGCTGGTTGGCGGGACACTCGTCTCACTCGGTGTCTGCAGAGTGCACAGCAGAGGCCCAGGCCTGGTCTGACGGGTCGTCTGGTAGGATCCAGCTCGGAGGAACTGCAGAGCCGTCGGGATGATCCGCTGGAACCACAAACACATCCCACTCTCTCCTGAAAGAAACCACACCACAGTCCCCCACAAGTCACCAAGACGTCCCACAGCGCGCCACAATGACACCGCCAAGGACTGATGTCTGTTCCAGCTGCTCCCTGCTGGCCAGGTCTCCGGCCCAAAGCAGCTCAAATGTTAAAACTAAATGTCTTGTTTGCATCCATTACTGCCTTGTGGGTGTTGGTGAGAGAAGAAGACAACAGCACAGGCTCATAACTAATCTAAGCTGAGAACTCAGGTTACATTTAACAGCGGACTAAATATTGTAAACAAACATCACGCGTGAGCAAACTGTTCTGTCATTGGTCCAATTTTAATGCAGCTATAAGCAGACTTTCACCTTTTCTCTTTGGGGGTGCACGAACCCAGTTGGGACGTAGAAGGGGGCGTGGCTATCGCCATCAGAAAAGAGCTGTCAACACAGGGCTGAAAGAACATAATCTAAACCCTTCAGAGTCTCACTTTAGCTTTAAAGTGCTCTCCTGTTCATTCACAGGAGCCGGTGGATATCGTCATCACCAGAGCTGTAGACTGATTCAGTAACCGTCGTCTCCAGAGCTGCATGATTGGTTCCATTTGATCTGTGCTGGCTAATAAGTTTTAACATCACCCTTATATTTAATGGCAGCCAAATATAGTTTTAGCAGTACGTTGTAATAGGAGCGCTCAGTCTGGCAGACTTGTTCTGTATAAATGGACCTGTCTACAGTCATTTTATTTCAGCATTTGCCCGTTAGCCGATACTTTTAGTCACAGGGTGTTTTGTCATGTTGCAGTTCACGGTCTGTCCAACATGCGTGTGAAATTGTCACAGTGAGCGTATGAAGTCTTGAAGCCAAAAACATAATCTCACTCCAGGGTTCTTTGGCACGTGCAAAAGAGGGCTTCATTTTATAGACACCCTGAAGCTCTAAATGCTTCTTAATGTTATGTGTGCCCCCCGCGTGAGTGTATGAATGCTTGACAGCGTGGCAGCAGGTTTCATGGTTCCCATTATGTGAATGCGGAGTGATCAACAAACCTGATTTGGAGTAAAGCGTGCAGCGAGCGCTCAGCCTGGGTGTAATATTCTGTGAAGGGCTGCAGAAGGGAATCAGCAGGCAGGTCCTCTGAGAAACAAACGTTGGTATTACTACTCCTGTGTGATGCGATGCATTGCAGAGCTGCAGCGTTGCAGAGCGCACGGACGGATTACCTCCAAACAACATGGCGCGCACTCTGCGCTTCCTCTGCAGGTGTCTCTCCCTCTCCTTTTTCAGTCGTTTCTCTTGCTCTCTCCTCCTCTCCTCCTCCTGCTCCCCTTCCAGCATCACCATCAGAGCTTTCTCCTCCGCCGAGTAGACCACGGTCCTCTTCTTCATCACACACCTCAGGTGCTCCAGTCCGCTGCTGAACGCCTCGTCACATTGCTGCTCGGTGGTGATACCTGCAGCACACAAAGATACAAACTGAAGGCTTCGCGGTCCCGTTACCGACCGCGGGACCAGTGCTCGCAAAAGGAAAGGCACTTCCCCCCCATGTGGGAGAGTAAGAAGCCACAGTGTTCCGTGCAGGATCTCGTGCAACTACTTTCCAAGTAAGTCTGCAGAATGAGGGCGTCTGTGTGATGAGGGCAGCAGTGTGAGAGTTAGCGGCACGCTAAAGCTCTCTGTGTGTGCCCATCACACCTCACATGCTTTGTAAAAGAACTGGCGATAAGGAGCCTGGCATCAGCCAGATGGGCTTCTAGCGGTCACCTTTCCTCAATGCGGCCTCTTTCCTTAGTCTGCGCAGTTTCTCCAGAGACCTCAGGATGTCCTGCATCCTCTTCACGTCTGCCTGCTTCTTCCGCACCTCGCAGAGGACAGCGTCTGCAGCCAGCTTCAGCTCCCGCTCCTGCCACACAAACAGATCAAATATTAAGAAAGCTGTTAGTCATTCTGAATGAGTGAAATGCTTTCACTGTCATATATCTGAATAAAGATCCTATCGCCCGGTCATGATGGGGTTTGATGTACAGCTCTTCTGCTCCCAAGTGGACAACATGTGTTATATTAGAGTCTTCTGGTGCACGGAGTTACCTTCTTCCTCTCCTCCACTTGTTGGACGCGCTGCATCCTCCACTTGTCTATGGCCGCCTCTTTGTCGGCGATCTGCTCCTCTCGGAGCTTCTCGTCCAGCTGGTGCAGCTTCCGGGCCCTCAGCAGCCGAGCCCTCCTCTTAGCGACGCGGGACAACTTCGCCTTCCAGCTATGGAGACGCTCCCCGAGGCGGAGGCGATCGAGCTCGTCCTGCAGCTCCGTCTTCACTCCCAGTGCCGTTGAATAAGAGTCCGCCCACGCGCACTCGTCCCCCGCGGTGTCCCTCAGCGCTTCGCAGGCCTCCGCCAGCCGGGAGACGAGCCGGGCGGCCCGGTGCAGAGCCGCCCTCGGCCCCGGGGCTCCGCTGTGCTGGGCCCGAGGGGCCCGGGCGGCCCGGTCTCGGCCTTGCAAGAAGCGTCCGATCCACTGCAGGTCCCGCCTCCTCTGTACAGCGGTTTCATCCTCGGGCTGCGTTCTTGTTTCCGGACTCCTGTCGCGGTTCTTCGCCTGCGGAGGGAACCGCGCATTGGCGAGCAGCGCGCCGCGCTCAGAGAAGTCCGTGTATTCGTGGTGTTGGTTGGGACCGGGCTCCGGGTCATAGCGCGCGGTCCCGGGACAGGCTCGGTACTGCTGGGGGAACGGGTCAAAGGTGGAGGCTCCCGCGCCGTCGAATGGGTGAATCGGCGCCCCGGTCGCCGCGTTGGGAAAGTGTGCAGGCGGCGGGCAGCCGAAGGGGGGCGGCGGGACGGAGGGGTCGAATCCATACGGAAGGGGTCCTCCGAAACCCCCGCCTCCGTGAGACGGAGTGGGGAAGTCGCATCTAAACCCGTACGGGTGACCGGCATATCCCCGCGGAGAGGTCCAGTGTTGCGCAGCGTAGTCCGGCTGTGCCGCGTCGTGCGCCGCGCCGCTCGGTCGGCTGGCCGCGTACGACGTCTCCAGGTAGCCGCCATCAAAGCCGAGAGGCTGCTGCGCCTCCGCCGGTGAGCGCCGGTAAACGTTGTCCATGCTGAGTGCGGCAGCACCGCGGGGACGGTTACAACGCGGACATTAGACGATCACCTCCTTCCTCTTCTTCTCCTGTGGCGCATCACTTCCGGCAGACTGGACCCGCTTTGACTCGTTGGGGCCTCCTACTGGTCCAGAATCGTCATTGCTGTTTTTTTTGCCTTCGGATACCTCCTTCGACTCCCAACGCGTGGTCTTTTGGGGGACACTCCAGCTGTATCATTCGGAGGACACAACTGCAGTGACGCAATCGTTCTGCGAGGGATGCAGCTGCTGGATTGAGACGCGGCCTCTCTCACGTATGTAGGCTTTCGCCTCAGGATCCGCCATAAGACCTCCAGTAGAAACACCTCCAAGAGAACGTGTGTTTGAAGACCCCGAACACGGGCATTTGCTATGTCAAACACGCGCATACATTTTGCATGATGACGTCATAGTGCATCGCGCGCTCGTAGTTACCGGTGGGCGGGGACACGCGCTGTGCGGAAGTGTGCGGAGCTGAAGTCATATGACCAGGCTCGACATGGGATCTAGATATGGATAAAATTCCTCGGAGACGGTGACAACATCCACGGCGAACACGGTAAAGGTGCCCAGACGTCCCGGGGACACAGTAAATCACGTCATATTCGGTCATTGACCGGGAAGCGCTCATGTTGATTCCATCGCGATCAGATGGTCTCGCTGAGCGTTAGCTGCTAGGCTAATGTTACACTTTGCCTCCACTGTGCATTGGATTCACGTTGGACGAGCATGTCCTGAAGGTGTGTCTTTGAATGTGTCCTTAGATGGAGGAGATTAAAGTGTCTCCTGACTACAACTGGTTCAGAAGCACAGTGCCCCTGAAAAGAGTAAGTACCCCCGGATTTGTAATCCAGCCGCCCGGTGCTTCGGGTTGTCTGGCGGCCGTGTTAGCTGGCGACTTTCAGCCGAAAGCGTCTGTTGTTGTCGTAGTTACGACAGCGGTGGGAACCCGATGGAGGGTATTATATCTATCTATATCTATATGTCTTTTTCGAAATGGTAGCACTCTGTTTCCAAACGTCGCTTGGTGTTGAAAGAGGAAGTGAGCAAGTGGCTCTTTCTTTGAAATAAAGTTTGGACAAAACCAAAACATATTCGTCTTTGGAGCCTGTTTTGAGTAAACGCGTGTCGCACAGAATAGCTACAATAATATAAGGAAATCTGTGGCTAATTGGGATTTAATCAGGTGGTAAAGCAGGGCAGTAGCTCTAGACACAGCGAGCACAGCGTCTCTCCTGGAGGTGTGAGGATGGAACCGTCCACGGTCACGGGTCACTCCAAAGAGCGGCCAGGTCAGCCTGTGACCACCACGACGAAGCCGGGAAATGATCAATTCAACCGACCGGAATGCAGAGATGGACATTGCCTCCAAGCCACGGTGAAATGTTGTTATAGCTAATTTATGAAACAAATTAATACCACAATCAAAGAGCGGAGAGCAGCCAGATGGGCTTGTGAGCACAGAGCGTGTTCTACGGAGCAGTTCAGAGGTCAGCTGCTTTCTCAAATAATACACAACGTGGACCCGATATAAGTCAAGTCAAGTCAAGTCATTTTATTTTGTATAGCCCAGAATCGCAAATTACAAATTTGCCTCAGAGGGCTTTACAGTCTGTACACATACGACATCCTCTGCCCCGAAACCCACCATCGGCACAGGAAAAACTCCCCAAAAAATGAAAAAACCCTTACAAGAGGGAAAAAAGGGAAGAAACCTTAGGGAGAACGTCAGAGGAGGGATCCCACTCCTGGGATGGACAGACTACAATGGATGCCATGTGTACAGAATGAACAATGTATAATCATGCAATTATATGACAGAAATTATTCAAGTAATTGTGAGTAGTAAGCCAGGCGCACAGCAGGACCACTGCAGAGGCAACCACCATCAGATAGAACCACCATCACATAGAACCACCGTCCACAGAAGCCTGTGGGGAGGGAGAGCACAGAGATTTTAGGAGAGGGTAATGTCGGTTTATGAGTAAAGTAATATGATTAATATCTAAAATAATGATGATGATGATGGCAGCAGCAGGCGTCAGCATGGCCACGGTAGGTGTCAGGACCAGGGTCCCGAAGGAACCACGATCTACGGAGACCTGATAGGGGCGAAAGCACAAAAAAAACTCCCGGAAAGAAGCTGAATTAGTCATGTGCATTAATAAAACTTGAATTATGGTAGAAAGAGAGCGTGAGAGAGGAGCTCGGTGTGTCCTAAGAATTCCCCCGGCATTCTAAGCCTATAGCAGCTTAACTAAGGGCTGGTCCGGACTAACCTGAGCCAGCCCTAACTATAGGCAGAATCAAAGAGGAACGTTTTAAGTTTTACTTTAAAAGAGCTAACCGAATCTGCCCCCCGGACTGAAAGTGGAACCTGGTTCCACAAAAGAGGAGCTTGATAACTGAAGGCTCTGGCCCCCAGCCTACTTTTTAAAACCCTAGGAACAACAAGTAACCCAGCATCTATGGAGCGCAGTTGCCTTGTAGGGCAATACGGTGTTACAAGCTCTTGAAGATACAACGGTGCCTCACCAGCAAGGGCCTTGTAGGTGAGGAGAAGTACCTTAAAATCTATTCTTGATTTAACAGGGAGCCAGTGCAGAGAAGTTAATACAGGAGTGATATGATCCCTTTTCTTAGTTCTTGTTAATACACGTGCTGCAGCATTCTGAATCAGCTGGAGAGGCTTAAGAGATTTATAAGAGCAGCCTGATAACAAAGAATTACAGTAGTCCAGTCTGGAAGTGACAAACGCATGAACTAATTTTTCTGCATCACTTTGAGACAGGAAGTTCCTGATTTTTGATATGTTACGTAGATGAAAATAGGCAGTCCTTGAAGTCTTCTTTATATGCGAGTTGAAGGACATATCCTGGTCGAAGAGAACTCCCAGATTCCTGACGGTGCTGCTGGGTACCAGAGCAATTCCATCCATAAAAACTGTATCACGCGACAGCTGGCTTCGAAGGCGCTCTGGGCCTATCAGGATAACTTCCGTTTTTTCTGAGTTTAGCATCAGGAAGTTGCCGGTCATCCAAGTTTTGATGTCTCCAAGACATTCTTGGAGTCTAACTAACTGGTCCGTCTCTTCTGGCTTGATCGACAGATACAGTTGAGTATCGTCTGCATAACAATGGAAGTTTATGCAGTGTTTCCTGATAAGATCGCCCAAAGGAAGCATATAGAGGGTAAATAAAATCGGTCCAAGTACAGAACCTTGTGGGACTCCGTGACCAACATTGGTGGTCTTTGAGGATTCACCGTTTACAAGCACAAACTGGGATCGGTCCGATAGGTAGGATTTAAACCAGCTGAGTGCAGTTCCTTTGATACCAATTAAATGTTCTAGTCTCTGCAACAGGATACAATGGTCTATGGTATCAAATGCGGCACTGAGGTCCAGCAAGACAAGAAAAGAGATGAGTCCTTGGTCCGATGCAAGTAGAAGATCATTCGTAATTTTCACCAGTGAAAAACCAGTGAGTCTGGTTGATCACCACAATAAAGCGCAGGCTCTGACAGCTAGGGGGGTTTGGAGAAGGCCTCTTTGTTTCAGAACGAAGGATATGTTTGGGATGCTAGCGCGCGCACACTAGATCTCAAGATCCTGCTGTCATCTGCTTGGGAAAGGAGCAGGTTGAGGTGTGTTTTTCTGTTTTAATCTGTAGAATTCCACTTAGCCATCTGAGAAAAGTGGCAATCTTCCACGCTGAGCTGCTCTGCTTGAGTGTAAATGTTAAACCAGGTTTAAACACAATGGGTCAGCTGATGGCTGCCCTGCTCCTCTGCAATAGCAAGAGTGTTTGTGGAGTAAGTTCATGAAGCTTTATTTATGTAGAGCTCTTTGAACACACATTGCTTCACTCAAGCCCTTAAAATAGTCAGATAAAATGTGATTGCGATATAAAACACAGACCAAAAGTAATATACAATATAAAGCAGAGAATAATAAGAGACAGACAAAAGTGTGAACAAAGCCGAACAGAAAGGCTCCTCATTAAGGCAGGATTTTAGAGATTTACTAAATCTGATTGATATGGTCTGGTATTTACTGGTCCAGAGGGGAGAACAATGAGATCAGAGGGGTACCTCACTGCTCGGTCTGCATTAGCACGAATACTTCTCTCTTCCATAGAAAGCACAGAATGAAGGATTATTTATAATCCGGAGAATTTTAATACACTGCTCAAAAACATTAAAGGAACATTCTTTTATCAGGGAATGGCATGAATTCAATTGCACTTCTCTGATAATGATCTGGTCAGGTGGGATTGTTAATCGCTTTCAGATGTATTTTTGTTGATGGAATTAACACCGGTGCGCTAGAGTGGCGACAATGAGACAACCCGCCCAAACAGGACTGGTTTTGCATTTGGAGGCCAATTCAAGTGTCTTTGAATGGTTTTCTACTAGTGTTGGCTTTAGCTAGAGTCATCACCACTACCGGGAGCATGTGGTGATTCTTAACCCTTAAAAACAGATTGCACAGATTATCCAACTGCGACAGGATGTAACGTCCACACGTGCCGTTGGGACGGATATCTGCTGCTTTGTGCAAGGAAGAACAGGTTGAGCCCTGCCCGAGCCCTACATAATGACCTCCAGCAGGCCGCTGGTGTGAAGGTCTCAGCCCAAACATTTAGAAACAGACCTCATGACGGTGGTCTCAGGGCGTCCTGTACTGTGCCCCGTGCTCGCTGCCCAGCACCGTGGAGCTGCATTGGCATCTGCTGTAGGACACCAGAATCGGCACAGTGTGCTTTTAACAGATGAGAGCATGTTCATCCTGTGATAGACGTGAAAGGGTCTGGAGAAGCCAAGGAGACGGCTGTGCAGCCTGCAACATGGTGACCGGTTTGGTGTAGGGTCGGTGATGCTCCGTGGAGGCACCTCCATGGAGGGTTGCACAGACCTCTACAGGCTAGAGAACGGCAGTCTGACTGCCATTAGATCTTGGGACTAAATCCTTGAACCCCTGGTGCTTGTAGGTGCTGTGTTCCTCCTGATGCACAACAATGCCCGGCCTCATGTGGCAAGAGTATGCAGCCAGTACCTGGGGGATGGCGGGATTGATACGATTGAATGGCCCCCACAATCACATGACCTAAACCCAATAGAACACCATCAAATGCTGCAACGTTTGCAAGGATGCATAGGACCACGTGGAAGCCACACCAGATATTAACAAACAGAAATTGAATTTCAGCAAAACGTAAATCATTTTTTCATCCATTTTTATTTTTCACAAAATAAAGCCCTCTGTGTGCTGACATTTCTTTTCCATCAAAAGATGTGGCATCCTTTCGTTCCTAAAACATTATGCTGTTCATATAAGTGTAGATATCCAAACCTAATTTGTTTGTTTGAGATCTCACGTGTTTACGAGTGTTCCTTTCATTTTTTGGAGCAGTGTTATCTCGTTCGTATTTGTCACTTGGTTGGCTCTTTTGTGGTCTAAACCGAGTTCATATATTCCTGACATTTTCACAGAACCACATAAAGTAAAGTTGTTTCCATGGAAATAGAATGGAAGTCAAACAGACTTCAAGAATTTTCCATTCAAATCGACACAGCAAGTGGGTCAGAGCAGAGGCCGTTCATTGTGTGTGTGTGTGTGTGCGTGTGTGCGTGTGTGCGTGCGTGCGCGAACCATTCCAACGTATATGTAAGCCAAAGAAACACGTAAGTACTCAAGTGCAGAGCCATAACACTCTAGTACCCCCATTTAGCTCCCTTCAATAAGCATGTTAATTGTTTATAGATAATTTATTACAATGTAAATAAAATACTTAGTTAACGATTATAAAATGTGTTTTTATGTTCGGCTTATTTAATGAAATCACACTTGTTTCTTGTTCTTTCGAGTTTGTATTCGTATGGTTGAAATGCTCTTCTTGTAAGTCGGTTTGGACAAAAGCGTCAGCTAAATGACATGTAATGTAATGTTTTTAATTATTTAGAACTATTAAAACCATAATATTGCATCGCAATAATTGTAAAACTGTCATACTGTGACATCCCGGTCATAGAATAAAGAACTCCTTCAGTCCATTGTGTCCATCTTTTAGTTTCCAAGGCAACGTGTTCCATTACTAATGCGTCTAGTCTTGAGCCTGTCTGAAGGAGGACCTAAGGCCCACGGATGTATTTGTTCCACCAGATCATAGTGGATGATGATGACAGCAAGGTGTGGTCCCTGTATGATGCCGGCCCAAAGAGCATCCGGTGTCCCATCATCCTGTTCCCACCAGTCAGTGGGACGGCGGAGGTGTTCTTCCAGCAGGTGCTGGCTCTGACGGGATGGGGCTACAGGGTGATCTCGGTGAGCTCGGCAACCAATAGTTCTATCTACAATTGATGAACTGCTTTTTTCATCTTACTATGTATTATTACGACACCGTTTTGACATTTGTTTTGTTTGTTTGAAACAATGAAACATTTCTGTAGTGTTTCTTCAAAAGCACTGTCCATTTACTGTGTAAGTAAAAGCATACAGCTGGGCGTGTCCTGGGACGACGCTGCAGACACTCAGGGCTCACCGTTTTACCACCCTAAACCATCTCCGCTCCTCCTACTGGACCTGACTGCTGCGTTTGACACTGTGGATCACACTATCCTGCTAGAAGGCCTCCACACCACTGTTGGACTGTCAGACTCTGCACTCAAGTGGTTTCAGTTGTCCCTCACGAGCCGAACTCAATGTGTCTCACTGGGAAGTTGCAGGTCCAGACTCCTCCCTGTCTTCTGTGGTGTTCCACAAGGGTCTGTCCTCGGCCCCATCCTCTTCATCATATACATGCGGGAGCATCTCTGCTGTGTCATCAGCAAACGTGACGTCCTTTCGCTGTTATGCTGATGACACGCAGCTCTACATCAAGACTGCCCCAAGCCCCTCTGCAGCCATGTCCTGTCTCACCGCCTGCCTTAGAGAGATAAAAGCATGGATGAGCAACAACCTTTGCCAGTTAAACAACCAAAGCCTTGTTGGCACTCCACACCAGGTTCAGTCATCCTCCATATAACCTCACACCGACAGTCAAGTCCTACCCCTCTGCTTCACAGTCACTAATCTGGAAGTTAGGTTGTGCAAAACCTCCTTTCATCATCTCAAACGGCTTTCCAAAGATGCAGAGAAGCTCGTCCACGCCTCTATCTCCCAAAGACTGGACTACTGGACTTCACTCTTTGCTGAGCAGAAACTGCAAAACATTCAATACCTCGCTGCCAAGATCCTGATGATGAGTTCTAAAACATGTGCACATGAAACCCATTCTACACACACTACTGTGGCTATTTTAAGCCTTTTTTTGTTAAAAAAAAAAACGGTCAGCAGTTTATTTTTTTTAATATAGTTTGTTTTAACTTTAAGAAATCCTATAATAATAAATACTAAATAATCGCCTTGCAGCATTCTAAGATGTTTTGAATGACAAATTAAATAAAATGTATTATTATTGCCAGAGAAAATTTGGCTTAATTCCAACAGATATGGTTTCTGTCATTAGACAAATGGATAAATTGACTGATTAATGACCATACCAGCCTCAGACGGATCCCAGATGAGTGCATGTTACGTTCCCTGCTAGGGTCAGTCAACGCAAACAAAACAAACGCCACGGAAATAAGGAAAGTAGCAGACCACAGCAGATGGAGCAAACAATAATCAATCATTTATTATTCTTAAACCAAATCCGTGGCAAAGAAAAAACAAACAGGCCTCCAGCAATGGGCCACATTGCATCCTGGTGGTTCCCTCTCAGACTCTCACTCCGAGGCTGGTTGAATGCGTCCCTGCTGGTGGCAGCCAAAACAGCCAACTGCCTCTTTCCCTGCACGAGCCCCTGGATGACGTCTTCCAATGCTTTTTAAAGGGCTCCTCGGCTCTGATTGCGTACCCAATCGGGATGGACCCTCAATTAGGCCTTCTGCTGGGCTGTCTGCAAAACACGGAGAAACAAACACACACAGGCCCCCAACAATGGTCAGAGACGTAACAATGCAAACACGTGCAATGTAATTGTGTTTGTGTGTGGGTTCCAGCTGCAGTACCCGGTGTACTGGGATCTCATGGAGTTCTGTGACGGCTTCAGAAAGCTTCTGGATCACCTGCAGTTGGATAAAGTACGTTTTTTTGTGTGCATTTCTGTATTTGTATATAGAGCATAGAATACATAAACTGTCGATTTATCTGCCAGTGACTAAAGCTGTTCTCTTTCTAAATCATTAAATGGCCTGCTGCAACTTTCAAATCACTGGAGGAGAAATATTAGTTTAATGCAAAAATGTGTTCAAATACCATTTTATTATGTATTATGGTTCATGTTGTGAGTTATGATTTTCAACCATTATATTAAGGAATGAGCTGTCTTTGGTTGCAACATCTGTTGTTCCAGCACAACTATTAGAAGATGAACGGTCTCTGCGATGAGCAGCCTCTCCATGGACTGTATCCATGGCGATGGACGTATAGATCACACCCTGTTCACTCATTCTCCGTCAAACCTCTCAGGTCCATCTGTTTGGAGCATCGTTGGGTGGATTCTTGGCTCAAAAGTTTGCCGAATGCACGCACAAGTCTCCCCGGGTGCACTCCCTGATACTGTGTAATTCATTCAGCGATACCTCCATCTTTAACCAGACATGGACGGCCAACAGGTGCTTTTAAATGCTTCCATCACACACACACACACTTTCCTACCCATGTTCATATTTATCATCAATGTTTCCTCTCCTTGTTCCTCCTCAGTTTCTGGTTGATGCCAGCTTTCATGTTGAAGAAGATTGTTCTGGGGAACTTTGCTAAAGGACCCGTGGATCCTAAAATGGCAGATGCAATCGACTTCATGGTGGACAGGGTAGGTGGACATGTGTGTTCTGACGGGGTAGGTGGTAGGGCTGGCCAAGTATGAATAGACAAATAGCTGTATTTTCAAGGACCTAATAATAATAATACAGTAATCATAGTATTTATGTTTTATTTATGTTGAAGGAACAATTTTTTTTCCAGACTTGAGTTCAAATAAAACCCCAAAGCATCAACAATAAAGGTGGAGTGCAGCCACTCTGCTGCAGTTCAGCAAAGGGGGCTCGTGGTTGTTATTGTGTGTCGATATAAACCGTATTGCATGGTCCCATTTCCTGTTATGAGAGGTATCAATACAGCCACTAATGTTAATATACCGCCCGGCCCCATGAGTGGACATGTCAGTGTGTCGCAGCTCTATTGATTTGATTTGGACGTGAAGCTAAATATTAGCATCCGTTATGCTAAATGCTATGCTATCAGAAGTGCATTCAGTGTCATGAAGCATCTTCTTCAGAATCTACTGCATATCCTCACTGTCCAATGATGAACTAAACGGTGTATCCTAGAGCATGAAATGGCAGAATGGATCTGGGTGACTGTGGCTCAGCGTGCAGCTTGAGGCTGAGCAGGCTGCTGTGGGTCGGTCCTCAGCCTCCCTTTGTCTTCTCGGGACAATTGGGACGCAGTCGTAAACTGCAGACATGAGAAGAATATCCATCTTCTAATCTCCCCCTGAAATGAATAAAATGAGTGTTTGACTTTGTTCCCCGAGGTGCAGATATGTGATGTCTTTGTGTTTGAATGTTGACCTCTGCTCTTCATGTGTTGTGTGTGCTGTAGTTGGAGAGTCTGAACCAAAGAGAGTTAGCATCGCGGCTAACACTCAACTGTCAGAACTCCTACGTGGAGCCACACAAAATAAAAGATGTTGCCGTGACCATTATAGATGTAAGTATAGAAGCGCCTCCATGCAGCAGGAGTCCTAATGCAGTATTCTGACACACGTGTTTCCTCTGTGACCACGAAGGTGTTTGATCAGAGCGCTCTGTCGCTGGAGGCCAAGGAGGAGATGTATAAATTGTATCCCAACGCCAGGAGAGCTCACCTGAAGACGGGAGGAAACTTCCCCTACCTGTGCAGGAGTGCTGAGGTCAACCTGTACATCCAGGTACGCTGACAGCAACCCGATGGCACTTCCACTGTCACAAGCAGCGCATCCTGCTGTTGGCCATTATGGAGAAAATCCAACATCACAATATTATGTACCCATTTTATTGATATTCCTAATTGATATTGAGACAATATTTAAGGGTTGATCATCGGTGCTTTCACAGAGTTGGCAAAGTTCATAAATGACATCACTTCTTCTCAGCATTTAAAACTTGACTCCATATCACGATACCAATATAATGTTGATATATTGCCCAGCACGATGTTGCTATGTTTACCTCCAGTTCTCCAGCACGTGTCCGGTTTAGCACCTGTTTTGTTTTCACGCACAGATCCACTTGCGTCAGTTCCACGGGACCCGATACGCTGCCATCAGTCCCTCGATGGTGAGCGCTGAGGAGCTGGAGGTGAAGGAGAGCCAGCTGAGCGCGGACCAGGACTCGGACAACGACCAATGAGACCTCTACCGGCCCACTGTTTCTCTTACCCGTCGTTTCACAGGACCTCCAGATTTTCTATGGAGCTCCACAGTCAATCAGCGAGAATATTTTTATTCCACAGAGGAAGCAATATTTTGATAACAAGCTGGAGATGAATGGCAATCGACTGCCTTGCTTTAGGAACTTACGACACCTTGCCTTATGTGAAATGTATTTGGTAATTGTTGCACTCATAGACTGAGCTGTCTGTGTGTAATATATATTGTGACACAGCCAGCAGTGAACTGGTTTCCTTCTGACAGAAAAGTGAACACTGGCTTTGAAAAGGGTTTCATTCAACCTGATGAATTTGTTTTTCCACTAGTGTCTCAGTGCGAGTCTACATGATGACTGTGCCGTGGATCCGGCCAGCCGGCGAACTGCCAAAGCCGGAAATCATATCTGTCTCTACACACATGAACTATTCACATCTCCGAATACTCCTGTAGATAGGCTTCAATAAAAGACAATGATGTGCTGTGCCTTTTTATAAAAGATAATTTACACATTCTCTATAAAATAGTTTGTTTCTTGCGGATGAATGTTAAAGTCTGCAGATGTCGTGTGCAACCAGATGTTTCATTTCTTTAATCACAGCGACATATTTAACAACGTGTAACACGAGAGCGAGTCCACAATGTGTAAGCCTCTCTGGATCCGTCTCTCCGCTGACTCAGGGACGAGCTGGGGAACCGGGGGGCCGTGCAGCAGCTCAAGGGACAGAAAGACCAGTCTTGTTGTAAATTATGTTCTTTCGCTTTGAATTTCGTTTGTATTCTTCTGGTTTTGCGCTTGAACCGCCTCCAACATAGACCCTCACATTCCACGTACAGGAATGACAAAAAGGAAACGTACTTTAACGATACAAAGTCTTAAGTTGCCCACGAAAATACAAGTTACAACTGAATGGAGACTCAAACAGGTCAAATACACAGACTAACACACACAGTAACAAGGAATCACCAGGACTGAATGAACTTTATTTATGGATTAACAGCTGAAAATAAAGAAAAATACAATCAACATGAATACAGCTTTCATTCCTGTGTTATTGAAACCCAGTATAGACTCAAGCTCCCCATCGAGCCCTCTCGCTCTCATCAGCAGAGCGTATCCACTCACAGCAAACAGAGGACCCTCCTATTAATTCATCTTACGTATTACACATCTCACACGCAACAGCCGTAGGCACATTAGTAAAATGGGAATATCCATCATCTATTTTAAACCCAATTCTTTACTTTGCACAGGAGCAAAACAAAGACTCCCACTCTGAGAAAGTTGTTTTCTCTGTACGACCTGAAACCATCGACTCCATCAACTGGCGTAAATCCACCTTTGTCCCCCTCGGCCTCACAAGCATGTTTACTGCCGCGCCCTCCTGCACATCTTCTCCCTGTTGGATTGCATTTGCCACCTAGATAATATACTTGTTTAACTTACTGTTATTTGCTTGTTTTTCTCTGCATACTAATTCACAATCGAAGGAATCAACGTTTCCCAATGCTGTCAGAACGAGTCCCTCTCAACTTAGAAAGCCAGCAGATGCAGTCTCCACTTCAATCTCAATCTGATACTTAACACTCAACTTCATAGACACACAGCTTAGTTGTGAAGTTCACATCATCGTCCAGAACGCAAACGATAACAATTGGGAGGTTCTCCATAATCGTATAAAGCATTGCTCAGAGAGGTTTGTCAGCACAACCAATGAGATGACTGCTGCTTTTTCAGAGGAGCTGAGGGTTTTCCTTTCCTGGGAATCAGCATCATATAGAACATCCTGGTAAAAAACATTTAACGAAACTTTGTCAATTTAGATGGGGACGGAGGAGGAGAGGAGGGCTCTGCAGCTGGTGGAGGAACCCATCAAGTATCAGTGGTGTTGGTGACAAGAGGCGCCTTAAAAGATGAAAGCCAACAGAAACAGTCTGTTCCGCCTGCAACACAGCAGAGGAATCGTTCCATGATGGTAGGAGTCAAGACTGGAATGAGGGAAACACGGATGCTCTTAGGGGACTAAGTCGCCCTTCACAGTGAGACCGCCGGGATGAATCGTTAAATCAGGAAAATAAAGTGGGATTGAATATTTGGGCTTGTGGGGATTTAGTCAAAACTAATAGTAAAGTCTAATACCATGAAGACATAAGTGCAGACCGCATCAGCTTGAACCAGATCATCACACTGCACCACCACAGAGGTTTCAACAGAGACCTTTAATCAGATACACAATCTCCTCAAGTAAAGACTCATTTGCATCATCAATCTACAAGAGACTTCCTATTCTCACTGAGCTTCAACCCAACGACTTCCCTGGACCGTAAAATACATCAAACTTTAAAAACAGCCGTGGCACCCTGTGAAAATCTCATCAACAAAGAAAACAATCGTGAGCTGCTATCAAACAAACCACCGAATAAATGGATACATTTATTACATCTGAAGTGGAAACATCAAAACGGCATGAAAAGTGACAAGTGAAAACAATAATTAAAATGAATGACATTTAGCATCAGGAGCCCAAAGGAATAAATAGAATAAAAGCATTTCTACCAGCTGACACCGGTAAAAGTCGGAGTCACACTTCCTTCATGGTTATAGTCGCTGCTGTCAATTGGAAATATTTATTTCTTGACAAATGAAATCTAAAAACACAAAGCAACCATCCAATAAAGCGTGGAAGAGCGTTAAAAAAAAAAAGAAAAAAAGAAGCGCCGCTACGCTACAGTAAACTCTTCAGTAGAAAAAGGTGCCGAGGTCACCCATGCCGTTGCGTCTGAACTGGTTTCCCTGAATGGAGACAAAGATCTGGTGGTCCATCAGGTCCTGGACGGCTCGGCTGCAGGACGTCTCCTTGTTTCTGCTCAGCTGACGAATAAATCGCCACTTACTGCCGGAGGCGGCGGCTGTGTCACAGTCCGCACCGCCGCTGCTCTCCGCTGACTCCGGCTGGACGTCTGCTGAACTGGAGCTGGTCGGGTCGGTCGGGGCCGTAACACCTTCCTTCTGTTGGTCTTCTGCCGTCGGTCCAGAAGGGCCTTAAGGGAGCAAAAGACCCGATCAATAAGGATCCTCTACGGTTCTATTCTGGCTGAGAGCGCTACACTTACCGTCACCCCGGTCTTGATGGGCTCCATGTGGTTCCCCGTTGTTGGATTTCACCAGAATCACCCCGTAGCCTTCGTTGTTGTGGATCACATTGTTCTCCATGGTGATTGAAGGCATAACGTCGAGCTCATTGGCAAAGTCCTGCACGCACACAGGCAACATTTTCACATTCAATGCAGCAATGCAGACAGCGCCACTTAGAAGGGACTAAACGCAAACCCAAATGGACCACCACTAGTTTCACTAAAACAACAGTATGGATAAACTGACATTTGTGAACGAGATTTCAGTAAGAACCCTGAAGACTGGCGGATTGTTGTCACCTTGATGAGGATCCCGTCCTTGCAGTGATGGATACCGTTACCAACCAGACTGCAAACACTGCCAGGGTAAATCTCCAAACCCGCCCCCTGCACACAGCAACAGGACAGAGCACATGTGGTCACACTAAAGAGTTATACACCAGGTATCACCGCATACAAGACTAATAACTTCATGGGTCTTAGAGGCCGTCCAGAAAGCAGTCACAGTTCATAAAATGTTATCACCTAATTTGCATGAACGTAATCGACTCTTTAGGATCAGCGGCTTTATGAATGCGCGATTCATTTTCAGGCTGGAAGCAGAGACATGCGTGTCTCCTCTGACTGCAGCGGCAGGCTGCTGAGAGACTCGCTGAGGACGGTGACTGGACCGCCAGTGGGACTACACATCGCCGGGCGTTTCTCTGGATACAGAGACTCTGCATCATTTAACATTCGGCTTATAGAACCGTTTGTATCTTGCTGTGACATCATAACTACAGGTGTTCAATTGTTTACATGAGCAGTGGGTGTTGCATAAAAAACAGCTGCACATGATCCAGGGTCACTAAGATGATTTGTAGAGTAGAGAAGGCGGAGCCATGTGGGCACCGTAGAAGGGTTTAGACTCAACGTGGGAGAGTCCAGCTGATCCCAGTGCAGCAATTAAAAGTCCCTTTAAACTAAACATATATAGAAAAATGTGACAGCTGACAGCTACAAACCATGCACCATCTTTAGGGTGATGAGCCTAGAGGGCCGAGGGCTTTGTGTCCCTGCAGGAATCAGCTGAAGGTCACGCTGTCCACACAGATTTGAACCCGCTAAAACGGCGGTCAGCAGCCACACGGTCTCACCTTGGAGCCGTACAGGTCACATCTGTTCATGGTGAGACACGCCGATGTCCGGACGATCACTCCCGTGGTCTGACACTGCAGCACACAGTTCTCCATGGTCAGAGTCCCTTGACGCACACCTGACAGCCAATAGGAGACACACGGGGTCACACGGCGCCGTGTGGATACATCTGGCTACATGGGAAGAAGAGTGTGAGGACGAGCAGCCCCCGCAGAGCAGTCATGGATACTCACACATAATGCCCTCGATAGCATTGTGCTGTATGAACTTGATGTTGGACAGTCGGACATCGGCTCCCGTGGACTCCACAAATGAGTCGCCCTGGTCTTTCTTCTCAATAACCACCTCATCAGGGAGCCCGAAGCCTGACACACAGGAGCGCGTGAACAGAATTAAGGTTTGTGTTTGTTAGAGCGTCAAGTTTAAAGCCTCCAGACACGGCAGTACACACATATTCAATTCTCAATCAAAAATATGACCTGCAACTGAGCAACAAAGTCGTCACACAGTGACGTGACATGAGATATCATGTCAATAGTCTCCAAGTGTCTGGATTCCAGTCTAGGTCAGGTTCACTGGTCTGATGAAACTTCTATTGGGCCTGTGCCCATCAGGTTGGGTATGGACTATTGAAGGGCTGATCGGGGATGGTTTCTTCATAGGTTTATGTTAATGCCATTTAACAAACTTACTTCCAGAACCAAGAGTTTCCAAAAGCCACCTCTGGAATGTGAGCCCTGCTGAGCATCTGACCAATCACAAGGATTGACCAGGGAATATAAATCTTTAGTTACAAACCATTTGGCTTCATCTATTTATGGGCACCTCACACCTCGGATACATGCACTCGTTCACCTAGACCTTCTACAACTAAAGGCTGGCGCGTGCTTCTGCGTCGTTGGGACGAAAGCCCTTAGCTAAACTGCTATAGGCTTAGACTGCAGGAGGATGTCCTAGGACAAACTGAGCTCCTCTCTCTCCATCTCTACGAATTCACTTCTCATTAATGCACATCGCTAATTCAGCTTGGTGCCTTCTGGCCACGCAGGTTTCCGTGGATCATGGTTCTATCTGGACCCTGTTCCTGCCTCCTGCCATCACGATCATTAATATGAATCACGTTACCATTACGGTCGTCATAAACAAACGTTACGCTGCAGTGTGCCTGCAGAGATACCGAGCCCCTGCTTACCTTCTACACTGATGGAATCTGGTAGGAAGATGGAGCTGCTGACGCTGTAGATTCCTGGAAGCACAATGACCACGTCACCCTGATAGCACGCTTCCACCGCCGACACTGGATCTCTATAGAACTAAACACAACCACACACACTCTTCAGTTTACACATGCAGTAGAGTTTAGAGCTTCCTTCAAGCTCCTTCCTCGCCGGCTCCAACTTCTTCAGAGGGTTGCAGCAATAATGTTCCATAAATAAAAGGACAGAAAGAAATAGAAGGAGACTATAAAGTGTATGTAATGTATTCAGGGACACTGACCTGAATGTCAGTGTCCTCAGAGGGACATAGAGGCAGCAGGCGGTCACTGAGGAGGGACTGGAGCTGGGTGGTGCTGCAGGACGCTGTGACCACATGGACCACCTTCATGCCCGACGCTCGAGGACCACGGCTCTGCACACACTGCTGACTGGCATTGCCTTTGTAGCCCAGCACGTACCTGGAGTGGATGGGTGGGGGTAAGGACCGCGGCATTGTTGAGGTGTGATGGAGCAGAGCCTGTGGCGGAGCTTTAACAAACTCTCACCTCAGCAGGGGGTTCTCTATGATGTGCAGCTTGCGCTTGAACGCCTCCAGCTGGTCGTAGAGCTTCAGGCCCTCCACCATGGACACGTTGTCCAGCTCCGTGTCAGAGTCGCTGCTGAGGCCTCTGCGCAGAGTAGAGAACTTCTGGAAGCAGTGGGAGCAGTTTTCCAGTAAGGACCGGTACTCTGCCACCAGGCCTAATGGGACTCGGTCTTCCAAGATGTCGTAGTAGCTGAAAGAAGAAATGATGTCAAACGAGATCCATGGGAATGAACCAACACCTTAATAATTCATCACTCCAACACAAGGTCTACTCACAGCCTGAGACGAGGCTCGACACAGCGAACAAAGTAGTCAAAGTCGTCATCTTCATCTTCCTCGTCCCAGTGCCTCCAGATATGCGTGTAGAAAAACCTGCAGAGAGGAAGGAACTGGACTTCACCAGACTGTTACAAATGTGTACACGCACACAGAAGTCCAGAAACAGGACCAGCTCGGGAGTCCCACCTGAGGTGCTCCAGAGCGAGGGCGGTCAGATCAAAGTCCCCAGACTGCTCGTAGACCACGAGCAGCTCCTGCAGGGGGAGTCGGTGCTGAGTGGCCTCCAGCAGAGACTTCATGGCCTCCTCAGTGAGCTCACAGCCTCTGGTTTCACACTGCAGAGGCAGCACCAGCTTCACACACGCCTTCAGATCCTTCAGGTCCAGGTCACACACCTGAAATCACGAGATGCTCTTCAGCCCTAACATTTGAAATCATGAACAGCTGTAGTAAACAAGTTCCCCAAAACCTTTCCTTTCATTACCGTTAGTCAGAAAACAAATCATGCGAATACAACTTTTAGTTGCAGTGAACGGTTTCCCAGCAGTATTGTAATAATCATAGAACACCCACAGTGGGTTGGAACACCGCGAGAACCAGGCCGATACATTTGCTCTGATTGTTGTCAGCGTCTATGGGTGAGTGGAGACCACCGTCGTCCTCCAATCAGAAGATCCTGCTGACCCGCGTGTCCATGTGTCCTTGAGCAAGACACTTAACCCCAACATTGCTCCAGTAGCTGTGACTACAGTGTGTAAATGATGCGAATGTTACACGGGAGCATTAAAGCGCTCACGGGTCACATCCGTCAAGCGTGGTGAAAAGAAAAAGAAAAAACAGGTACATTTACAATACTATGTCTGAAAGTTGGTCTCACCTCCACCAACACGTCGAAGAAATTCGTAGACCACAGCGCCAACCAATCGCACGGTTCCACCACCTTCTCCAGGTAGTCTGCTGTGAAGGCCTTCACCTCGGACGGCTTACAGTCGCCTACACACACACACATACACACACACACACACACACACACACACACGTGCACATGATCAGGAATATGGCGGCTCAGAATGACAATTAGCATTTTGGAGTCTAGATTACCAAGCATGTAGTCCTGGTACGCTTTAAATCGCTCATAGAACAGCAGGTGGCTGGTCTGGAAGGTGTCGGGGAGACCTGGATTCACTCCTCCATGGCGCTCACACCTCTGCAGCTGAGTCCCGGACTTTTCAGTGTTGAAGTGGTCCGTGCCGCTGTCGTCGTCTTCCTCGCCATCACCACTGTCGTCTTCATCCTGAAGCAGAGCTGTTGGGATAAATGAGAACATTATGGTCCAAAGGGTTCTCTGCTCTGCCTTTGGGGATCCAAACAGCAGCTCGTCATACAGACCCCAAAAGTCCTCGCATATCAATAAAGTAGGATTGGTTTCACTCAAACCAATTCTTTCACCCAGATCGGTTACGAGGCTTCAGGTTATGGTATTATTAAAGTAATATGCTGCTGGTGTCCTGAGGGGCAGAGGGTGGGGGTTCAGCACCAATGTGGAATCACAAGTACTTCCACTATAATTTAACCTGAAGTCAACTACATAAGCGTGCTATGGGGTTTAGCCATTGGGAAGAAATTAGTTCAGAGAGCAGTGCTGTTGGGTTAAAGGTCCAATAAGGTCTCCTTAGCTTTATTTGATGATGGCCTGTGCTTTGGTACCCTGTAGTGTAGCGGGTCAGCCATAGGCAGACACCATTGGATCTGCACCCTGACTTATAGCCTACAAGCATCACAAAACACTCAACAAAAATCATATGTACATTTTACATAATCAATAATAGAAATACTAAAGTAGTCTATGATGTTCAGACGATACTTACTTACACCCTTTAACAGCAGAAAAGGAAAGAAAGTGTGACATCACAGTATCCAACATGTAAAACACCTCGTGTGACAACTTGATGGAATATCAATATCTACTTTATAGCAAACATTCTATAGCCGGGCCTTTGTTTTATCTGCTGCACGGTTGATCCAAGAGCAGGTAGAAGACCACCTGGAGGCAGGGAGCACCTCGGGGAGGATGCCAGTGAATGGGTGTAGAGTTAAAGCGCGTTGAGAGGTCAAGAAACCAATTAATACAAACACATGGTGTAGCAATATGCAGTAGAACAATGATGGGACCGTTCGCACTTCTAAGATGATTAATCGAACGACGGCTCAAGCGCTCGCTTGGGTTAAGAAACGACTCGCAGAACACAACACCGACCTGGGTGGGACGCATCGGGCCCCGATTCAGCCTTCGGGTTGTTCTGTTCCGTGTCGAGTTCGACGTTGACGTACGACTCAAAACCAACCAACACGACCTCCGACACTCCGACTTCAGCTTCTCGCTCCATGGTTAGAAAAAAACGACCTGTTTTCGCCAAGCAAACAGGCAGGTTTGAATAAGCAAACGACAGAGAAACACACTGAAACAGCAGTGAATCACGGGACGCACACGCCCATACTTTCAAAATATTCCCGGTCTGATGGAGCGCAGCCAATCGCGAGCAGCGCAGTGCTGGAAGAGCCGCCCACTGCCGGGAGGCCTGCGAGCCCACGACGCCTTTTATAGTCCGCATGCGCACTGTTGTTTAGGGCCCGGAGGCCCCGCCCACTGCCGGGAGGCCTGCGAGCACACGACGCGCTTTATAGTCCGCATCCCATTATTAACCTCATGGCATTTTATGTAATAAAGTGATCACAGAAGTTAGATAGGTGACATCACTAGTGATTAACCTCATAGTGTTTCATGCCTATGATTAATAAAGGTGACCTACAGTATTACACTGTCAAACAATGTAATAAATATAAACCGTTTCAAGCATTTAAGCAAGAATCTGACTCCACATGTAAGATAGTACACAAAAAACATTAAATAAAGGATATATTTGGGAAATATTTATTAATTATTATTACATTATTATTCAAAGTCCCTTTGCCGAGTTCCGGTAATGCTGCCAGTTTGGAGTCTCAATGAATGGCCTTTAATGTCCTTTAATTAAAATATTGCTAGCTTTAATGCACATTGATAGACGGTACAACAACCCTGCACAACATGGCTATAATGTTGGACAAGCAAACAATTTGGTAAAAAGGAAAAGGTTACGTTAAATTAGAAATCGTAACTCTGTCCTCAACCAACTCAACGATACTGGAGAACAAACAAAAGACTGTGAAAACAGATTTTACATCATGAACACCGAATTATAGTTATTGCTGCAGGGAATATGGTGCAAAGTATGCCTACATATTGTGTCAAACATGTGTGGAATCATTTTAATAGAAAGCCAATGACTTAACATACAAATTTTAGGAAAATGTTACCATTTTATTTCCTCTTGTCTTTATTTTTGCAATTAACGAAAGTAATACATTTATGTTACTCTGTGATGGTTTAATGAGGTTACACTAAATTCCATTTTACACATAACTGAATGCGTCATCTCATCAAACTAACTGACTATCTAAAGTTCGTTTGTTTCTTTTCCCAACTTTAGGAATACAATTAAGGGAGTACAACAATCCAATTACTTACGATGAAAGATGAATATGTCACACTAACGGAAATGTCACTGTAGGTTGTGGAATCCCTGCTGCAGCCACAGCGCGTCGCCGCTGGGGGCGCTAAGCGGCGCGCCTGAAACCTGAAACCTGCAGCAGCAGCGTGAGAAGAAGAACTGGTTCCGCCCGCGAAGCCTCTGGGCGAAACACTGGCTTGTTCGTGACAACAATAATGAGGTAAAGATGGTCAGCTAACTGCGCCGTGTGTTAGTGTGAAGGTTCGGTCAGTGGAACGTAGAGCCAGATGTGGATCAACTCGAGACGACGTGCAGCTACTTCAAAAGAAGCGCGCCACTTAGCATTAGCATGCTAACGAGTCGACGTTCAGCTAATGCTAGTACCACACAGCGCTGAGCGCTTCACTCATTCATTTTGACATATACCAACTACTCTGATGTTGCATGGGATATTGCACGTATACATTTGCACGTCCCATACCACAGTGGGCGGGTGTGTGCAGGGTGACAGGACGCGTAGCCCGTCAGTCTTTAATGGTCCCAGTGAATGCTGAGGATCAATCAAGGTGAATTCCATCGTTAAATTACAAGTCTGAGGATCCGTAACGCTGTTCATGATCATGAAATCCCACTTGACGTCTGCAGCAGTTCACTGCATAGAACTCCATATCAGACCATGTCAATGTGGAAAAAGTGACACTCGATTTGGCACCTGTCTTCAGATCTCTTCACCATTTGTTGAATACATTTTAAATTATTGCTTTAAATCACAGATTGATCTCGGACAAAGGAGCAGTGTGTGGGGACGTGGCCTCCTCAGTGTGAGTCTGCAGACCAACAGAACCACAACAGAAAACACGTGGTATGCACACATTCTCCTCACAGAGCTCGGTATTAACCTGCCTGAGAGATGGCCACCCTTAAAAGGCCATCATCACAACACACAGGTTCATAAAATATATTATAAATGTTATAATGTTTTAAATGGGGACTTCTGATATCGGTCAATTTGTATTATGTATTATGTAATTTTATTTTTATTTTGTATAGCCCAAAATCACAAATTACAAACTTGCCTCAGAGGGCTTTACAGTCTGTACACTTGTCCCGAAACCGTCACATCAGCAAGTTGCACGTTTGGTGTGCCGGCTATTTGAGAGAAGACTTCTTTACATTTTTGAAATTTCCAGCTTCTGCTTTAATAAACTAGAAGCTTAGCGTTAAATGTGTGCAGATATAATCGGAGTAGCTTACTGCTTCAGTATCAACTGCATAACAATAATGCAGCCTATAACAAGCTCACATGTTTACAGGTGTGAGTTGCTCCAGCTTTGATTCCAAATTGGATGTTGTAATAACTACTTCTTAGACAGTGCACGCTCACTCAGTCTAACCCCTTTGCTGTGTGATGACTCTGATGAAGCCGAAACTAGTTTTGATCTCCTTCTCTCTCACCAGGTGATTTTATCAAGCTGTTCGTGAGTCGTTTTGTTAAAATGTGTGATCAGAAAAATGGTGGAGAGACACTAAACAGGGAGGATGAGGATGAGCTTTCGGCCAGTGATGAATCTGAGCCTGAAGAACTACCCAGCAGTGCTCCCTTTGACCCAGAGCTGGACGACGACGACGACGACGACGATGATCACGATGGCGGGGAGGTTAATATTTTCACTCCTGCTCCTGGTCACAGAGCTCAGACTCCATTCAATCTGAGAGGAGGGAGCTCAGCTTTCTCCAACCGCAGCCACAGCATCTTTGAATGCCTGGACAGTGTTGCCCGGCTGGCCTCCTCCTCTATGAGCCAGGATAAGAGCGCAGATGGAGTGTTTGCTCGGCCTCTGCCTCCAAGGTCCCTTAGGAAAACAAGCCAGCCTCAGTCCATCTGCCCCACACCAGCAAAGAAGAGAGGGGTCCCGGACTACCTGGTGCACCCCGAGCGATGGACCCACTACAATCTGGAAGATGTGGAAGAGACTAGCGACCAGGACAACAGAAAGGCGGCTCACCAATTTCTGTCCAGTCTGCAGCAGAGGAAGCAGCAGCAGGAGAGCCAGAGTGAGCCTCCCTGTAACGCCCAGCAGAAGATGCTCTTCTCCAGGCCCGGCCGGCTGCCAAAGGAGAAACCTTCTGATCAGCCGTCGGCTGTCAGTGGCAAAGAGAAGGAGACACGGCTCAGTCATCTAGTCGAGGAGGTCGAGGACGAGGAGGGCAGAGAGAAAGAGATGGCTGGAAGAAGACAAACAGACCAGAGTGTCGAGAAAGCTGAGGAGGAAAGCGACCGCAGGGGAGCCGTCGGTCCACCAGTGGAGAAGAAACGGCTGCAGACAGAAACATACGAGGAGGAGAAGATGGAAGAGGCCAACCCAGCATTTATTCCCTTCAGGAAGACTAAGCGTGTGAACTACAGGCAGAGCTCTGGGCGAGACGACAACTGAGTACAACACCGCTCTGTGACGCCTCACAATAATAACGGCAGATTCAATATAATGGAAAGAAAAAAAGAAACAAGTACTGTTGTCTATTCAAATGTGCTGATTTAACTGTTTTAATCCAGTTCACACTCACCAAACCTGAACCTCCTGAAAACTAACAACACTTCCTGACCTCTGTGGTTGAACATTTAAAGCGTCCTTTACCTCTAAACCCCCCCAACTCTTCCCAAGAGTGTAGTTGGGAGTGCGTTCTGCTGCACCTGCTACCACATCCAACCGGGACAAAGATTAAACTGTTCATCCGATGTCAGGCTATGTAGCTTCCCAGCCAGTGAGATTAGCAAGTTTGACATCCATGGCGGGGGAGTGTTTCGTTAGCTGGCCACTTGTGGGGTTTCAATGTTAAAATACCCTTTTGTGATTCTCCTTATTAATAGAAAAATACAGGAAACATTCAAAGCGGAGACTGTTTCCACTTTGTCATGTGGCTAACATTAGCTTCATTAACTAGCTGCTTCTGTGGCTAACATTAGCACCCTGATCTCCTGATGCTGAATCATTTGTGATAACGAAATCTGTTTTCCACTAAATGTTTTGGGAAATGCGGTTTGGTTGTTTGTCAGTTTGAGGAGAAAGAATGCGAATGTGTAAATCTGCTGCTGTAATGGCTGCAAACGAAAGGTGTAAAGGGGAGGGGCTTAGATATCTAAATGAGGCTAAAAGACCGATATGAAAATTCAATGACATGTGGAACATTGGGAAGCTTCATTTTAGAATAAAAGAATTGGCATGAGGTGTAAACATCCTGTTGACATGTAGTTGGTCAAACTGAGGAGGAAAAAAAGATCTGTGTAGGGAATTAAAACTTGCTGTCGATAGTAATTTGATTTATATTCCCTTGTTGCATGTTGTGTATTTTCAAATTGTCTCGATTAAACTTTGATTCATTTTATTTGGCGTACAGAAACATTTTAGGCTGTTTTTTGTGTAAAAAAAATCCCAACTGTTTCCACATTGGGAAGTATCGCATAGAAAAGGTGTGTGGAAATGATGACCTGACTACAACAATTGAATGAAACCCGACTGGTATCATCACCCTGTCATCCCAAAGGGATAGCTGGTATCAAAGAGAGTCAGGGTTTTAGCTACAGCACAGGAGCAAAGCTATGAAGTGCTGCAGCAAGACTATTTTAGACACATGAAGCGGGGGGGGGGGGACAAAACGCACGCAAGTGACTGATCAAGGTATGTGAGAACAGAATGCAGTAAGATGGTCAGACATTCTGTATGGCTTGCAATATTTAAAATGTTCATATTACAAGTTGTAATTTAATTATACACAATCCAAAGTTCTGCATTATGCAGCTTTTCACACAAAAAAACGCTCTGCGAAGTTGACACAAACAAGGGCTCAATTCCGTCAGACATAGAAAACATTCTAAACGCAGAGACCTGTAGGTGTCTGACAGGCTGCTGCCTCTGTGCAGCAACACGGACCTAGCTCTGCTCCTGTGAAGGTTTCTCCCATCTCCATCTACTGCAGACCACGCAGAATCCCTCATACAACCACACAAAACGATCCCGACTACCCCTTTATCTCCACCTCTCAAGTCTTATTGTAAATAAACGTTGCAGTGTAACTCCTTGTGTGTTGTTCAGGTCTAACAAAGGTATTGAATGGATTTCCTTCCTCATGAGTGTACAGCAGTCCTCTGTCTTTGTTGATGTGCTGTAAACGCAGCAATGCAGCGGACTGAACATTCATAGTGAAACCTCTACAAAGCACTGCTATGACAGACGAGGTGCCTACAGATGATGACACCTGCTTTTCGGAGGATGGGAACATGGCGATATTCAGAGAGGCAACGCTAAAACAGTAGAGGGACGTATGTATCGGCCGGGCATGATGTACAACTTAAACAAATAAAACCAGAAGCCATTTTCCAGCGGCGGCTGGTGCCCGGAACAGTTTGTTTGGACTTTATGAGCAAATACAGAATCCCTGTGTTTATTTCTAACGCCTCGCATTAAGACACACATTTTATTTAAGACGTGTGCTACTTGCAAGTCGCTGTGTTGTGCCAGATTCTCAATAAAGTTAGAAAAAAACATTTATGGCAAACCCATGGTCATGAAGATCACCGACCACCGCAACCCTTCCACCGACCACCAGAACCTGCCGTTCTGAAAAAAGATCCTACCACCGACCACTTTTCGCACTTTGCGATACTGAAAATGAAAATCCCTGTGAGCCGTGGCCAAAGAGTAGTAAAAATAGGGATCGGGTCTCTATTCCGTCAAAGAGTAATAGGAATCGGTGGTGTTTGTAATGAGTGACCATCGAGTCGTATAAATACATCGGTTGTTTCCGTGTACCGGCTTAGTAAGTCTTAAAAAGGGAAATCGGTTGTTTTTGTAGAACCGGGTCACTAAGTCTCAAAAACAGAAATTGGTTGTTCTTGTTGGCCGTGACAGAAAGTCGTTAAAACAAATATCGGTTTCTATTAACCGTGAGGACAGTCCTGAAAATAGTCTACGTACAAGCACTAATAAATAATAAATATTTATATTATACAAAATGGGGTCGCTCCTCAGCAAAAGATGGGAAGGGATTTGGTAAATGAAGTTCTCAAAGTGGATAACGGATGGTTTTAAAAAGTGAAGCTCCTGAAGATCGGGAAACTGTGGTTTTCTTTTGATAGACGTCTCCAGAAGAGACAGGTCATTTACTTGTTTGTCCAGCGAGGGCCTCTGAAGGCCAGGAATGGAGTGTTAGTGAGCGGCCCTTGGCAAAGAGGGGATGAGCACTGATCATTAACGCATGAACATAAAAGGGCCTCAGAGAGGTCTTATGAGATAAGAAATGTAGGAAGATGGTAAACAAGAGTGTTAAACACACTTATGGCTGGCACACTGATGGAAAGATCAATATGGGTTTGACCTCATCAGTCTCCATCACACACCTCAGCCCTGGTGCCACAGAGCCTGAGCCCAGACCTTGTGTCAGCATTGAACAAAGCTTTGAGCCAGAACTTCAGCATCCTGCTACAGGCCAGTTCCCACTATAGTTTAGTTAACCTGTTTTGGCGAAATGAATGAAAGCTGTGGAATGAGTGACTGAGGTGAAAGTTTCTAACTCAACAAGCTATTGCCCAAAGTGTGGTGCGGGCACCCCTTGGGGCGCGAGAGGAAACTTGTCAAATGGAGTAATAATCCATATGAGATATAATTTGTAAAAAAATCAATATGGTTTATAATATTTATACTAAATAGAGACACGACTACCCCTAAAACTACCGTTTGTAAGATTACAATTTAAAATTAAAAATGTACAATTTAATAAATAAATACACTTCAGCACCTAGTTCACACTAGCGAACGTTAGCCTACTTTGTGCCGCTAACCTCAGCTAACAGCTAACTCTGCTTGGCTGACTCGGCTGAAATCGGGAAACTGTCAGATCTCAGTCGCGAGAGAGGAGAGGGACAGAGAGAGAGGGAGGAATCCGAGGAGAAATAATTTAAATAAATAATTTAACCACTGGTTAATTGTAAATGGAATATGATGCAATCTGGCTCTGAGCCTGTGTGTGAGTCCTTCTTATTGCTCCTTTAAAGTGATGTAAATGGAATTTATTGAAACTTTGTTGCAGTGTTTCAGGGTATTCATGTAGTTTTTTTGGTTTGTCCTCATTCAGAATGAATATGATACAGTGTTGTAGTTGCCCCTTTGTTCATTCTGTGTTCACACTGCAACATTTAACAACGGACTAAATCTTGTAAACAAACATCACCCGTTAGCAAACTATTGTGTCATTGGTCCAATTTGAATGCTGCTATAAACAGACCTTTTCTGTGTGGAAAGTGTGGGGGTGCATGAACCCAGTCGGGATGTAGAAGGGATGCGTGGCCTAAAAAGTTTGGGAACCGCTGGTCTGAGAGAATGGGGTTGGAGACATGCACTGAAATGTTTCTACAGAGAGACTCAAGGTCAGAGATAAGAGATGCACAGGCGTTCTTTAAAACAACAGCGAAACAAATCTTTGTTGAAACAACGAAGGGTTTTGTGAAAGTGATGTTTCACTGAATGGTGGGCAGATGTTGCCGTACGAGGGTGGGAGAAAACGATGGGGCCAACAAGGCAGCCCAAAAGGTTATTTCTCCTCTCTCCTCTCTCAAGAAAATTTAAGAACACACACACAGTGTGGAATGAAAGGAAGTCTGAGTACAAATATTTATCTGGGATAAAATTAGATTATGCACTTTGCTTAAATACAAGGGCATAAAGATTGTCCATTTGATTTGGTTGTGAATTTAGAAGAATAAGCTCATAATTGCGGGCATGTAAAAAATTACAACAAAACCGTTACACAAACTAACTTACAGCACATACAACTGTACAATAAAGGACACACCCAAGTATACAGTATAAGCTTTAATACACACCAGACAGGTTAGTGTTGTCCAATCAGAAGACCCCCCTGCATAATGGAATTTGAGCAGAAAAACAGAGGTTGTAGGAAAACACCCTTATTCCCCCCCCCCCCCCCCCTTAATGTGACCAAGGTGTTGACAGACAGAAGACAAGAAATGGATCAATGAAAAAACATGTGGGTTCTAGCTGTAAAAACACAATGCCACCGTGGACTAGTTTAGCTCTAAGGGTTCCCAAGAAAGGTCACACACAGAGTTCCTGAGAGACTGAAAGATAAAGGATCATCTTATCCTAATTTAATTTTAATTTCTTTTGTTTTGTTGCTTTTTGTATGTGAAGCCCTTTAAAGTTTCTTTTTGAAATATGCTATTCCTTGGCCAAGAAACGGAAATTCTGCCTGGTCGGTCTCCTGCTAGTTTGGCCATGCGCTGCCACAAGGTAGCAGAAGTAGAGTCACTTCCATCAAAAGGTATGCCTTCAAATATTTCTAGGATTTGTTGCACTTGGCATTTGGTTACAGTGCTTCTCATCCCCCTTTGGCAGACCAAGATGACAAGATTTATAGTACTTGTGTCGTGTGCAGACTCCCGAATGCTCAATGGCCACACATGCTGCAGTGACATTCTTGAGGATGAGGATCACCTTCCGAGAGTAATTAGTGGTATTCTTTAGCATCATGCCAACTTGATACATTTACATGACAGAAGCAATATTCAATGTCACAAGCTGCCATGAGGATGATGTTCGGGTTTTAATGGCCATGGTATTGTTGCAATTAGTTTCAACAGCAATATGACATCCTTTGACAGCAACGACTATATATTTAAAGTGATAGAGATGTGTTTGAATTGTAGATTGGCCACCGCCATATGACTCCCGGTTAGACAGACACTGGTGGACACAGGAAGTTTAGTTTGCCGTCTGTTCATGTGGTCATAAAGTCCAGGATAGCAAATGAGAGTCAAACTGATGCAAATATTGCAGATTATACTTTGGGCATGGAAACGCCACAGATAATACCTTTACTTGTCTTCCTGGTCTGAAAGGACTTATGAAGTCTGCGACACCGAGGGACAAATTTGCAACCTCAACAAAATGCAATAGTTTTGTAACCAAGCAATGAGAAGAATAATGAAACTGATCTTTAACAGAATTCTCAAGTCGGGGGCATGAGCGTGATACCATCTTTTTATGAAATTATAAAAATGACGGTTTTAAAGTTTATAATTACATTCCTAGATTGTTCTGCAGTTTCTACTGCTTTCAATGACCTAAATATTGAAGAAACCCATTTCATAAACTGTCGGGATCTCCGAACCCCCCGAGGTGGTTGATGAGAAGGATCGCAACACGTTGATCAATTAAAGCCAAAACGTTTACATTTATTTAGGGGAGAAAAAGATTACATGAGCAATTCTCCGCAGATATCTGGCTCTAACTATTGCTTGCAAGCAGGAGGTCCAACACACCAGCACGTATCTCAGTGTTCGGTGTAATGGCGTCTCCGAGCAGTAAAAACGCTGAGTTTGTACACACATTAAGACCATCCTCAGTGCCAGTTACGGAAGCTGCAAATCAGGTTGAGATAAGAACCCAGGTGAAGATGAGGGTAACACACACTGTTCCTTTGTTCGAGCATCTGTGAGACCAAGTTAAATCCCTTCTTCAGACACAGCTGCATATGGAAACCTTACATCTTTCTGCTTTTGCACATCAGGGTCAAATACAGCCACTTGAGACGTGAGAGGAAGAAAGGTTTTTTGAGTTCAAGTTCAAATTGTGATGATGCGCTTATCAACGTAAAAGCCAAACGATGAAAAAAACGTTTAAAATACTTGGAGATGAAATCCACATGTCCACCTCTCTCGTGCTGCACTAACTCCTGAAGACCTCCAGTCGATTAAAGGGAGATGCGGCGCACCTGTAGGTCATTATAAGAGACACCTGCCGACGATGAGACAGACCACAGGCCCCCATTAAAACAGGACAGGCAACAAGTAAAACCCCATATTCAAAAAGAAACCCCTCGATACAATCCACAAACCGATCATTGAAACGTGCAAAGAATTAAAATAATTAAAACACGCACATACAAATCTTTAATTAAAACAACTCTAACAGAAGTACCATTTTCCGTGTTTCCCGTGGAAGTGAACGCAGCATCAGACGCTGAGGAGCGGCTGCAGGTGAAACGGCACGCCTTTACCTTACCTGTCCACGCGCGCACTCGTGAAGCAGGCACCTGAAGACATGCGGAAGTGAAGCGTGGAGCGGAACTGGCGACGACATACACGTTCTTGGACATGAACGGCGTGTGATGGAGACACTGGGTGCTAGTGGGCAGCGGGAGGAGCACGTAGACGGCGTGCTGGTTGGATGTAGCGTCACTTTTCTTTGAGAGACCTTCACGTGAACACCGGACCGACCTGCGACATGTTCTTCAAGGTGAGCACGGAGCTCCACGGGGCTTCCACTCTCTGTAGGACCTGCTCTAGTGGTTACTGGTTCCAGGTGAGCCTGGAGACGTGATGCCCATTGGCTGCTCAGTTACGCCGTTTACATTAGGAGCTTTACCCGGGCGGCCGGACAGCGCTTATGATCGACTTCATATGTGTTTATTAGGATGACTGGAAGAGCTGTGTCAGGATCACTGTCGTTACATGTAGTTCTGTATACGGGAAGACCATAATAATAATCCCCTTTAATCAAATGACTGACCCCAAAGAGAGAAGATGGTTAACCATGTCATTTTCATATATTTCTGATTAAGATACACTAATATTAATTCAGCTTAAAATGAATAATTAAGTAAAAGTTACGTGAAGATAAAAAAAGAAAACGAATTAACGTTTGCTATTTATTTTTACTGTTTGATATGCGTTTATATACATTCTGTATGTCGTAGATTCTCAAAAGTGGTCTTAACCCTGTTATCTGAAGTCCGGTTTGAACAACAACTCTAACGGCACACGAGGAGAGTATACAGAGAGTGCAGTGTAGTCTGTTATTGCACTTATTACCATAGTTTCATCTGAGGTGTAATCTCTTGAAAGGAGCTAACAAGTTTAAAATGAATCTGTAGCAGTCCTGTTTCTACTTTACATTTGTGACTGACCTGAGAACACGCAGAAGTATGTAATATTGTTTGCATTTGGTTAAAATAAGTAGTACTAAAATGTACTATCTAATTATTCAGTTTCATTTTAAAGTGTGTGTGTCTGTGTCTGTCTGCCCCCCCCCCTCCCTCACTGGGCAAGAAGTGAAACCTGTTTATCACTGGGAGCAGTAAAAGTCGCACCCATGCTAAAGGTTCACTACATGTATCTGCATTCAGTATCATTCCCGGAATAGAATCAGTCAAGCATCTGAACTGTAAATGGTTGGGGGGCGCTGGGCGATGTTTAACAAAGCAAAGCTGAGGCTGAAATGTGGGAGACAACAAGAGAGAAACAACATGACCCACTGAGCCTGTTGGGCAGGTCAGGACCTGTCTCTTGGTCCTGAAGACACTCACAGCTGCTCTCGATCTGAGCCAAGGATAAAAGTATGTAGATGAACCCCTTTAGACTGTCGACACCAAATGAACAAGCTGATTTAGCATCTTCCAGTTGGACTGATTGGACATTAATTGAAGATGTTATTCCATGTATCACCTGTATACTGATATCTTCCCATTCACAGCTCGCATGTGCAGTTTTATTTGGTCCACCTGCTCAGACTAATGCAGTGTGATCGATGTACAACAGTCCTTCAAGAACTTAATAATGTTCAGTTTGTTCTAGGTCAGTGTTCATGATCATTTCTGTGGATGTAGTTTGTACTGGTGTTGAATTGTCCTCTGCTGTGTGTGCGTTATTTAACCGCATTGATGTAAACAGAAACTGAACGGGGCCTGAAAAATTGTACAAACCTACAGTGCAACGAAAGCCCATATGTAATCCTACCATTTAATTTAGTATGTTTTCATTATTTCTATTTCCGTCTCTAACTAACACAACTAGTGCTGCTGTTCCCAGTGGCAGATCCCAGGTAATCATGCAGTGATGGACCAGAACCTCATTAAAATAGCTCCAACTGTTACAGAAGAAAACCACCCAAATGTAATGTAAAGTATGCATAAACATAATCAATGCTAGAATGTTAAGCTACTGTAAGAAAAGCACAAGTGGAGTAGAGAAATATCTTCTCCCTGCAGCACACGTAGCAATGCAGGCTAAGGTTTGCTGCCATTAACGGCCATCATTTCTGTCTTTGTTCACTATTTGCTTGGTTTCATTTATTTACAGCTAAGCGTTTAGAATATTTAAAAATGACTCTCTAGGTCGTCTTCAACAAAACACATCACTCTGCCTGTTGTTCTGGAGGTGAATTGCTCTGCAACACACGCAGAACCATGAATTGAAACAGGTGCGTCGACGCAACGACGCAGATGCAAACGCAGAAGCATGCGCCGGCCATAATGCTAGTTCTCTCCTTGTGTGTCACAGGAACAAATGGAGCTGGGTGACATATGTCATGACTGTCCGAGCACTGAGGCTTTACTTACTTCAATGGTAAGAATCCAGTCTCTTTTCTCACTTCTGAACTTTCCCTACATGAACAAGATAACTGTGGACATGCAAACAGAGACTGATCATGTCAAAGAATTCTTTGACTGTGCGCTGGACGGATCAGTCAGACGCAAACAGACAGCGGTTTATCTAAAAAGTCCTTCTACCATCAGTCAAGATAAAACAGTGAGCCTGTTCACGTTAGCGGTCTCATTTGCATCTCATATTTTGGTTTAAGGGGCAATTAGGTGAGTTGTGCTCATCAGTTTAAAGATGGATGTGGTTGCACAATGCCACTGGAAGTATGGTGGGAGGAAGTGGGATGTAGTTGCAATGACACACGGCTTTTACCCTTGTGTCATTGCAGCCACGAGGGTAAACGCATAACCCATCATCACCAACATCTATGCAATAGACATCTATTCCATTTTAAAAAGACCTTCCATCTTATGAGTAAAGAGCCTTGAAGATGTAAAAATGAGCAGGTAAAAAGTGTGAAATATTCACTCTCCATTTGTAAATTCTATTTTTGGACGTTGTCATGGTGACGTGATATGTGGCAAAGTGCTTCCCATTCATATTTACAGCATTTCAAGCCTTCACAAATCTCATACTCAACCACTTAGCGGGTGATGTCTGTTAAGTCCTGGAGGCATCAAGATTTAGGCTTTAGGGGGCTGGATTGGAATAGTCCTTTTTGCTTAGGAAGGTTCTTAGCTGAGTGAAATGACCCGGAAGTAGTGTATGTGGCCCCCAGGACGAGAGCTGTTCAAATTCGGTAACGATATGGAAAGGAGCTTCAATGCTTCCCTACTCCGCTCCTTTAGCATAGGAACCACTTGACCATCCTACAATTCCTTGAGACGGCAATATTTAAATAGTGACGTTTCATTCAGCCGTTTACGAGCAGTAACCATCATGACCGAGAAACGCAGATCATGTAAGTAACCGTTAGCATAACTAATTTCTTTTGTCATCTTGCTAATAAAGTGATACTTTGAACCTGGTTGTAGGGGCTACATTTTTGGACAATTCAAATCCAGCCTGGGATTGGGCCTGTGTGTCCCTCACATAGGCAAATATCATTCAGTCAACTCAGACTGACATCTTGCAAACCTTTCCATTGTCCCTTCCTCCTTCCATCCTCCACATGCGCATTCTACCTCTCATACCAACGTCTTGGCTCGTCAAAGCATTCGATTGTGTCTCCTCACCCCCTTTCTCCCCCACCCAATCCTATAATTTAAAAGCCCAGTGGAGATAATTTTAACTGGAATGCTTGTGATCCAGTCCTAACTATGCGTTATCAAAGAGGAAAGTCTCAATCTTTATCTTAAATGAGGTGACTGACTGACACCCCGGACTGAAAATGGAAGCTGATTCTACAAAGGAGGAGCTTGATGACTGATGGCAATATCATCAAAGTGAATCTATCTCTGGTTTTCTTGTTGTTGTTTAACAGCCAACCCGCAAGACTTTTGATTACGTTTTGGTGGCCCACATTGTGGGCGATGACACGGACCAGAAGACTGTCAAACAAAAAGCCTTCATTCAACAGCTTGAGAAGAAAAACATCACCGTCACAGTGAGTGCTTCCTTCACTGCCTGTCATTTCACACCCTCACCTGATTCATGACCTTTTTCATTTTTGTTCCTTAGCGGATCGTCTATGATGACAAAATGTTTTATGGCCTCCGGGCTTCCAATGACATGTTAGAAAACTACCAGTACCTTCTGAAAGTCTCGGACTCCTGCAACTGGTGTGGCGATTTAAGAGGCCACCACCCCCAAACGACCAGGTAATACTCGAATACTCAATGAAGTACATGTGGTGCCCCATGTTCCATGTCGAAGTGTCCCTGAGAAAGACATCTCACCCCTAATTGCTCCCCGGGCAAAAATGTGAAAAAGCCGTGGGTTTAAAGTGTAATGTAAGTCGCTTTGGATAAAAGCGTCTGCTAAATGACCTGTAATGTCATGTGCGTTTCCTGGTGAAACCTGTACAGCGAGTTCCATGAAAATTTTCAGAAACAACAATAGCCTTAAAGGGATCGTTAGAGGTGGAGTTGTATGACTTATCCAGAGTTAGTTCATTATGAGTGAAGCTCTTCCTCACTCATTTGTTCCTCTTCCTCACTCATTTGTACGGGTCTACCCATTTGTTCCTCTCCTGGACTCATTTACTCCTCCCTTTTACTTGATTGTTCCTCTCGTCCACATGCCCTCTCAGGGATGGACCACACGGAGGGGCAATGAGAAAGGGGAATTTCAAACAGTGCTGAAGGGGCGAACCCAGTTTGTGGTGCTGATGATGATGATTCACATTCCTGTCTTTTTCTATGAAACACAATACCTAAGCAATATTCATATTTTGTCAAAGCTTACGATACAGTGCAGAGAGAAGGTAGGAAGGGCATTTTTAGTGGATCTTATGGAGACATTATTTAAATGTTGTATACTTATTGCCTTTCAAATGTGTTCAATCATTGTCAGGGTTTACGGAAATGTATAAAAGAAAGTTCATATTCCATGATCTTTTGAAGGTATGGGAAGGAAATACAACATTAAAGTCGTCTTTTTCAGTTATATTTTAGAAGTTATTGTTTTTGGCCAAGAATAAACAAATGAAACTCATTTTTGATCAGATTTGATCACTGATGAGACCAAAATCAAGCTCTTTGGCATTCATTTGCTGTGTTTGGAGGAAGAGAAATGCTGATAACCCCAAGCACACCATCCCCACCATCAAGCATGGAGTTGGAAACATGTTTTGGGGCTGTTTCTCTGCTACGGGGACAGGGCGAATAAAACCGCATCGAGAGCAGGATGGACGGATAGTACCATTGGCGAACAACCCTCCCTCAGCCAGGACACTGTAAATGTGTTGGCGAGGGGTCTTCCAGCAAGGCAATGACCCAAAACATATGGCCACAAAGGAGTGGCTCAAGAAGAAGCACATTAAGGTCATGGAGTGCTCTAGCTAGTCTCCAGACCGTAATCCCATAGAAAATCTGTGGAGGGAGCTGAAGCTTTGAGTTGCCAAGCAAAAGCCTCAAAACCTTAATGATTTGGAGAAGATTGGCAAAAAGGAGTGGAGCAAAATCCTTCCTGAGATGTGTACAAGCCTGCTGACCAACATTAAGAAAGGTCTGACCTCTGTGCTCTCCAATAACGCTTTCTCTACCAAGAACTGAGTCATGTTTTGTTAGGGGATCAAATACTTTCACACAATCAAATGCAAATCAATGTATACATTTTATATGATGTGATTTTCTGCATTTTTATTTCATATTCTATATCTCGGTTAGAATAAACCTACCATTACAATTGTAGAGTGTTCATCTTTTTAACAAAATCAGCAGGGAGGGATGGTGTATACCAGCATCCTTGCCATCAAAATACATCAGGTTATATAAATCTACACATTCCTACTCCTGTTAATACCTTTTCTTCACTTTACTTTAAATCTATTTTATTTCTCCAGGATCCGAATCATCCATTTCATCCTTGAGCATACCTACATCAACAATGGAGGTGAGTGAATAGCTCAATCTTATTCAGTTACAACTTCTGCAGAAAACATGACATGACAACCTCCATGCAGCCATGAGTGTTGTTGATCTATCTTTTAGCAAATCGCACGTCATTGGTGTCACAACTTTGGTACAAATAAACTGCAGTTCAAAGTGCTTTACAAATGTCTGAAAGTTTAACAAGTTACACTCTGCAATTAAATCCTTATTTTGCTATTCCCTCTGCAATATTAAAAGAGTCCCCGTGCTCACGGATGTTTTGGGCTCTCCTGGTGACCATGGGGGAGTAAATGTCCTGCAGCGAGGGGAGGGCTGATCCTGAGATGAACTGTATTTAAAAAAAAAAGTATAACCTGCTGTTACGTGCCTTCCTCTCCTGGGCAGTGGAGTGACTGTACACCGCCCTGGGGGGTCCCTGTGCTCACAGTTCTTGTGTTGGAGGTGCGATCGCCAAATCTGACGTGCTAGGGTTTGGGGGTCACCCTATTGCAGAGGTTTTAGACCCAGAGTGAAGAGTTTTACTGAGAGTTTGTGTGGGATGAATGTATTAAAAGCTGAAGTCTATGAAGAGGAGTCTTGCATAGGTGTCCTTGCCGTTTAAGTGCGTGAGGGTTCTCTGGATGACATTGTTCACTGCATTGGCCGTAGACGATATATGCAAACTGCAGCGGGTCTATGGTGTCGTGGATCATCTTCTTTATGTGGTTCATGACTATCCTCCTGAAACACTTCATCACTATTGGGGTGAATGTAACGGGAAGATAGTCATTTTGGCAGGTCACTGTGTTTTTCTTTGGGCACGGCACAGTGGTGTTTGACTTGAAGCAGGTGGGCACATGAGTGAGTTCTAGTGAGAGGTTGTAAATGTCAGCCAGCTCGGATGAACAGGCCCTTAGGGATGTTGTCTGGGCCAGATGCCCTCCGTGGGTTTGTTCTCCTCAGAACCATACGCACCTCTGATGTTGTTACAGCGAGTGGTAAGTCTTGTCTGCGCTCCGTGGTCGAAAGCCCTTTCTGTAGGTTGGTGGCGGCCTTGAAGCGCGCGTAGAGGGCATTACGCTCATCTGGCAGTGTGGGAGCTGTTAAAAAGGTTTTTACTGGAAAAAACAATATCTATAAATATAAATAATGTTTGGGTCTGCTTTGTGGAACAGCTAAAGGAGAAGAGCTGGACATTCTGAAGGTTCTCCCTGGTTCATAACTCTAAGCATTTCTAAGAGGTAACCTAATGAAGGGCCATGTACTGCGTTAAAGGCTTTTCAAATCATTTAAAAGTCATACAAAAACTGTAGCCGGTGTAAAGACTTTAAAACGGGTATAACGTATGCTATCCTTTTAGGTAGGTCATCAATTGTCCAGCACAAATTAATTGCAGTACATTCATTGTAGTCCTTTTGTAGCTCAGAAAAGAGTGTTGGATTAGTCCAGAGACCATGTAAGATGAAAGCCTGTACCTGTATTGCTGAAAGGAAGGGCCTTACCTTTAGAGAGGGCCTGGGTGGTCTTTCAACCAATAATCAGTATTTCTGTGTTATTCGTTTTAAGCGCTGCAAACAAGATGACATTCATTTTATCTGAGATACAGGTGAAATTTCATGGCTACATCACTTTGGGTGTTGTTGGTATAACTGCGGTAAGAGAGGCCACGCCCAGGGCTGTCACAATATCACATTTTTGTTATGCGATTATCGCACCATCATTTATTGCAATTTTGACACCATTTTATGCCACTGATAACATAATGACTAAATAATAGCACAGTAATAAAAGTACGCTATTTCAAAGAACAAAGAACGTTTTATTTGTCAGAGTAGTTAGACATTAGAATCAGAATGTGAAAAAATATATCCTAATGTAAATAAAACAAAAATAATAAGTGCAAGGGACAGGGAGCGGGCTAAGCATCGGACGTGCGGTGCGGTGGGGTGGGGGGTTTAACGCGGGGCTGCGACCGCCGGCTGGGCGAAGCGCTCCGCGGCTGGAAGAGAAAGGACGGAGGCAGCGCCATCAACTTAAATGTTGTTGACACTCATTTATATGTAAAATGAATATCGCAGCACCAAACATTATTGCACGCGATTTCAGAGTGTGATATGTCATTTTATCGCATATTGCGACAGCCACGCCTCCCGATGAAGCTTCCCACATTATTCCTAACCAGTGCCTTGAGAACTGGGTTGGCCTCTTCTGTAAATAGTTTTCCGCTCTTGTATATTATGGAGAATGTTTTCTGTCACTTTGAGGGATTGTGTATGTAGAGGGCTCCATCCCCATAGCTATGGATTTGGTTTGTGAACGTGTTATTTAGTTGTGATGGGCGGGCTGGTGGTACCTTTCATGGTAGCTCCTCCTGCCAGTGAATGATGAGGTGAAGTGTTAATCAGGAAACATTTATTGCCAAAATATGTCAAACGTACAAGGAATTTGTCTTGGCGGTTGGTGCTTTGAGCGGTCAAAAGACTAGAAAAGATGAACGAGGACAATCATGTAAACTTTAAGTTGCTCATTAGTTAACGTATAATCCTTAAACGCCTCATATCTTCTGATATTGGTTTGAAATGCAAACTATCACACAAACATTAAAAATTGTCAGGTCATCCTCCCACCCAAGCTTTGTGAACATTTTCAAACAGTAATGGACAACGTTATTGGGATTCACAACTAAAGCAGAATTTACCACTGACATTTTACTTAGTTTAATGTGTACATCAGTCAGCTTCTCCTGCAGTTCTTTTATTTGATCACGATATATGCAACATATTTTCCTCAACTCAACTTGTGGGCAACCAGAGTCTTTCTGCTATGATAATTAAATGAAATGATATGATACTTAAAGCTGACGTTCAAAAACAGGATGCTGACTGCTGAGTTCACATTTGGCGGCCCTCTTCTCAGCGGTGAAATGGGACGACCAGCCGCCAATGCAGATATGTTGTGCTTTTTTCAGAGAACCTAGAGGAACTGTTTAAGAAGGGTGTGTTTGAAACCATGTTCTGCCTCCATGAGGTGAGTCAGCCGTTGACGAATCTCATCAAACTCCACAATCAAGTTGTTATTTTTATTATTATTTTTTTTAGCTTCGATTGAAGTGTTTTTGTATTGATTATCTTGTGATTCTTATATTGAGCTAAATGACCTGCATGCTCAGCTACAACAGGTATATGTTAAACGAAAACCTTCTTGAAATAAATGGTTGTGCTAAACATTCAGCAGCAGAAGATATGAAATGTCGATTTAATCCATCACAATGAACAAAATCAGACTTTTTTTCCCCCCCACACTGTAATTGAAAGACTGTCTTGATGTATTTATTGAAAGCCATTATGGTGATCCGTTTCAATAATTGATCTTTGATAAATAAAAGTGTAACGAGAGAATATGTCTTGATTAGTTGACATAACACTGCTGGGGACATTTGTCAACGTTTAATGAAAATGACCATTAATTACAGAGACAGCCTTTTAAAAAAAAACATATTCCCACACATAGAAATGAAAAATATTTAGACATACTGATATATATAACATTAATGTGAAACATTGTATTAGCATATAAGATAACCCCTTGAAGCCTGTGTGTTGATATTTCCCATGATGATCAGCGAGAAGCCCGGAATAATCTGAAGAAAAAGTGGGCGCGCTGGTCGGCTCTCTGTAAAGGACAACCAATCACCGACATCCAGTCAGTCACGCTGTCTGTCTGTGTCCCTGTCTCCACCTCCGTCTGTCTGTGTCCCTGTCTCCACCTCTGTCCGTCTGTGTCCCTGTCTTTACCTGCCTGTGTCTGTGTCCCTGTCTTTACCTGCCTGTGTCTGTGTCCCTGTCTTTACCCTGCCTGTGTCTGTGTCCCCTGTAGGGGCTACTTTGGGGAGAAGGTGGCCTTGTACTACCTGTGGCTGGGCTGGTACACCAAGCTGCTGGTTCCAGCTGCTGCTGTGGGTGTTTTTGTGTTTTTGTACGGACTCGCCTTCTTTAACACCAACCCTCTCATGTGAGTCGGAAGCATGGAATTATTTTTATGAGCATAATTTATTGAAGTTATTTTGATTTCTGTTTTAGAATTTTAAAAAATGTCTGACTTTTTGGTATCTTTGCGGTTTCAAGAAAGACCATTTCTGTATTCTTCTCCTAAACAGCTCTGATCGGTTTGTATTTTAGGATTCACCAAACTGTCCAAATTAGACCTAGTTGTTGTCGTGTATTTCACCCGATAAATATAACTTGACTTCCCATTAGAGTAATCTATTAACATACATTACATAGCTTTACAGGATGTACCGCTGACCAGTTTAAGTTAAACTGTTTTTGTTTATGAAATTATAAAGGCATAGAACAGTAAATTAGAAGTTGTGAAGTAATGATCCCGATCACAGAATTTTATATGTTAAACGTTTAGAGGATGTCTTTTTGGGTTAGTTAATTTACATGAAGATCAGTGTATGCAACATATTTTGCTCAACTCAACTTGTGGGCAACCAGAGAGTCTTTCTGCTATGAGTTGGGAATTTTGACAATTGCACTTCTGGGAAGCCTTGAGAAGAATCTTCTTGTTAACTAGGTTTGTTTGGAAAAAGAATCGGTGCAATTGGCCTATATTTTTCTCTGTCTGTGTCCTCAGTAAGGAAGTGTGTCAGTCCAACATCATTATGTGTCCTCGCTGTGATAAGAGATGTACGGTGTGGCAGCTGTCAGACACCTGCACCTACGCTAAGGTGAACTAATGCAATGTCACTTCATTTTGTTGATTTGATTTCTTTCCTGTGGGGCCAAGTAGGGCTTACCAGCTAAATGTATGTCATGTGACTGTTGATGAAGGACCTTGTAAAGACGTGTGCACAACCCTCTCTGATTTCCTGGTGCTGCATGAGCCTGATTCTTACTTCATCCCGTGTATTGTCCTGCGACAGTTCTTTTGCATGACTTCTGTGACTGTCAGTAATGCAGTAATTCAATGCAAAAAAGTGAAACTCGTATTAACTTGTAGTTATTATACACACACACACGGTGATTTTAAGTGTTTTTTACTTAAAATGTTGATGATTGCAGCTTATGGCTAATGAAAATCCCAAATTCAATGACAATATTGTGAAGAAGATGAATATTGTAGACTCATGGTGTCACTATAATCAGCTAATGAAGGTTTCCTGAGCCTTCAAATGATCTCAATCTGGTGCAGTACGGTACACAATCACTGCTGTGGAAGACTGCTGATAGGAAGACAATAGACAGTCTGGACAACTGGACCTCCTCCACTAGGAGGGTAAGCCACATAAAGACATTGCTAAAGAAGCTAGCTGTTAACTGTTCTCACAGTGCTATATCCATGGGGAAGGTTGAGTGGAAGGAAACAGTGGGTAGAAAAAAAGGGCTTGGTTTTTTTAAATTAAGGCTGTGTAATATTCTAATTTTCTGAGCTACTGAATCTGGGGTTTTCCTTTAGCTATAAGCCGTTTTATGTAACTAGAACCACACACTAAGGGCTTAGGGTAGTGCTTTGTCATCCCGAGTGTCCTTACTGTGAATGAACTATGGTGGTTTATGGTGTTCGCAGCCCCTCTAAGGCCCGAAAAGATGGTCCAGTTGTTAATCTGTTTGTCATATGTATACTATTTGTTTGTATCCATACAGGTCAGCCACCTGTTTGACAATGAGGGCACTGTGGCTTTTGCTATGTTTATGGCAATCTGGGGTGAGTGTCTGATGAATGGCGATGACTAACATGTGTATCATAATGTTTAACTGGTTGTATCTGTGTCTTACAGCCACTTTATTCCTGGAGCTGTGGAAGAGAACCAGATCCAGACATGTTTCTCAGTGGAAGGTCTTTGACTGGTGTGAGGAAGAGGTACTTCTGACCCGTCACGTCTAGATCCTCTAACGTGTTGAACCTAACCAGTAGCAACCCTACAATGCAGATTCCAAACAGTTAGACTATTAGAGGCTTTTTCCAATTATTATTCTAATTGTATATTATCATAGCACACACCGTATTTAATGAGTATGCAGTAAAGGATTGTATATAATATCCACTAAATACAGTAAAAGAATCTACACAGGTGGAATTCTCAAGAAGAATCTAAAATACAACAACGTTTCTGATATTTGCCTGATGCTTCCTGACTGCATGCAGTAAAGAGTTGAGGGACATGTCAGCTGGATGATACTTGATGATTTATTTTTCTTCCATTCATGATGGTTAGAATTTCTTATCTATATTTTATTTACATTTTCATTGCACTGAGCTTTAACACATTTTCCCCAAAAAGTCCTTTTCCTTTTACAGCTCCTTCTGACGTACCCTTCCAGGACACACCGTCCTTGTAACATCCCTTCAATGTGTTTACAGGAGGAACTGATTATGGAAATAGTCAATGATCCAAACTGCCAGCCGAAAAAGTTCAGACACTCCTACCTGCGCAGCACCGTGGTGCTCATTCTGGTAACCCTCATGGTAGGGGACACACAGGCTGCCACATGTTATGTCACGATGACAATGTCAAAAAATCTGATTTACAATTACGGGTATTTAGTCACTTTGAACATCTTCCAGGATCTGTCCTCATAGGATGAGAAGTCATTTTGAATCATGTTTTACTGTTTTTTAAAATTAATTTTATTGAAATGGCTCGTATGACGAATTTAAATATTTAAACAAATTAGTAAATATCGACTGATTTTGTGTGGGGTGTTCTCCATCTGTAATCCTTAATGTTTTCAATGTATACATTTTAATATGACCGTCTGAACACGTATGTAAAGGTGGGGATTGGGACACACTCGGCACTCTATATCTGTAGCGGAATACCTAAAGAGTTCAGTGGGTGTTGAATACAGCAGGGCCGGAGCACTGACCTAAACCTAACTAGTGAAATGTTAACCTGCACATGAAAGCGTTTCACAACCAAAGGTCTGTTTTAATCATCCTTCAACAACCACTCTAACGTCTAACAATCCTAATGGGTTCTTGCTGCTTTGCTACATGATTGCAGTTCATTGTAAAGGGAAGGTAATTTGGTCACTGAAGATCAACAGCGGTGTCGGCAGAAAGAACCAGACGCATGTCAATGTGTGTGTTTGTGTTCCAGCTGATGCTGATTATTCTCCTCGCTCAAGCCCTGGTGGTGTTTCGAGTTGTGGCCGCCCCCCTAATGTCTGAAGGCGGCTGGGAGTTTATGAGGGACCATGCAAACACTGTGGCTGTCATGTTTGGAGCTGTGCTGCATTATCTCACCATTCAGATCATTGACCCGGGTATGTATACCTGTATCCTCATGCTGTATTATGCAATAGGGGGGTCTGTGGTAACTGAAATCTGTGTTTACGTTCAGGCCACATACAAGAGAGCAGTTTTCTGTTTCCAAACTGCTGAGGATGTGAGCTCAGAGCACCTCACTAGTGCGCGCGTGTAAGAGCACCTCACTAGTGCGCGCGTGTAAGAGCACCTCACTAGTGCGCGCGTGTAAGAGCACCTCACTAGTGCGCGCGCGTAAGAGCACCTCACTAGTGCGCGCGCGTAAGAGCACCTCACTAGTGCGCGCGCGTAAGAGCACCTCACTAGTGCGCGCGCGTAAGAGCACCTCACTAGTGCGCGCGCGTAAGAGCACCTCACTAGTGCGCGCGCGTAAGAGCACCTCACTAGTGCGCGCGCGTAAGAGCACCTCACTAGTGCGCGCGCGTAAGAGCACCTCTCTAGTGCGCGCGCGTAAGAGCACCTCTCTAGTGCGCGCGCGTAAGAGCACCTCTCTAGTGCGCGCGCAAGAGCACCTCTCTAGTGCGCGCGCAAGAGCACCTCTCTAGTGCGCGCGCGTAAGAGCACCTCTCTAGTGCGCGCGCGTAAGAGCACCTCTCTAGTGCGCGCGCGTAAGAGCACCTCAATAGTGTAATAGTTTGGTGAAGGCAGGCCAAATATTTTGGAAGTTATTAGTCTTGTCAAATTAAAAACCCCTTGCGAAGTTCATTAGCCCATATCTTCTCAAAACAATGAGATATCAACACGATCTTGATGAGGCGGGGGGGAAATTTACCCAATAATGATCCCCAGAAAATTACGTGACAATTTCACATAGCGTTTAGGAGAAATGGCCAAAAAGGTGAGGCGCATTTGCATACCATGATTGACTTTTTTTTGTAGTGCATGTCCAAGAGCACATGTGTGCTAAATTTCAAGTCAATCGGGCATCTTGGGAAAAAAGTTGCCTAGTGTGGTACCTTTTTACCTTTCTAGGGGGCGCTTTGGAGACATTTCTTTGTACCCAAATGCGAGACCCAAAAATTATCAAATTTTTCACCAGTTCTGATATGCATGCCAAATTTAACAACTTTTTGAATCTGATAAAAGGGAAAAATCCTTTAGAGAAAAAACTAAGAAGAATAATTCTATGAAATACGTGGCTGGGAACTGCAAGGTTGGTGGTTTGAGTCCCGACTGCCCCATGTCTCAAGTCGAAGTGTCCCTGAGCAAGACACCTAACCCCTAATTGCTCCCTGGGCAAAATGTGAAAAGCCATGGGTTTAAAGTGTAATGTAAGTCGCTTTGGATAAAAGCGTCTGCTAAATGACCTGTGATGTAATGTAAATGTAATGTAAAATACAATAGGTTCCTCTACGACTAGTCATAGCGAGGACCCTAATAATAAAAATAAAAAAACTACATTTCCCCCATCCCCTCGCACCCCACCTGTAATACCTCCGCGCCCCACCATAGTTTGAGAACCAGTGGTGTAAGCTAGACTTTTTGTGCATTTGACAACGTCAGTCTTTCCCCTACCGTTGTAACTTGTATAATGTCCGGCCAAACCATTTGCCCAACCCACTCCCCCAAAGTTCTCAACCCAGTGGAACTGAATAATGGTCAACATAAGTTCCCTTTTAAGTTGTCTCCTATGGCCTTTAAAGATTTTGGTATTTTTGTGGAACGTACCCTAAAAAATGAACATGTGGGATGTTTAAAAAAATGAAATTTGCTTATTGGACAGAATTAGTGAACATCCTGCCAAGAAAGGGAAACCTGCTGATATTGTATTAACCATCACATCTCTGCTCCCTGTAGGTCAACAGATGGGTGTCCCTCAAACTGTGTGACGTAGGTGAGAACAAAGAACACTTCAGTGTGCACAGTACAAATGCAATAAGATGTAGGAATGCATACATTACACCATAAATGTGAAGCAACTGAGTAGAGTTAAATGATCTAAATGCATTCATAATATTGAATTTCAGATGTAATGTACAAACCGATTTAGTCACGTATCTCACAGTGCATGAATGCCTGACCAAGTGCTTTCTGTGTTTTCAGAGAAGACCAACTCATCTGCAGCCACAGAGAGGAGCTTCACGGTCAAGATGTTTACCTTCCAGTTCTTCACTCTTTTCTCCTCACTCTTCTACGTGGCCTTCTTCCTGGGCAGGTACTCTGTCTGTCCTCACTGTATCCGTCTGTTGTAGTCCATCTCGTGTAGTCCATCTACTGTGTCTATCTACAACTGTCCTTTCAACTCAAATATACTTTGTGTAAAAATGTCAACATGGCCAAAGCGTCAACACATGGTACAATTAGGAAATAGCTGAAAATAAAATAGCTCCACTTTTTTTAGTCATGTGATGGTGTAGTATATCTTTCCTCTACCGTTGTAAAGCTCCTTCACTTAGAAGGAATGTGCTGTCACCGGGTAGACATGCAGATTGCTGATGAAGCTCATTTGTTGTTCAGGATAAACGGCCGTCCAGGGGACTATGCACGTATTGCTGGATGGAGACTGGAAGAGGTGAGGAGGTGGACTTTTAAGTATGTCATTCATAAATCGTGTCTCCACCACAGTACTGAGCCTTAGATATGTTCTGTGTGTGTGTGTGTGTGTGTGTGTTATAGTGCCATCCTAGTGGTTGTTTGACAGACCTCTTCATCCAGATGGCCATCATCATGCTCCTCAAACAGACTCTCAACAACATCTTTGAGTTCTCTGTGCCGTGAGTGTCTATGTTTTGTTCCAACACATCCTGTAAGTGTGTGCTGATGAGGCCGAGTAATGTCCGACTTTGCCTTCACGTGAGAACGTTTTGTTTTCCAGCTGGGTTAAGAACCGTCTGAGCAGAAACAATGCAAAGAAGCTGCAGAGGAAGTGTGGTCAGCGTCAAAAGAAGGGCTGCCGTGATAGTCAGCGTGCCGAACCGTGTCACACCTGCAACCTTCCGGACTGGGTGTCAAATTACCATCTGGACAACACAGACAACTTCAGTCTGTTCAATGAGTTCTTGGAGATGGGTACGTCCGTAGTCTCCACCCAAAAAGCCCATTGCATTAATACAATGGTGGATAGTATGTCCATACAAGGTCCCAATGGTGTGTGTGGGTCGTCGTGCCGCAGGGGTACAGAGGGCGCGCTGGGAACTGCAAGGTTGGTGGTTCGAGTCCCAGCTGCCCCATGTACCAAGTTGAAGTGTCCCTGAGCAAGACATCTAACCCCTAATTGCTCCCCGGGCAAAATGTAAAAAGCCATGGGTTACAAATGTCACTTTGGATAAAAGCGTCAGCTAAATGACCTGTAATGTAATGTGCGTTGTCTATCCTCTCCACTTTTGACTGTTTATTGATAATTATAACACACTTTCTAGTAAGTCCATGTGCTTCTCCACCCAGTGGTCCAGTTCAGTTTCACCACCATATTTGTGGCAGCATTCCCCCTCGCCCCCCTGCTGGCTCTCATCAACAATATCTTTGAAATACGTCTGGATGCTATCAAGATGGTCCGCCTGGAGCGGCGGATTGTTCCAAGGAAGACCAACGACATCGGTGAGCTGTGTGTCTGTCGAAAGGTTCTTGTGTAGAGTGGGCTGCTACCTGAATCGTTTCCATAATACACTGTGGTGTGTGTGTGTGTCTGTGCGAGACACTACGGTGTCCTGTGTAACCGTACTCTCTCCTGCGTACAGGTGTGTGGACGAAGGTGCTGGAGGTGATTGGCGTGTTAGCAGTGATTGCTAACGGCCTGGTCATCGGGGTCTCATCGGACTTCATTCCCCGCCTTGTCTACCGTTACCGTTATGGCCCCTGTGCTAACGGAAGCAGTCTCACACAGTTAGTCCTCTTACAGCTGGAAGAATCACCTGATAAGATATCCGCTCACAGTGTTGTGTCTGATCATGAGTGCTGTGTGTTCTTCTTGCAGCTGCATGCAGGGCTACATCAACGACACTTTGTCTACGGCTGTTGTGTCACATGTGGCTGTTAGAAATGACTTTCTCCCCAATCAGATGATCACAGACAAGGGCTTCAACGTCACACAGTGCAGGTGAGAAAACCATAGTCTTACTCGGCTGTGAAACAAGAAAAGGTCACAGATCTGACTACCGATACAATCTGTCTGTGCGTACAGCTACAGAGACTACAGGAGTGATGAGGACTACACACTGACTGCTCAGTTCTGGTTGGTTCTGGCTGTGCGCTTTGCCTTCGTCATCTTGTTTGAGGTTGGTCCTCCACATTTTGCTTAGGCAAAGATGTCGACTTGAACTGAAGATGGCATTGAACTATCGTCTGTTTTTCTGCAGCACGTTGTGGTGATGTGCAAGTTTATAGCGGCCTGGTTTGTCCCTGACAATCCTCTGCAGGTGAAAAATGACCGGCTAATGGACAAACTGGCCCGGCTGAAGCATGAGCTACAGTAAGTAGGCAGCCCAAAGGCAATGCATTCTGTGTTTTTTCAGTCAGGTAAGCAGCTCTTTGGAGGCTAATGTCTTTCTGTCCAAGTATCTTGATCTCTCGATCCTTCAATTTTGGCCACACAGACATATCTCAACAATTACTGATTTAATTGTGATAAAATCTGGTTCAGGCGGTGGTGTTCCTCCCCAGGATTGACTGTGAACGCTTTGGTGATGTGCTAACTTTTTAGCTAGTGCCATTGTCAGGTCAACATTTGTAGTAATGCATCTTTGTCTTTTAGTGCTAATAGTAAAATGTTTGCAACCAATCATTGTTAAGTCACCTGTTAATCATTAGCATGATAAAAGTGTGACATTACTTTATTTTACCGTAAAAGAGGCAACGCTTGTTGATGACGTGTTTGGAGAACAGACTTTCTTAATTATGTGTAGATTGTCTTAATAACCCAGTTTGTCCTTTTCATACCAACATCACAGAGACACCAGTATGGCTCCACACTTGTTCTCATGACTGAAATGTCTTGTTTCTGTTCTTGTTTCAGGAAAAAACGTACCAATGAAAGCAAGTCAACGGACGTCTGACCACATACGCATACAATCTCCACTGATGAGACCTGTTGTTGAAACACGGAATGGACTTCACTAAACTTTAATGTTGTGTGAGGTTTATGTGTCAGGGTATCATTTGATTTTTCTTTTATTACTTGGTCAATGTTATACAAACATCACGTAATGTTTTTATATATTAAATTTTAGTAAAAAAAGTATTGTCAGTTGACAATCTGTATAGGGTATTGTTGTTCCTGAGATCCGGGTCACATCTAATCTTGGTGAAGAACATCAATCAACTCCACGTTCAATGTGTCCAGTCTGACTAGGGGTCTTTCCCAATACACACACCCAACATTCTTGAACCCTTACAGGTGTGTTCATGCATGTATTAGACACTGTCACATGCTAACTCTGCTCAGTGTATCCCACAATGCACCACGGTCTACTACTCCAACTCCTGTTGGCGGTAGGGGGACTACAGGCTGCCAGTTAGTTCATGACTCGTTGCCTTCAGGTGGTAATATCAATGCAACATGATATTTTGTGTTCAATAGACCCACTCCCTGAAGTGAACATGAAATGCCTGGACATTTATAAGAACCAATAGAACACTGTTAAGATTAATATAAAACACTTCATGGAACACCTTTGTTAATATTCACTGTTTTCATATAGGCGCTTAGAACATTTTATTTTGTATAGCCCAAAATCGCAAATTACAAATTTGTCCCACACATTGGCACAGGAAAAACTCCTTGAAAAAAAACCCTTCCAAGAGGGAAAAAAGGGAAGAAACCTTAGGGAGAACATCAGAGGAGGGATCCCACTCCCGGAATGGACAGACTACAATGATGTCTATGTTTACAGAATGAACAATGTATAATACATGCAATTATATGACAGAAATGATTCAAGTAATTGTGAGTAGTAAGCCAGGCGCACAGCAGGACCACTGCAGGGGCAACCACCATCAGATAGAACCACCATCTACAGAAGCCTGTGGGGAGGGAGAGCACAGAGACATTAGGACACGGTAATGTTGGTTTATGATTTCAGTAATATGATTAATATTTAAGATAATGATGGCAGCAGCAGGTGTCAGCAGTGCCACGGCAGTTGTCAGGACCAGGTTCCAGAAGGAACTAGGATCGACGGAGACCTGCTAGGGGAGAAAGCACAAAAAAACTCCCGGAAAGAAACTAAATTAGTCATGTGCATTAATAAAATGTGGATTATTGTAGAAAGCGAGAGGGAAAGAGGAGCTCTGTGTGTCTTAAGAAGTCCCCCGGCAGTCTAAGCCTATAGCAGCTTAACTAAGGGCTGGTTCGGGCTAACCTGAGCCAGCCCTAACTATAGGCAAAATCAAAGGGGAAAGTTTTAAGTTTTACTTTAAAAGAGCTGACTTTATCTGCCCCCCGGACTGAAAGTGGAATCTGGTTCCACAAAAGAGGAGCTTGATAACTGAAGGCTCTGGCCCCCAGCCTACTTTTTAAAACAATAGGAACAACAAGTAACCAGCATCTATGGAGCGCAGCTGCCTTGTAGGGAAATAAGGTGTTTCAAGCTCTTTAAGATCCAACGGTGCCTCAACAGCAAGTGCCTTGTAGGTGAGAAGTACCTTAAAATCTATTCTTGACCTTGAAGGACTGTGGTACATGTCTTGTCAGCAAAGACAGACTCATAATATCCAGTAAAGACCTGGGGCCTCATTTATAAACGTTGCGTACGCACAAGAGAAGTCGTACGCCGCTCTCTACGCAATAATTGGTATTTATAAAAAGCAAACTTGACGGAAAAATGTGCGGTCCTTCACGCAAGCTCGGACCCACGCGTACGCACAAAAACGGGTGAAATGAGAACCATCGGCAAATGCAAGAAAAACGCAAACGCGTGTGAAAGTGTGTAAAACTAGACTGTTGTAAAAGAAATGCCAATACTGCCTCTCATAAATAACACGAACACCCGTTTGATCGATCTGCAGCGTAAAACAAATACAAATTAACACATTTTCAAAAAGAAAAGTGAAATGTGTTCTGCAATAATATTGGCATGTTATGCAATTCATCCTCAAAACATCTTGCTTGTCAGATGCAATTAAATGGAATAAAATGCCATGATGCCATCACAATGCGTAATGACGCTGATGGCTGATCTTGCTCTCTTACCAAAACCGTTATTGTTTAGAGCTTTTTAGAGGTAATTGTTCAGTCAAGCAGTAAACGTGCTTTCATTTTTTAGCAGAATTAGTTCAATAATTTGGTAGTTACATTTCGCAGTCATTCTGTCTCATGTACCAATATTGATGTGTAAATAATTAAGTAAAATTAATCATTTATTTTTTTCATAACGAGCGACTGTGGGTGAGTGGGGAGCAGGTCGTCCTCCAATCAGAGGGTTGTCGGTTTGATCCCAGGTTCTGCTAACCTGCATGTTGATGTGGTCATGGGCAAGACACTTAACCCAACATTGCTCCTGTAGCTGTGACTACAGTGTGTGAATGTTAGTTATTGATGGGCAGGTCACTGTGTGTGGTTCTTCTGTCATCAGTGTCAATCAATGGGTGTGAATGGGTGAATGATGTCATGTAGTGTTAAAGCACTTTGAGTGGTCGGAAGACTAGAAAAGCGCTATACAAGTACAGGCCATTTACCATTTAACTGCCACTGTCACTGCAAATATCTGTAATAATGTTCCATTCTTAGCATTTTCAGGCACAAACCATGAAAAAAATATCACTTTATATATTGCATATGGGAAACAGAGTCCAGGGGGGCATCATCCTTTTTATGTTTGTCTTTTGTCTTACAATTAAAAAAAAATGCTTTAACATCAATCATTACCAGGGATCAATAAACATGTCAACAGCAGTGTTTGTATTGCAGAAATATTTATTTTTTTAATGATCACCCATCCAATTTCTAAAATGAAGAATGTGGATCTTTAAATACCAAGTACAGGAAGGTCCTATGTAAAGTGTTTGTAAGGCTTCATAGGGGGACGCGCTGTGGTCAGCGTCTCCTGCGGCGCTGGGGTTTGGACGTTGTCCCCGCCACGCACTCTGCTTTGTTGCAGTGGCACGTCTCCACTACGATGTAGCTGTGCTGCACCTTGGAGCCGTTGGTGCAGGTGAGCTCCACCTGTCTCTGTGTTTTGGTGGCTTCTTGGCAACACTCACATTGGTGCATCATCATGTTAGCTGCTGCAGAATACCTGTACACAGACACAGAAAACCGCTGTTAATTTTAGTACACACTGCTATTCCACCTGACCTGCGGGAACCGAGTTCGTGTTATATGCAAAATGAAGGGTTTTGCCGATAAAGTTGAAACTGTGATGCTAAATAGACTCACATGGATGAGCTTCCACAGTTTCCCGCGCAGGAGGTCATGTTGACCGGCTGCGTGCTCCTGCAGTCGTTGACCTCGATAACGGCCTCCTTACTCTGGAGCTCACAGCGGCTCACCAGCTTGCCTGCAACACACAGCAACCATTAGGCTCTCGCACTGCACCATGACGCTCCTCCAAACAGGTATTAAACACGCGAATAACTTACAGGTTGTGCAGCATCCAAGCGCGTCTGTTGTCTCGGTACCCTGGAAAATAAAAACACATGTTATGCATGTTGGCAGACAAGTTGGGGAGTGTTAGGTTTAGAATAAACTTACAGGTTCACAGTCCAAAGGGTTAAAGGGCGGACATGTGGTCTTGGTTTCCTTTGTAACAAGCTGTCCATTCATGTTCTCACATGTATATTGCACACACTTGTGATTAGGTGGTATAAATGTGTTGTTGACCTGTACCAACAGCAAGAGCAGAAAGAAAGATGAGTCAACAAAGAAATGTATTTATTTTTTATCAAATAAAAATGTTTAAAAATGTTCTTTTACGTTCAATTCAACAAATATCTGCATTGTCATTAGCTAAATACAGTATGGAACAGCAAACACTAGAAATGTGAGGACACTCACACAGCGGGAGTACTGACCTCAATGGTATATGTTGTGTTTTCAGGTGTGGTGAGAATACAGCTCTTCTGAACACATGTCCCACAGCACTTGTCAGTTGCAGTCTGATATTCATAACCCTGGAGACAAAGGAGCGAGTACGGTAAAGTTTTAGCACAGAATGTATCCCAGTGAGTGTGTGTGTGGTCTGTAATCAGCTTACTCTGGAGCAGTTGGTGTTGCAGACAATAGGTTTGCAAGAAATGATGTTTAGCTTGGTGATGGGATCCCTTTGGGGGCCACAGTAACACTCCTGGCAGGGTGCGGGTTGAAAGGACTTCTCTGTCAAAGGACCCGGTGTTGTTTCTCCTCCTGGTTGGGCTTTTGTGATCCCTGATGGTTGTTCTTGTGTTGCTGCTAATTGAAGTGGCAATCCGGGTGGAGTTTCTGATGTTGGTACCTTGGAACCAGGCTATAAAATGTACATGGATCAAAGCGTAAGTCTCTAAATCAATTCTCCTTTCTAAGGAAGTTTTTACACTAGTACCTCTTTTGTTTTGGATCAAGGGGGGAAGATTGCTTTCATAGTTAAGTGTGATTAGTGCATTATGCACATTTAATACCAGTTTGTAATTCATGCTGATGTCACAGTGCAGTTCATAAACCACCTTCTCAGCAGGTCTTTGTGCCGCTGTTTAGTCCACACCACAGTTGGATGAATAAAACGCACACAAACAAAACCAGAGTGCAAGATTTAAGTGTGGCCTAACAGCTGGTGCTAAAGCCCCTTAACGTGCATTTTCATCCAAGCTGCTTCATGTGGTTCAGATTAGCTATTGTGTGACTACCTGAAAGAGATATGCCAATCTGCCAATCATGGCGACCTCTGCCATTTTGCAACATCATGTTGTAACCTGATAACAGGAGTACTGGGACGACGACCCTCGAGAAGTCAACTTTGTTGAATGCTGATATTTCAAACGTGCATCAGGACACGCACTGATGTTCTGGTGACGTAAGGTACCCGTAATTCAACCAGCTCTGCCTATGTATGTTTTTGAACCCTCCTTCCTGTTGTCCCTGAACTTTGACAGATACATTGCTATGGGGCGTCTGGACTGTGTGCTTACCTGGTACTCAGTCATGTTGTAGACACAAACACCTTTAGGAACTGCAAAAGAAACAAGGTTCAGTTGACTCTGACACCAGATTAGCAATGCAGATGTGTGCTAAACTGTGTGCTGAACTATCTATCTCAGTACTCGATGCATGGAAACAAATCTTTGGAACAGATCTTCAATTAGTGTAATTCATGAAAAAGTGTTTTTCACAAACTGGTTCATTGTTCTGGAAAGCCCTTCATATGTGCATCAATTATAATGGTTATAATGGTAAATCTCTAGGGATACATTCTAAAAAAAAATCCTCCTTTCAAGACAAATTAGCGGGACCCTTTTCCAGTAGATAATGGCCACAGGGATGACCACATACCACACTGGTAGGATTGGCAGCAGGTGCTGTTGAGGACGTTGAGTTGGAACCCCAGGGGACAGCTTATAGCTGTTGGACACAGGTTTAGGTTGCATTCTGTTGGGGACAGAAGGGTGGGACGATTATGTGGATGTGGAAAGTTGACATAGTAACTGAAGGACAATAACAGCAGTTCTTCACATTTAGATGATTCACTACAAGCTAACGGGAGATAATGCTGGGACCCAGGCCCTATTTTTCCAGCCTGCACTGCTTCGGCAGTTTGACACGTCCACACCTGGAAGCTGACTAACCGACTCAGTTTAAAGGCCTTTCACTTAACTTTTAAGTATTTTCCTTAAACTGAGCTAACATTGGCAGTGTCTCACACTTGTAGGGGTGCTTCATTGCAAACAACTGATGATGATTAGTACGTTTAGTTTTAAAGATGAAGTCGTAGATGCACTAAACACCTAAAATAATCTGACATCATTTGAACAACTCAATAAATATGAAATGTCCTGTTAGTGAGATAAATGCCCCAAATACTCCATCCCGAAAACACAACAGTGGTTTCTCTCACCATGGAAACATGTGGACATATATACGTGTTTTAACATACTTTGTTCTCTGTTTACATTAATTCTTGCTTCTATATTTTTATCTTATTTGACTTGGTCAAATTCCTCTGTGGCAATAAATTGTTTCCGATTCTGATTCTGATTCTCAAGTCAAAAGCACAGAAACACTTTCTATCTTGTGAGTTTAATCTACTTTACTTTAAGAATGTGTCAGAGATGAGACCACCAGCTGCTAAACCACTAGCATCGGGACGGCAGTGTCAGTGTCGCAGTAATTTCAGGTGGCGATAGAACATACAATAACTTGTTCAAAACAAATCCCATAAAAAGAAGGTCTGTGGGTTCATCCCTTCAGTGGGAGATCTCACTTTGTAGCGTAAAGGTAGCATAAATGCAACAAGCGCACAGAATCCCATCGAGTTCTGTGCCACTTTAACCCACCACAGGACTGCGTTGTGCAGCAGCCGTCTGTGTGGTTGACCAGCTGCTGGCCCGGCAGGCTGCAGTTGGGGCTCGGTGTCGTCGGGCAGAGGACGGGCTGACACTGGATGCTCATGGAATCGTTGTCACAAATACAGGTGTTGCAACCACTTGTCCACGTGTCACCAGTCTGTTTCAGAAACAGGATCCAGGTGAGACACAGAACTCATGCTTTGGTAGACAATACGAAAACATGGGACAGGGATGGTTTTCACCTCTTTGGGTTTTCCATCAGGTCCAACACAACCTGAAAGTTAAACAGAAGCAATTGTTTGTGGATTTGATGTGCGCTTCAAGCTACTGCCTCTGAAAAAAATTTAGTTTTCTTTTGGAGCTTCTCTTACCACAGGAGGCCACACATGTGTCATAGACTGTGTTGAACAAGGTGGTACCATGAGGACAGAAGCAGCCCTCCATATTGCTGTTCGAGGATGCCCCACTGTGTGTCTGGAACTTTTGGTTGTATCTGGTGTCAGATAAAGTTAGTTATTCCACACACAACACAACCTATCACCACATTCTATGGAACATTCTATTCTCTCAGTATTGTATAAATACCAACAAACAAAACAAATTTGAGTTATTTTGTACCTGTCATTGCATGTCGGCTCTACTGTGGGGCCACAGGCCATGTACACCTTGTTATTTGGACACTTGAGTGCTGCAATATGGAGATATATTTGCATAAATATTGATCAGAACTTCATGCAAGATGTATAGTTCTATGAACTATTAGCGACAGATCTTACCACACTGCCCATTGGTTGCATTCCTCCAGTCGATACAAACTCCGGCGACGGAGCACTGAGTGGCATAAGCCTCCAGGCTGGTGCAGCCTGTGGCATTGCCACTGTTGCAAACGTCAGACCTACAGGATGTCAAGAATGGTCCTGCGGGCACGACCGTATTGCATGGTGCAAAAACACTAGAAGGATCATACAAGCAAGAACAGAATATCAGGAAAAGTGACCAGAAAAAATTAGCATGTCAGTTGTAATGTCAAGCAATCCAGTGATTGAAAAATGTCGTGGAATAATTATTGTCATAGCTTTCATTGAAAAAATAAAGACAATAGAGCAATAAATTATTGTGTAACATGACTGTATGGATCCATTGTACCATATGCCATTTCTCTCTTTTAATCATTATCAAATGTAACCAATATGGATCTCAACAAATAGCCAATAAATTGACTTGTTTCAATTTCGATTTATCAGCAGAAAAAAATGTCCTAATGCCAAACATCTAAGGCTTCTGAAAAAAAGTACATACATCTACAGCTGAAAATGGCACAAAGCAGTGTTTTCCAACCTAAATCTATAAAGGACAATATAGCAGATTCCTTATCTATCCAAGTTAGAGCTTTTTCCTGAACAGAATCGTGCAGAAACCTTTCTATCGTTGCGAGTAATTAGTTTTGTACAATATAATTGAGCCAAAAATTAAGACTTTTTATTACTTTGGGGTTCCCCTCACCTGCTGGTTAGGATATCGCAAATGTCAGGTTTGCAAGGATTCTGTGTTGTTGAGTAAGGTGCTTTTGAAGTAGTTATAGTTGTTGGGGTTGTCGGGGTGACGCAGGATGTACCCGGAACATTCCACTGGCCTGCAGTGACGGCACAGCTCTCCACCTGGCCGTTTGGAGAGCGACAGTCGTTGTTCTGGGAGTTGTCACAGGTCCCTAGGAAACAAGAGGCAGGTGGTTGAAGCCGAAGCTTTGGGGCTCATACAAGAACCAGATCAACAGATATGTTCCTAAATAGAACGTGCCAGCCATTTAGGAGAATTTATGGTATTTAACAAATTTTCTTTCACACCAGCTTCTCATTGCTGCCTCTGAACCCCACGGTGTATTGTTATCTATCGTTAGCTATGAGATGAGGTCTGGATGGCAACTTGATTGAAAATTAATTATGCTAATTATGTATCCAAGCTGAAACAAGGGATTTATAAAAACCCAAAGCAGTTATAGCACTTGTATAATCTAACCTCAAAGGTGAATTGTATAAGATAACATTTGAATGCAAAGAGCTTTCAGGCCATTGTCTCTTTTAGTAGTGCTAAACTGTCCACGTGGTTGTAACAGACCTGTGAGTTGTTGAATTAACTATTTCAACTCTGCGTTGGGCCTATCCTACAATAACTGCAGGATGCCCTCTGGTTATAAGTGGCATTGAATTGTTTCTAGGTTCTCTCAACCAATGATTTGACCAACTCAGTTTCACTTGATAGGTGCACGTTTTGAATCGAGCATTCTGCTAACTCACCACACTGTCCCTCAGTGTTTCCACCAAAGGAGGAATAAGGGAGGTCAATGGTGAATGAGGAGTGTGTATAGACAACTTTTGTGTTGATCTCAGGTATCTCCAACGTGATCACCATATCTGTGCTGGTGATGCTTAGAACAGAATTTTTGTAGGCGGGATAAATCTGTTTCTCATTCACATAGACCTGTGGGACAATGTGACCAAAACATTAAATAAAACTGTGAAGCACAGCAGCATTTCTAAATATACATCACACCACTTAAGCAATTACTATAAAATAATAAAGGAAATTAATTACTAACACTGAAGCTATACATGTCATTGACAATTTATCTGGTTGCTTACCACATTAGCTGCTGTTCCTGAAGTCTTCAACTGAGTCAAAACTACTGTGTATGTTCCATATGTTACAATGAGAGCCTGGGGACAGAATGTGCTGTCTGAAGGGTCACAGTCTTCGTTTTTTACTATAATAGTAAGGTTATATTTAGTAATAATCTCTTTGACAAGGAAGTAAGAGCAGTTCTCCTTGAAACTGTATGACTTTCCATCGAATGTGATGTAGTGGGATCCAGCCCAGCCACTGCATACACCTGCAGGATAACAAGAACCATGAATGAAAACAATAGGTATTAACTGGAAGAGGCAGGTTGGTTTATTGGCAAACGGTATTGACATTGATTGTATTGTTTTGGTAGATAGGTAAATAGCTAAGTGGATTAAGTATGTTTTATTTAACCTGCATCCAGGATTTGTATGCACATTGACAAAACATGCTCTATTCCATTTTAATGAAAAGAAGTGATAATCTGTAATGACAGGTTCCATATTCAACTTACATTCACATTCATAATGGAAGCAGCATCCGTCATGTTCATTGACCTTGACAACTTTGCGCCCATTTGCACAGATGGGTTGTTGTGGTGTGGGACAGGGAGTGGGTGTCTCTGTGATCTTGCCATTGATGCAGATAGCTGTGGTGCAGTTGCTGACCTTCCAGGACTCGCCATTCTGGATAGTTATTGAGGAGCAGTAAGTCATACAGGAAACGGTGTGTATAGAAAAATAAAGTATGTGTGAATGGTTAGTTAGAATGCTAATTGGCAGGTATCGCCTGCGTGAATGATGACATGTAGTGTTACACAGCTTTGACTTGTAGGAAGACTATATATACGAGTACAGAACATTTACCATCTACTGGGAACAAAGCAGCGACTCTTTTAAGTATTTTAGGAACAATTAAATTCACAATAAGGAATACAAAAGTATTGGATCTATATCTCACCTTTCTTGTTGAATTCACATCATTGCAGTCAGCAGTAGTTGTGGATGGGGTTGTTGATGAAGTGGAGGTAGAGCTGGCAATAGCTGTTATGGTGGAAGACATTGGGACGTTTGCAGTGGTGCCAAACATCGGAGTGCGAGACGGTGCTGTACTGGGACTCGGTGTTGTTGGACATGGTCTGGATTGAGTCTCAACTTTACATGATCCATTGCAATATGCAACATAACACCAGCCTAAGCCATCAGTGACATTGTACACCAAGTCCCCTGTGAAAATAATCAAAATAAAAGTTTAGTGCAGAAAATAAAAGGATTTCAAATGAATTGAAAATGTAAACAATTAGAGGATTGTGTGGGTGTTCAGAACAAAAGCAAGCATGCTTTTTTGAAAAAGGCAATAAACTGGTCTCAAGTTGATCTCAATGTGAAAACTTGGGATTATCTGAATATTGTGAGCAGACAGAGCCTTGACTACTGTTTATTGATTAATTATTATATAGCATATTCTTGTCCGTTCTCTAGTCATTGTTATCAACAAAATATTGTTGGATTTAAGGTTATTTTCTGAGACATTATTTATGGCATTTGTGTTTCATGGGACGTATTAATGTAAATAAGATATTGCTGAAAAAAACTGCTGTGAATTGGCCGCAGATCTCTGGACAGTGTTAGTATGAACAGCGAAACAATCAGTAAACATTCATGCTCAAACAATGATATAATAATGTACAACTGCTTTGTTGATATATTGGATGTTGCATTGATGCATAGATACTATGGATTCTATTCTAGTATATAACATTATATACTGTAGACTGTCTAAAAAATTGGTACCAACGCTTTATCAGAGGTGAAAAACCTCCAACTTTATTGGTCGTGCTGAAGGAAACTGAATAGATATAATTCTGTTTAATAAAAATCATGGGAAACATACAAGACAGAACGTATTGTTAATTACTGAACTTACAATAGAATATTACGTAAAGATCTTTAAAGCAAATACAATAGTTGGAGTGACACAGGATGAGTGAAAATGATGTAGAAAAGTAAAAAAACACTTACCAGAATGATGTGCAGTTCCATTAACAATGCAGACACATAACGTTGTAGTTGTGGATGCTAGAGGTGGTGTGGAAACAACTGTAGATCTGACAGGTTTGGTAGTGTAAACTGTTGTGCTGCCCGGAAGTGTCTGTGTTACTGGAGCAATGATAGTTGTACCTGTAGCTGTCGCTGCTGAAGTGAAAGCTGTCACCACAATAGGTGTTGTATTCAAAACAATAGGTTTTGTAATGACAGGTGACGTAACTGGATTTTCTGTAACTGGAAGATATGCTGTTGTACCATTTACTCGTGTAGTTTTTTCTGCAGCTATGGTTGTTCTTCCCTCAGTTGTTACAGAGAGTACTTCAGTTGTTGTGGTAACAACAGACGGTTTGGATGTTACAGCTGTTGTTTCGGGGCCTGATGTTGATGCACTTGCCAATGATGTTGTAGTTTCAACAACAGCAGTCGTAGAGGTTGTAACTGGGCCAGTAGTTACTCCTTTGGGTGGTTTTGTTGATGAGGCACTTCCTGTCGTTTGTTCCCATGTAGTTGTTTCTGAAATGATGGCTGTGGTTCCCTGAGTTGTAACGGAAGGGACTTCAGTGGTTGTGGTACCAATAGATGGATTGGATGTTACAGTTGTTGATTCAGGGCCTGATGTTGACGCACTTGCCAATGATGTTGTAGTTTCCACAACCGCAGTCGTAGAGGTTGTAACTGGGCCAGTAGTGACTCCTTTGGGTGGTTTTGTTGATGAGTCACTTCCTGTCGTTTGTTCCCATGCAGATTGTTTCTGAAATAATGGCTGTGGTTCCCTAAGTTGTAACAGAAGGTACTTCAGTGGGTGGTGGTACCAACAGATGGTTTGGATGTTACAGTTGTTGTTTCAGGGACTGATGTTGAGGCACTTGCCAATGATGTTGTAGTTTCACAACAGCAGTCGTAGAGGTTGTAACTGGGCCAGTAGTTACTCCTTTGGGTGGTTTTGTTGATGAGGCACTTCCTGTCGTTTGTTCCAATGTAGTTGTTTCTGAAATGATGGCTGTGGTTCCCTGAGTTGTAACGGAAGGTACTTCAGTGGTTGTGGTACCAACAGATGGTTTGGATGTTACAGTTGTTGTTTCAGGGACTGGTGTTGAGACACTTGCCAATGATGTTGTAGTTTCAACAACAGCAGTCGTAGAGGTTGTAACTGGGCCAGTAGTAACTCCTTTGGGTGGTTTTGTTGATGAGGCACTTCCGGTTGTTTGTTCCAATGTAGTTGTTTCTGAAATGATGGCTGTGGTTCCCTGAGTTGTAACTGAAGGTACTTCAGTGGTTGTGGTACCAACAGACGGTTTGGATGTCACAGTTGTTATTTCGGGGCCTGTTGTTGAGGTACTTGCCAATGATGTTGTAGTTTCAACAACAGCAGTCGTAGAGGTTGTAACTGGGCCAGTAGTTACTCCTTTGGGTGGTTTTGTTGATGAGGCACTTCCTGTCGTTTGTTCCAATGTAGTTGTTTCTGAAATGATGGCTGTGGTTCCCTGAGTTGTAACGGAAGGTACTTCAGTGGTTGTGGTACCAATAGATGGTTTGGATGTTACAGTTGTTGTTTCAGGGCCTGATGTTGATGCACTTGCCAATGATGTTGTAGTTTCAACAACAGCAGTCGTAGAGGTTGTAACTGGGCCAGTAGTTACTCCTTTGGGTGGTTTTGTTGATGAGGCACTTCCTGTCGTTTGTTCCAATGTAGTTGTTTCTGAAATGATGGCTGTGGTTCCCTGAGTTGTAACGGAAGGTACTTCAGTGGTTGTGGTACCAACAGATGGTTTGGATGTTACAGTTGTTATTTCGGGGCCTGTTGTTGAGGTACTTGCCAATGATGTTGTAATTTCAACAACAGCAGTCGTAGAGGTTGTAACTGGGCCAGTAGTGACTCCTTTGGGTGGTTTTGTTGATGAGGCACTTCCTGTCGTTTGTTCCAATGTAGTTGTTTCTGAAATGATGGCTGTGGTTCCCTGAGTTGTAACGGAAGGTACTTCAGTGGTTGTGGTACCAACAGATGGTTTGGATGTTACAGTTGTTGTTTCAGGGACTGGTGTTGAGACACTTGCCAATGATGTTGTAGTTTCAACAACAGCAGTCGTAGAGGTTGTAACTGGGCCAGTAGTAACTCCTTTGGGTGGTTTTGTTGATGAGGCACTTCCGGTTGTTTGTTCCAATGTAGTTGTTTCTGAAATGATGGCTGTGGTTCCCTGAGTTGTAACTGAAGGTACTTCAGTGGTTGTGGTACCAACAGACGGTTTGGATGTCACAGTTGTTATTTCGGGGCCTGTTGTTGAGGTACTTGCCAATGATGTTGTAATTTCAACAACAGCAGTCGTAGAGGTTGTAACTGGGCCAGTAGTGACTCCTTTGGGTGGTTTTGTTGATGAGGCACTTCCTGTCGTTTGTTCCCAATGTAGTTGTTTCTGAAATGATGGCTGTGGTTCCCTGAGTTGTAACTGAATGTACTTCAGTGGTTGTGGTACCAACAGATGGTTTGGATGTTACAGTTGTTGTTTCAGGGACTGGTGTTGAGACACTTGCCAATGATGTTGTAGTTTCAACAACAGCAGTCGTAGAGGTTGTAACTGGGCCAGTAGTGACTCCTTTGGGTGGTTTTGTTGATGAGGCACTTCCGGTTGTTTGTTCCAATGTAGTTGTTTCTGAAATGATGGCTGTGGTTCCCTGAGTTGTAACGGAAGGTACTTCAGTGGTTGTGGTACCAACAGACGGTTTGGATGTTACAGTTGTTATTTCGGGGCCTGTTGTTGAGGCACTTGCCAATGATGTTGTAATTTCAACAACAGCAGTCGTAGAGGTTGTAACTGGGCCAGTAGTGACTCCTTTGGGTGGTTTTGTTGATGAGGCACTTCCTGTCGTTTGTTCCAATGTAGTTGTTTCTGAAATGATGGCTGTGGTTCCCTGAGTTGTAACTGAAGGTACTTCAGTGGTTGTGGTACCAACAGACGGTTTGGATGTTACAGCTGTTGTTTCAGGGCCTGATGTTGATGCACTTGCCAATGATGTTGTAGTTTCAACAACAGCAGTCGTAGAGGTTGTAACTGGGCCAGTAGTTACTCCTTTGGGTGGTTTTGTTGATGAGGCACTTCCTGTCTTTTGTTCCATTGTAGTTGTTTCTGAAATGATGGCTGTGGTTCCCTGAGTTGTAACTGAAGGTACTTCAGTGGTTGTGGTACCAACAGACGGTTTGGATGTTACAGTTGTTGTTTCAGGGACTGGTGTTGAGACACTTGCCAATGGTGTTGTAGTTTCAACAACGGCGGTCGTAGAGGTTGTAACTGGGCCAGTAGTGACTCCTTTGGGTGGTTTTGTTGATGAGCTACTTCCTGTCGTTTGTTCCAATGTAGTTGTTTCTGAAATGATGGCTGTGGTTCCCTGGGTTGTAACGGAAGGTACTTCAGTGGTTGTGGTACCAACAGATGGTTTGGATGTTACAGTTGTTATTTCAGGGCCTGACGTTGATGCACTTGCCAATGATGTTGTAGTTTCAACAACAGCAGTCGTAGAGGTTGTAACTGGCCCAGTAGTGACTCCTTTGGGTGGTTTTGTTGATGAGCCACTTCCGGTCGTTTGTTCCAGTGTAGTTGTTTCAGAAATGATGGCTGTGGTTCCCTGAGTTGAAACTGAAGGTACTTCAGTGGTTGTGGTACCAACAGACGGTATGGATGTTACAGTTGTTATTTCAGGGCCTGTTGTTGAGGCACTTGCCAATGGTGTTGTAGTTTCAACAACAGCAGTCGTAGAGGCTGTAACTGGGCCAGTAGTTACTCCTTTGTGTGGTTTTGTTGTTTCAATTATAGTGGTTGTGGTTGGTCTTGTAGTGTAAAAAGTGATGGTGCCTGGAAGTGTCTGTGTTATTGGGCCAATGATAGTTGTACCTTCAACAGTTACTCCTGAAGTTAAAGCTGTCACTCCAATAGGTGTGGTTGTCAATATATTAGGTTTTGTAATAACAGTTGATGTTACTGTACTTTCTGTGAGTGCAAAAACTGTTGTTTGTTTGATCTCAGTTGTCTCAACTACTTGTGTTGTTTTTTCTGATGTAGTTTTTTCTTCAGGTTTAGTTGTAACAGTGGATACAGTGAATGTTGATCCTAATGTTGTTCTTGATTGCGATGTAGTACCTGTCGCAAAAACACACAATTTATTAACCACGTGAATGAGTTTATCCTTGTTCATCTTATTTGTTTTTGACATTTTTATTTTGGTTTCATAAATTATTAATGTTGTATTTACCACTTATCAGAAATATAAAAGTGAGAACACTGGTTATGTTGATTACATTTTCTTACCTGAAGTTGTCTTTTCAATGGTGGTAAATGCAAACGCAGTAGTCGTAGGGCCAGGTGTGGTTGTTGAAATGCACAGGTATATGTCTCTGCTTATTGTCTCATTGGCCCCACACTTAGCTATAATGCAGTTTCCCAAGCCATCTGTGGTGTTGTAGATGGTTGCCCCATATTCGTAGTTTTTTCCATTAATAAAGCACATGCAAGCTGCAGATCAAGACGTTTATGTTTTCAGTTTCAGCTTCAGTTCAGTCTCCTTGTTTGAGCGTGTTCAATAACATAGAAAATTTAGTTACAATTATAGCGTCAGACTGAATGTGTACTTACTGTTCACATCGTAGTTGCAAGATATTCCAGAAACGGTACAGGAACTTTAAAATAAAAGAAAAAGGTAGTCATATCATTCACCCACTTGGATTAGCTAGGTCATTTCAATGGCAGACTCAGTGGCTCCAAGCTGTACCAACCCTTCAAATAAAAGCTCTCTCAGGCTAAACACACGTAATCTGAGAAAACTCATGGATATTCAAGATTAAAAAGCAGTGGGAAAATAACATGTTTGGACGAAAGCCAGACAACTCATTAGAAAACCTGAACTGACAGGAGAATATGCAAAATCCAAATAAAAAATTGGTCAATGTTGAAAGTAAGGATGTATTAACTATTTTCTACTAAGTAACTTTAAATTGTTGCATGACCAAATGTTGCATGTTGTTGTATATCACTGCCTACAAAAACCTTTTGGGTGGTAATGAACCCTCTGTTTGAGACATACCAAGTGTAACAGTTGCCAGATGGAACCTTGTTTCCGATGCTGTAATGGTTGCCTTTGTCATCATAGCAGCCACATTGGTTCCAGGCAACGCATTTCATGTTGTCTTCGTCAAAGTAGGGCTCGGTTGGGGGACACTGTGGATAGCAGCCTGCAACACCATCATAACAAATGGATTAACATTAGTAGAAATAAAGATATTGCTAAATGCTTCTACCCAAAGCACACATACAAACTAAAGTTGCAGTTCTCATAACGAGTTCTCCAAACGGTTTAAAGGTCTCTGTTTTGTCTTGAGATCTATGGAGCCAAATCCAGGCTAAAATGTTTGATCATTTGAAAAACAAATGACACTGCAAAACGTTGATTCAACTGTTACAGAGTCAATTGTACGAAAGAGCTGGAGTTATTCAAGGACTTGGTTTTTAACTCTACAGCAGATTTATTTGTGACACTTAGAGTTAAATCAACTCTACGATATGCAGGTTTGAAATGTAACTGTACACCAGTATCACACTTCTTGGTGTTGGGTTTAACTCCATGTACAGTGTATTTAACACTTATTCCGAGTTAACTTCGTTGAGTGTTGATTTAACATCAAGATTGGGATAATATAAACACCAGCTTAGAGTTCAAATTAAATCTGAGAGAGTCAATTTAACTCTGTCGCTGTGTAGTTTTGACTGTTATTTTTTTAGAATAAAATATCTTTTTAGGGTATGTGATCATGAGTCACAGCTTAACAAATATAGCTGAGGACAGTTAAATCAACTTTTGGCAGTGTGATTTCACCTCTGCACTTTTGCCTAACGCTGAAAAATTAACTTTTGCTGTGTATATTTTGTTTTGGTTTTGGACAAAGAGGCCTGGATTGTATGTATTACCAGGACCATTCCATACTAAAACAACAACTGCAGGAATATCATTTTAACTGCCCGTATATTGTCGGATTTATTTGTTAACATCATTCATGTGATGCTCCCACACGTGCTCCCTCTCCAATGCTTTGGAAGCCGTTTATCAATACATTCCTGAGGGTAAGTTCTGTTCAACGTACCTTCCAGGGCAGTGATGAGGCTGGAACAGTTTCCGGATGGATTTCTACACGTCTTCATGCAGTCAACTCCACAAGGTTTGTAGTGCCATTCACATTCACCAGGGTCGTTGTAATAGTCACAGAAGATAGCTGAAATAAATGTATATCTTGATAAAAGTCTGGGTGTGCAACCAATTTAAATCATCTGGCTAAAATAAATTTAGTACAAATTATGAATTCTGTTGCTTAGAATTTCCTTTTGAGATTGTGACCAAACTTACGGCACAGCTTTGGAGTTCTCCAGTGTACACAAGCCCCAGCTTCATTACAAGCTTTGGCATAGGAAGCCACAGCAGTACAGAGACATTCACAGTCCCCACCGGTGTCACAAGCACAAGAGTCTCTCACACAAGAGTCATAATATGGACCAGGGTCAACCTGAAACACACAATGGGGTACTCTTCATAAGGAATATAAGTTGAAGGAAACACAAAAGTTTGCAGTCTTAGTAGCAACGGTGGTATTGGTAAAAAAAACTATGTTATCACACTGTATTTTTGGTACTAATACAAATATTACAGGCTGATATGCAGTTTTAGATATCTTGCTTTTAGCGCTGGGGACGTTAACACGCTATCAATGTGACAAAGTAGCAATCCATTATCACCAACAATAATTTTTTAAGAGCATTTCCACCTTTCCCAATTTTCATATTACCCAAGATAATTGAGAAAGGTACTACACTTTTAAATTTTCAAACCAGACGGCGTAGTTGATAAAAGCAAAATAATTTTTTTACATAAGTATCTTATCACCGGAGTAGTACGAGCCTGAAGTACTGAACTACAACCCTGACTTCACCATATAAAATGTACTTTTCTTTTGCTGGTCATATTGTTCAGAAGAAAGAGAAAGAAGAGTTTTTTTGTGTCTTAGCATGTAGCTTGGTGCAGAGGAGTAAGAAAATATAAAGTCGGAGGAATGGATTAAAAAAGTGGACGTTAAAAGTTAACTTTGTCATTGTGTAACTGCTAAACCTGCATCACTAGAAAGTGTTTGTTTTTCTTTGACTCAGATTCCAAAGAAATCCACAGTCTTTACAGGACAAGTCCTTTTTTGTGCTAAACCACTGTACCTCACTCCAACTTAATAGTGAACATATGCTGCACTATGCCCTGATAAAAGAGTAATGTTTCTTCTGGTACCTAATTATAAACAAAAGAAAACCGATTTATATACTGTATGTTAACTTGCTATTGTATTGTTCTGATAACATTATATGAAAATAAAACTGTGCAATACACTGTTTTCTCATTTATTATTGAATTTTGTGTATAATGTAAGAAATTGCTGTCAGTCACAGAAAAATCATGGAATTAATCAAGTTAAAAATGTTCATCTTTGCACTAGCACTACTTGCTTTAGACCGTTGTTTTGATATAATAAAAACATATTTTTTTTGCTTTATTAAAAATACATTTTATAGTAGTCAATATTTGTGTTTTTGAAACATGGAATATACCCAGTAATATCTGTTAAATAAGATATCTTCGCAAATTATATGCTTTCCTGAATGTCCTCTCCACCTGTCTGCATGTCTCAGCTGGGCTGGGGCCAGGCCCAAAAGAGGTGGGTCTAAGAAGCAGTTCAGCCAATCAATCATTTCAGCGTCCTAAAATAGATTCAGCCTTGGGCCGTTGTAGGGCTAGCCCCAAGCTGCGCTCGTGCCAAGGACACTCTTGCAAGGCACCGTTTTAACAACATAACAATGGCAACTACGAGCAGTATCCTTCCAAGAAGACCCAACCCGAACCCGGTACATTCTCTTCTTCAACACCTATTTGAGAGAAGAACTTTGCTGGAGAAACTAGAGGTACAATTTTTTGCATGAATCAGACTGGGTGTTGTTTGCTGAAACTTGTTTGGCTGGCCCTACCAAAAGAAATTTCCATCAGCCTGGGTACACATGTGCGCTGAGTATGATACCATCACCGTAGTTACCTGTGAATGACAGCTCTTGAAGGTGTCCCTGATGATGATGCTACACTGCCTCTGGGACCAGGCTGCCCGGTAGCGGTTAGAGGCACAGGCATCAGTGAGCACTTTGGCATTTGGGCAGCTGGATGAAACTTTCCAACTGTTACCAAATACTAGAACGTCGGCCACGGTCTCCTCAGAGCGTGTGGTGAACTCATTCTTACTGTTGCCGTCGTAGTTTCCACACAGACCACAGACTTGACCCTGAAAGGGGGATTCCAATTACAGGTTGTTTCTTTATGTCATGACAGTAATCCAGAATGTATGAATTTAGCTAACCAATTTGCTTTGTGCAAAAGCATATTATCTTTCAAGACATGGAGAAAATTGTTTACCTGGAACCGTGGGTCAAGTTTAATGAAAAGACTGGTCTTCTTGTCCCACATGATCACAAGACCCGGCTTGATCATCACCACAAGGTAAATACCCATCTTATGTATCTGACCAGGGAGCACCTGGCCGCTGCCCTTTACCATTTGGAAGGTCTCGTCTTTAAGTTGGTATTCATTATCCTGTGGGCATCAACATCGAATAAACACGCATCACTGCAACAGCTAAGGGAGGTGGGACAAGTAATCTGTTACTTATTAAGTTATGTATGTCTAGGTTTCTTTCTGTAGTATTACATTAAGAGTTGCATGCTGTAAATGAAAATGAAAAAAATGAAAAGCAACTGCTTTATTGTTTTCAAAGGAACAGATTCAAATTGACTAAATGTCAAAAGCAAGGCCACATTTGACATGTGATAGTGTCATTGGATGGGAATGTATTGTTGAGGCTGCAGAGTGGTCATCAGCACCATACCATTAACTACAGGATGACATTCTATCATCTTTAATGTGAGCCTCAAACTATGCAGAAAAACATGCTTAAGTAACCTTGCCGAACCGTAACAGTTTAGTCTGACACTAATCTGGTGTTTGGGACAGAACATGTGCACAGTGTACTTGGGTTATATTTACCCTCAGGAAGATCTGGATGGTCTTGGAGCAGGTGGCTCCTGTGGTCCCACATGGAACATTCTCAGTGATAATCCGGAAGCTTCCATTGCTCTGACTGGTGCCACAATAGTCCTGAGTAAAATATAGATAAAATATAGGTAAAATATAAATATATATGTCCAAATATTGGACAGTAAATTGTGAATTCTTCATGAAATCGAACCACATTACCAGTTACTTATCTGTAATATCCTTCAATCGTCATTCAATTATTCCCATTCTCTAATAACCCCTCTACAGCAGTTTGTACTGTTGCTGGCGGGCTCCGTTCCCATGCTGGATTCAGATTGCTATTTCCTTGATATCCGCCTCGCTGTTTACTGCTCATTTTTCTATGACTGTACGAGAGCTGGATTAACCGACTTCTAATTTTCTGTTAGTGCTTTGTATTTTGCGTACAACTGAAGACACTCTGGATAGTTTGCATTGTGCAACACACAACACTGACTTTGGATAATTGTTTTGTCAATGAATGATTCAAAGTAAGAGAACAAGACAGATAAGCTACAGTACAGGGAGCTATATGGAGAGCTGCAGACAACATGCTGCACACCTCCAACTCCTAAGCAAGGTTCGCAATTTAAGGTGTCCTACTGTTTAAAAAGCACTTTACGTGTACCTTCCATTTACCATAAGGAACTTATTGCTTTTTGTTTACTACACAATAGGCAGAGCTAATGAAAAAAAAACACATTTGCTGTCCCCATGGAAAATGGCAAAAGGAATATAATTTTATTTCAATAATTCCCTTACCTGAAGGAGTGTGTATTCACAGTCTCCGCTGAAGTCAAACCTCTTATCATCAAATGTGATGTAATGTCCATCGCCATAGATCCCACAAACTCCGTTACACTTATTAGTGGTACATGTGAACTTCCTTCCACTGCAGTAGCTGGGGAAACACACACCAGACACAAACTATCAACCTTGTAATCCTGTCTAGAAAAACACATTGCATTTTAGGAGGTTTGAGGTTTTATCCAGCAAAATTATTAATATTATTAAATACTTAGCTGAGGCTATTTGTGCAAAAATAATAATACAAATAATTCAGAAATCCTTTTTTTATTGTAGGATTTCTGGTTTGGTTTTTCCTGTGTGTGCTCGAGTTAGGGCATGACCAAATGTTTTGTTAGTTTGATCACAGTATTTTGTACAGTCCGTCTGCACTGGTGTCTTTCTTCTCTATTGATATTTACTTTTACTTTTTCATAGATTCATTTTTTTAACTTGCTAAATAATGTTTTTTCAAACCTTATGAGGATTGTGTAATGCATCCTCCATAGAGGAATGCATATTTTGTGCGTTTTCATGCAGGTGCATACTGTATTAGTGTGTGTGTGTGTGTGTGTGTGTGTGTGTGTGTGTGTGTGTGAAGCACTGTACAAACCAGGTGTTGCAGTCCACAGTCAGTGTCTCCCCAGGCTGATATGCGTTTCCATTGTGCAGACATGGACAGCTGGTCTCGTTGATACAGCGTCCTGCTCCATCTGACACCAGGCCATCAGGGCACATGCAGCCAGATATACAGCCTCTACTGACCTGTTGCACAGAAGTGGACCAGCAAAGTTAGCAGCCTTTAAAATGACCAATAAAACATACTCAACATGAATAAAGACAACAGCTGTTTTGCAGAGTTGCCTCTCAAAATTCACAATATTTATTGTCATGTGTACTGTTTAACAGGTTACTCTGTACAATAAAATTCTTATTTTGCTATGCCCTCCTTCCACATAGCTACAGATCTAAAAGAAAAAAAGTACTATCACTACATTCTTTGTGATGCCCTTGAATTCATCAGTGGCACAGAGGTAAGCTGGATGTTAGTTTAGTGTAATTTTAGGAATTAAATTCTGTAATATGCCATACAGGGCTGCATGGCATATTAAATCTACATTACTCTTACGAGGCTCCACGCATTCACAATATGTTACTGCTATGAATCACAGCCAATAGAGTAGCTTCCCCAAGAAAGAAACGACTGATGTTTTCTTCACTATGCTTTCTTTGAGATTAGTGATGTGCACACGCGCATTAAAAGCCTCTCAATCTCTAAAACAAAGTGTTGTGCAAACGCAACCTTTGAATGGATTTACTATCCAATGTGACAATGGTCAAATCATCAAGCAAAGGTGAGAGAGCTTTTGAGAAGACAAATTAAAACCAAATTCCAGCTAATATGCAGCTCCGCCTCCTGTAATCTGGCAGGAGCACGCACATAAACATATAAACATGGATGTGTGTGTTTTTCTTGATTGTCCCAAATGATTTGTGTGTTCGTGTTGCTATGTCTGTGCTGTACTAACACAAGCCATGTCCAGAGTGCTGCAGCTCTTCTGACACTCTGTCCCAGTGGTCCCAGGTTGACCAGTGGAGCAGTCAAAGTAAACCAAGGGGGCACTGCATGATGGCGACGCTGGGTGATGAATAACAAATTCAGAATGAAGAGTATTAGTGAGTATTTGCACAATTCCATCCACACAAAAGCACTCAAACCACTTGTATTGTAGAATCATCTGATTATGTTAGGTCCATGTGGAAACCTACCTAGTAGCATTGTTCGTCCTGAGCAGCTGAGAGCTCCTTCTCGGCAGACACTGTGATAACAGTCATAAGAGTTTATAGTGATCAAATGCTAGTTATACATCCATACATTCAAATCATACATTGTGTAGAGAGAATAAGTTTGAAATCAAACGTACATGTTGTTTACCTCCATTTCTAGCTTTGTTTTCACACATACATGCATCAACTATGATATCTACGGGGATCCTCTCACTTTACGCAAAGCTTGGTCATTATGTCAACATTTCCATGTGTCCAAAACTTTTTTTTATGATTAAAAACAACATTTACATCTTTCTCAGCTTAGCTGCATGTTGTATTTAGTGCAAATCAGCAAATTTGTATGTGCTAACATTCTAAAAGAGAATGATGATAGGGAATACTACAAACGTGGTGTTGTTATTGTGAGCATGTTGCCAACTCAAATATTAGCATATCGAAAGACTTAAACTTTGCAATGACACTTCCTGAAATAACTTGCCCACTTTCCTCCATTTAAAGGTTTAAGTGCAAAGTGTACACAAATGCAACATAAGCTTGATTTGCGACTCACTATAAAGTGAACTGCTGAGTTTATTACATGAACCCATAATGGGCATCTCCTGGCATCGTCACTCTCTGTTTTTACCATGTGGAGCCGTCTTTGCTGATGGTCTGTCCAGGAGGAATAATGGTGTCCTTATCGTAGCAGGGGCAGCTTCCTTCAGGCACACAATTGCCCGCCTCGTTCATGTAGGTTCCCTCGGCACAGCCACAGCCATCAACTGAGGGGAAGCTGGTCTGGCAGGAATAGTCGTGCTGGCTGAGGGAACGGCAGGTACGACCACAGCAGGTCATGTTGTACTCATACACTGCTCCCGCTGGACACGATGCACTGAATGTGCCTAGTGGGGAAGTAGGTTTAGAGTCAAAGCTGAAGATATGTGAGATGGTGCAAATGATTGATGATAATTGCATCCATTCCTATAACAGAAATGATCTAAGGTAATATTATGAAAACCCAGCTTCTTGTTATGCCGCAGTAATACAAAATGGTTGTTTTATTTACCACAGATGGTCTTCCTCCAGCCACTGATGTGGATTCCTGCCGCTGAACAGGCATAGACATATGATGAGACTGCGGCACACATGCAGTCCTCCATTTTCTCACAGCTACAGCTGTCATACATGCAGTTCTGTTGGGAGACACAGGAAGCATGGACATGTTATCAGGGACTAATACTATCATTTATTTCATTGCAGCTTAGTGTGTGCAGACTTACATCATTGTACATGCTGGGGCTAATGACTGAGTGGCAAGGAGCAAACACTCCTTTAGGATCCGTGAGTTTGGAGCACCAGTACTGAGCATAACTCTCTGAGACACAGAAACATACAGAGAGGAAGTAGTTACGTTCTCTGTACCGAAAACACCACGGTCAACACTAAAATGTGGTTTGCCAGAGTTTGGTTCATGGGCTATGCTTTCCTAGGAAATAACAACCATTAGAAAAGGGGAGGGGACAAGACGTTGGAGGGGAGGGGAGCTGTACCCTTGGTGATGCTTTGTTGACAGGGATTTCCAAAGCGCGTTGTGATGTCGGGGCAGCTGGCTTTAGTTTTCCACGAGTTAGCAAACGCTGCTGCGGTACCCTCCACCAGCCCACTAATCACTCTGAAGTCATCACTCATTATGTTGTTGAAGTTCCCACACAGACCTGTTGGATGACGTGTCACACAGAGACACAGGTATATCTCAAACATGTGTGATGTTTTACAAACAAAAACACATTTTACTGAGTATAACTGCTTGGTTAGGGTTATCTATGGAACAACTGGAGGACATAGAGACCTAATGTCCAGTCATACCAGAGATGTTTCCTTTAAGCGAAGTGTCAGCTGAGATGAAGACTTGCATCACGGGCGACAGCTGGACCATCACGTGAATGCCCAGCTTGAGAGTTATGGTGATGTAGAAGGAGGATGGCTTGAAGGCACTCACCTCCGCTGCAGGAGGCAGAAGACAGTGAAAAAAATGAAAGCCCCTTAACTTTAAAGCATGAATATAAATATATATTTTTATTATTAATATTAGTATAAATAATAACTTATTGCATTTGTTTTTCTGCTTTTTATTCTGAACTAAATTGATTGGGGCCATAAAGATTGATATATAAGGATATAGGAAATAATACCACGGGTTTGTTGAGACCTTTTCACTTTAAGAAGTGAGCTGTGTGTCGTGACTCACGTGTAAACAGTGGAAGCTGAGAGAGAATGTGATTCACGTAGACCTGCCCGGTTCCCTGAATGTTAATAACCTGAGAGATGCAAAGACACATTTTTGATGACATAAAACATCAGTTTACCATATTTATTTCCATAAGGCAATTTGATATACTCATCATATTGTCATCAAAACTGCACTACCACACAGACTCGGAACAAATTACATGCAAAATATAAAATTAGTCACAAGTGCGACACAAATCTGTTTAACAGTGTGTATCCTACCAAAGAATTGCTGTATAGACTCAGAGTTACAGCTCTCAGGCAGGTCATTCTGTCATCCAGACTGCACTTGACCAGTTCACCCAGCACAGTGTATAAGAAGCCATCACTTTCCTGCAACACACATTGGGACTTTATTAACCACTGACAGGGGAACTGCTGGTGAAATAAGACAAATAACACATGATAAAAAAGTCTTGCCAACCATAAACAGGATCTGGTTATTGGAAAACTCAAGTTTTGCTGGGTTTAAACATACATTCATTACATAGCATCATGCATCATGACGATGTATCCGTCAGCCTTTATGTCTAGTTATCAAGCCCTTTCCCATCAGATGCTGTAAGTCCAGTGTGTAGGTCTTGGATACTCGTCACAATGTGAACTACCTTAGCCAGGACGTAGGAGCAGTCCCCGTGGAAGGTGTAGGCCTTTCCATCGAAGGTGTTGATGTGAGCCCCCCCCTCCACAGAGCACATGCCTGGACAGTTCTCCTCCGTGCACCTCCACTGTCCTCTCTCACACACACTGTCAGAACACGCACACACGCGCACGCACACACACACACACACACCAGGGTTATTTTGCAGTAGCAGTGCAATCAATGTTGGAAGTTATTTTAAAGTAATACATGACATATATATTCAGTACATTTGTGTAAATTGGGAACATTCAGTGTTATTAATGATTTCATTCTTTTATGTGAGCAGATTGCTATGAATGATTTAAGATTAATTTGATGGCAAGAGCAGAAAGCTGTTGCAGTCACATATTTTGTATGCATTAGCACTTTAGGGGACTAGGTTTCATATTTCATCTTACCAGGATCTACAGCTGTAAGAGTAGGACTTTCCTGACTGGTAGACTTTGCCGTTGTGCAGACATGGACACTGATCCAGTGCAACACAGCCAGTGTTACTGATGTCATCCAAGACGGTTCCTGAGGAGGAGGGAGAGATAACGATCAGTACTGTCATGAGACACGATCGAGCTTGTGTATGCTTGCATATAGCGTCCACACTGTGGTGTAAATACAATCGCGTGGATACCGGAAGGGCAGTGGCAGCCTGCGTTGTCGTGGCTGTGACACGTCTCGCTGGCATGAGGGGTGGAGCAGCTGTCAGCACATGAGCTGCCATGCTCCACGTACTCCATGTTGTATGGACATTTCATGTCTGTGGAGACAAACACTGCTGATGCACACGAACAAGCAAAAGCACTGCAAGTTGTGTCTGCATGGATCACCACAGATACGTTAAACACATAAAGTGTTAGCGAGCTTACAGCAAAAGGTGGCATTTCTCCACTGAGCCGGCTTTCCGCCTGCGTGGACACACTGTCTGGAGTACTCTGAGATGGTTTGACAGAGGTCCGTGTGGTTGTTGCAAAGATCAGCCATACAGGCTTTGCTGAAGGATTTCACATCCAGAAGGTTCTGGCAACTACTGAAAGAAGCTCCGGAGAAGATCTGGTCACAGTATTGCTGAAAAGAAAAAAGTTAATGGGCTGTAAATCTCTTTAACACTACATCTCGTCATTCACCCTTTCCCGTAAAGCTGATCAACCGGTATACCACCCCGCCCCACATTCACACACTGATGCTTGTGCTTTCAAAATCTGTCTGGAAAGAAGATTCATTCACAAATTAATTATTCAACAAAAGAGAACACTGCTTTATTATATAAATTCTACCATTCCGCTGTTATTAGGATCATTAATGTAGCGTTAATTAATGAATGTATGTATGTTTCACACGAACCTGCTGAACTGTGTTGACATGACAATTAGGTATACCATTTAACATTATTAGGCAGTATTTGCTTTTGTTAAATAGTTTAAAATATTGTCATGTGCTGGTTTACACACCCTGTTTATAGAACAGACTTACTGCACATTTGTAATATGGTGTTTCAATTATTTCATAGGTTTTAGATATACACATCTACTTTTTATCAGTAAAATAAAACTAAATATAAAGTGTGTTCAATAAAATATTGATTTGTTGCCGTATTTAATTGTTAACTAATGACTATAAAATGAATACGTGAAACACTCTTAAGTGTAAAGCGGATTAGACTGCATAGCTTTAACTCTCCGTTAGATTATTGTCAGAATATTTCCACACATCATCATGTGGAAAATGTAAAAGAAACTCCTCCATATTGAAATGGTACATTTTTCATTTTTGTTAGTTCTTTCCAGAGACACACATAAGAAACATGGGGCATCTCATCAGTGTTATATACATAAAGTTACCTTATTGCCACAGCTCAGGACTGAGTTGAGGGCAGGTTCCTTACAACTCTCTGTGGGATTATCCACCTTGTTGATTTCAGCATAATCTGTAACTGACAGCTCAGCTCCTACAGCCAATCCACCACAACAGCAAAGCTTGTGATTATTAGAGCAGGTTTGTAGTACAGGCTGAACCTACAATATAAGCATCAATTGAGGCATTCACGCTGAAGAGGGACCTTACCTTGTTTCATGAAATCATTAGGAATGCCGTCAAAGTTTCCACAAAGTCCACAGGTCTGGTTCTGGTATTTTTTATCCATTTCAATCTGTGAACAAAACAAACAGTTGCTATTAGTTAGTTAGTGTACCCTTTATCTTTCAGAGCAGGTTGGTATAATGTCAACATGTTATGGATGAAGATGTGTTGCGTTTTGGAATATGAGTGAGTCATTCTCATGTGTCGTGTGTGAGTTCTGCTCTGGACTCTTTAGCTGTGTTTGTTTTGGAGTGTTATTAGTACAACTTTGATTTTCAGCTGGTGCTTGACCTGTGGTTTACGTTTGTTTGATACGCTACATTTGCATTGTGGCTCTCAAGCTTTGCTTATTTTATTGTTTACATATTGCCACATATCCCACAAACTCTCCCAGTGACTCACTGCTGCTATGCAGTCGTACCTTGATCAAACTTTTCTCCCAGTTACAGAGGAAAGGAAACCTGCTTTCTTCAGTAACTGGGAGAAGCCTCACCTCCCAGTTACTGAGGAAAGGAGGTTACTTTGTTTTGTGCAGTTTAATGAACTCCAGGTGAGATCACAGAGGAAGAACTCATTTGAATGCAATGGCTTTTATAAAAAATGTTGTGTTGAATTGTGATTTGTCAGATATTTTCTTTAAACCCTGGAAGTCACGGCTTCTTAGACATTAATTATCATCATTCTTGAAGACCCTACATTCAGACATGCACGACAGCAACGTGATACTTGTAAATGCCCCTAGATAAGAAGTCATAGCCGTATTGTTAAGCATGTGTTTGTTGCACGTTATGTACGTGCACACAACAAGTCTTCAGGAAGAGTCTGAGTTGTTTGAGGCTTGCTGACAATGTGTTTCAAACTCCAGGACCCGATCACAAACAGGACAGACGTGTGTACATTTGACAGGGTGGGCTACATACATCCAGGGAGTCGTCCAGGTTCCAGATAAGTTTAATTCCCAGTTTAGCCTCCACGGTGATAGCAGATGAGGTTCCCATGACAGCCACCCCCAATAACACGTATGGCAGAGACACCCTACAGCAGATACAGAGAGTTAGTGTGAAGATAGACACAGAAAGGAACAGCTGATTCACAAAGACAAATAGTACCTTTATGTAATGTGAAGGTCATACAAAATAATCGTAAGTAATTGAAATAGTCAGCGGCATCTAAGGCTATCACCTTAGAGTCTAAAGCTTAGACAGTCCCCAAAACAGAGGAGTTTGTGATTGTGACCTTTAGTGACCTCCTTTAACATTCACCAATTCATTTGATTGAACATTATTATTAACAATATTGATTCATTCAGTTTCCAATCCTTCACTATTTTCCAAAGGGCAGCTGCTTGCACGTCACTTCATTGATTCAATCATTGAAATTGTACAAAGTCTATCCTTTGAGTGAGATCAAATATTTAGACATCCGTGGGATTTAGATATCCTACTTGATTAATAAGATAATGTAAACAATGAAATGCAACACTTTGAATACTTGATACCACTCACTGATACTGATACTTATACAAATGTAATAACAACAGATCTGGTACGGGTTGATACGGGTATCCAACGATACGTGTCTCCTCGGTTGCGAGTACACACAGCTGGGAGTCACTATCTCTATATATCTCTGAGAGTGCACGTGATGATATTACACGAGTGACATGTGAGTGGTGCATAGTGTATGATATTACAGCTGTTGTTCTCTTTTGATTGGGATAATATTTCTACACGCACAACATACTCTCCCGAGATAGTTGAGTGATAAAGTATATACATACACTCAGGATATACAGTATACACAGAGACTCTTTGTATAGACGCATATGACTCACTTACTCTCAAAGATATATGAGTGTGTATCACTGTGTAGAGCCCCGAGAGACAGATGATATCTATGACACGAAAAATATGTATTAACAGAGAGAGTAAGATATACACACAGCTTTTTTTTTTTTTATCTCACACCTCCATCTTGTCTGGCAGACTGAGAGCACGGCTTGAAAAATTCTATTTTTGTTTTTATATATATATATATACATATATATATATTTATATATATATTTATATATATATATATATATATATATATATATATATATATATATATATATATATATATATATATATATATATAATATAATAATAATATATATATATATAATATTCTAATAATAATCACATGTATATATGTGATTATAGCAACAACAACTAAAATTGCACGTTATGGTGTAACATGGGACAGTGTCAAAGGGATTCATGACTGAACTGGACTGAACTTACGCCTTGTCATTGACAGTCACTGAGCTCTTGGAGAGCCTCACCACTATTCCCTCAAGCACCATGGTGATGTTGCTGATGGTGGAGACATTGTTGACTGTTTTACGCCTCATCTGGATGTTGAAATCTTCGTGGTTCTTACACTGGTAGGCCATGACATGGTTACAACTGGAGGCCAGCTGGAAGTAATTTCCATCAAAGGTCTTCCAGTGATATTGTCCCCAAGTCGTGCAAACTTGGCCGATGTGATTTGCATCAACTAAAACAAGATATGAACATATTAATTCATCTTTTTCGCGGACATAAAAAGTTGAGCAAAAAGCTATTATGTGAATTTGCAGTTACCTGAACTCAGACTTAGTGTCTGTGCAGAAGGAATGATGGTTACTGTAGTAAAGACAAGAAATTATTGTTTTTTTGTTTAGAAATCTCCAACTGCATCTGTCAGATGTTCTGTATCAGCTGGTTCTCACACTACAACAGCGGCATGTCTAGGACACCCCTGAGATCTGAATGGTCACCCTATTATTCTCTATACGCCATCTGCCGGGGTCCAAAGCAGTACTGTGGTTTGACTAATTAGACCCTGTTTTGTTACTTTTGTTGACACTTTATACTGTGACAGTATATTGTATTTTTGTCTTAACAACCATCCAAACAGAAATGATTTATATATATATATATATATATATATATATATATATATATATATATATATATATATATATATATAAATCATTTCTGTATATATATATGATATAAAAAATAGATCTTGGTCTGTTTTGCAAGAGCCAGGTAGTAGCATTTGCACAACTGTGTCAATTAAATATTTTGGTCTATTTAACATGTCAATTTTAAAATAACAGCAATGTAATGAAGAGTAAGATATTGTAATCTTAATAGTTAAAGTCCTTGTGAGTCGTGAAGAAGAAATGTTGAATTAATTCAGACTGCACCAGTCCGTGTCTCACTTAGGCCAGTCAAGACTTCCCAGCCAAGTCTTCCCTCTAATGCCATTGTACGCTATATAATCAAACAGAATTATGAAGGATATGTAGAAGTTTTTCAAAACAAGTAGTAAAATACATCAATTAAAAAAACAAACATGTTTTCTTTCCTTCAGCCTACACCAATCTGATCTTCTGCTAACACCAACCAATCATATTGTATCCAATATGTTGAAGCTGTACGCATTCTTCAGGGCATCACTCACCAGTCTGAGCAAATGAGCCAACCAACAGGTTCAGGCAGATGAGCCATAACGTGGAGTGAAGTCCTGTGGTCCCCATGTTTGGCCCGAGGACTGAACAACTATGAGAGTGCTCACCTGGAGGGCAATTCCCTATATAAGCAGATTTAGTAAAGGGGGAGAGAGAGAGAGAGACAGAGAGAGAGAGAGAGAGAGAGGGAGAAAGAGAGGGAGAGTGTGTGTGTGAAAGGCAGTTCCCGGTTTGTATATCTTCTGTGTGGTTGTCATTTACATACAGAAAAAATACCTGACAGCGCACACAGATTGTTAAATATTTTAATAGTATTTTTGTTTGCTCAGCAAATATCACTGCGTCAATGAGCTTGTTCACCCAATATGGTAAAAGTGCTTTGTTGTTGTTCTTGTATTGTAAATTTCTATTTTTCTGAAAATGTGGGGTTCTTTCCGCACACACCCTCGTGTTCCTTTGTCTTTCCCAAAGGAATGGTTCGAAGTGCCATTTTCTGATTGAAGGACAACTCTGCTCTTCCATTAAGCCATAGCCCCCCAAGCATGATGGGTTAAAAGGCTGGATAAAATGGAACCTTTCTGAAGTCACACAGTTGTTTGCTTAGATTTTACATGACAGACGTTTTGTAAAATATATAAAAAATAAGGATAATTCTATTCTATTCATACAATTACGTCTGACATAATACTTCAAGACATGTACATAGATTGCATGAGTTTGACTCTTACCAAAACCACTTTGTTTTCAGGAGACCTGCTTTTGATCAATTATCTGGATTGTGCAGGTAGCAGTTAGTCGGTCCACGAGCTGATTCCCCGCTCCACTAGTCCATGTCCATGGGCAAATCACTTAACATAGGAATGTGTGTGAGGGGGGCTTAATCACATGTAAAATATAGAAAGATACTGTACATGTGTAATAAAACAGTGGCTAATCTTAAGAGTCGGGAACTGCGCGCTCTGGTCTCTGAGTCCATTCATAATGACACAATTGTCATTATAATTATGGACACAGCTGAGGTGCGATTGGGTGCATCAGATCACAGTTGCATTCTAAAGGCCAGTAGAACCAAGGCCATTGTATCTGTATTAGTCATCTAGCAACACTTACAAAAATGAAGCGCTGTAATCCCCTCCCAAATTATTTTGTATCTTTTTCACTTAATCATTAACAAGTAATTGGGAATACTGCCAAAGCCCAGCCAGGTCAGGAGGGGCAGTGGATAGGTCCAACAAACCTCATCATTGCCACTCGTGTTCTATTTGAATTGAGAACTCAACTTTGTTTCACAGGTCACAAAATATGCGACACATACGTTTTTCCAGTAGTTGCTCAACCAACCGTTTGTGAAACTAAATGTTGAGGGGCTTTAGGGGGTAAAAGAAAGTCACCAACAGCGCCACTTGGGGAAAACGAGCCCAGGAAATATCAGTTTAACAACCTTAAGGCAAGTGCTTAGGGCATGCAGTTTAGACACTAAGATTGAGACTGAGACGTGACTGCAATAATTAAACATACGGTTTTATTAAAGAACAAAAGAAAATAATGAAGTTTGCAGGGACAGGAGCTTCAAGGGAGGGAATAATATTACTGGACAAAGGAAAATCAGCAAAAACAGGGATGTTAAAGAATCCTTTATTTATCCAAAAGCACTAAAAATACCTGTTATTCTCTAAAAAAAAATTATGTCCAACATGAACTCAATACAGGGTCTAAGTAGAGGCCACTGGCAGGGAGGAAGACTACACTTGCTACTGGTACATCACATGTGGTGCAACACAACACAACGACAAAGCAGTCATGCAACAGGTGAAGGAACCTCACCTCAGGTGCTTAGCTTCCAAACATTGGCGCTAAAACCCTAAACCCTAAAGAAAACACAACTAAAAAACAGGTTTAAGACAGGAAACAAAACAAAGCCAATTAGAGAACCAAGCAAAACCCAGGACAGCAAAACAGGGTGCAGTACACAAGCCCTAATTAGGAGATCGGTGCCAGCTTTAACAACCTCACCAAACAAGCAAAGTAGTTTTGTAATCTAAGCCCAACTTAAAAGATGTATGGGAGAACTGGTGCTAAAAGGTGTTGCTTGTTTTCTTAAAAAAAAGAGGAATATAATTCAAAAGATATAATGTGTATTATATGTATGTATGTCATATTATACTTGGAGCCACAAGATTGGATCTGCCAACTGGTAACAGAACTACTTGGCAAGGTTTTGGGAGAGATCAGGGGCATGGGAAAAGAAGTAATAGTAGTACAGGGGATGTTAATGGCATTCTACTGTACTATTGGTAGCTGTAAAATGACATGCTTCCGCCTGTTGTTTCATCCCCCCCTAAAATCCGACAGCGTTACACATTTTGCTACCTCATCCTCCCAAAGGCAGTTGGTTTACTGACTATAACAAAGCAATACAACGCTTGAAAGGTCACCAGGCAGGTGCTTTCAACGTCACCACCTCTGTTTATTGAAATAAGCCATGACCTTTGGGATAAAAACTAACAACACTAATGACTCACAACCTGGTGAACAAGATTTCAGATCCAACCCAAACAACCTTACTTCCCGATATTCTTTTGGCCACTGTGAATGCTGATGCACGCTAAAGATTTTTATTTGTTATTTGTTAAATGAAGGAATAATAACAGGTGTGAGCTCTGAATGCTTTCTATTTTACATATAAATCAAGACAACTTGGCTAGATTACTGAATTGTCCTATTGGGCATAGGGTGAGCCTGAGCCTCTAGGATTTAATATCTCTTTTTGGGAGTCAAAGGGTCCAAAACTCCTTCTCAAAACCAAGATCAGTTTGATGAGGTACAGAGAAAAAAGAGTTGTCTTTTTACAGATATCTTGAGCTGGAAAAGGAGCTTTGGGTCCAAAAGCCCACCCCTGAAGCCTAAAAGAGCATCCGTGTATTTATGTAGCCATCCAAGCAGGGACTAAAAAGAGACACTATTTTTTCTCTCAATATGATGCTTCAATTACTAATGGACATCAAACTCTACATCAGAAAATAACAATTGATACTTTTAGCTACCAAGCAGAAACTGAAAAAGGAATGAAAGGCGTATTCAGTGTGTAAGAAGTGTCAATATGCAGCGGTCCGCACCCCAGCTGTAGAAATTGAACACAATATGCTACATTGTTCAGATGTAAACATGGCGTGGGTTGTCTAAGAAGTAATGACGGGATGTTTGGTTTGTGTTGATGTCGCAGGCCTGCTTAAATAATCCACAGTGAGTCAGTCCAGGATATGCATCCTGTGGTACATCTTTGATAAAACCTCTGCTCAGTTTTTTTAACTGAAGTGTTTGTGTCATGTCAATAAAGACTTATGTAACATCAATAGGCCTTGAAATATATTGCAAAATAACTTCTATTTAGAGGTCAAATTACTTTAGTTTAGAATGTGTTTGAACTTTCAAATGACCATCTAGATGAATAATTTTAACAACATATATTTGAAATGAATTTAGTCAGATGAAACTGTTCATATTCCTGTGCATCCGCTTAAAATGTTGGGCTGATATCGTTCAGACTGCCGTGAAAATCTAACTTTTATTTTCAACTTTCACTTAAATCTTTTTAGCATCACGCGTCAACTTTATATTCATTTTTCTGTTGTCTGTTCACATAATGCCACTGTAGATTTTTTTTTTGCACTGGACAACAATTAATTGCATGTTTCACTACAATTAATTGGAATAAATCAATAATCTATCTATAAATAAATGTTTCCAGCCACCATCAAAGTACATATGCACAGAGAAATCACATCCTTAAAGTATAACAGGGTTTATTAACTTAAATGAATACTAATCAGATCAATACCATTTGAAATCAACAAAAGCTATAATACAATATTACAATATCTAAACAAAAAATAAAAACCTTAAGTCATGGATGTGGAGGGGGAGTAGTGTGTGAGTGTGTGCGTGGGTGAGTGTGTGTGTGTGTGTCTCTGAGATGAGGAGGGTAAGCCGTGGGTGACGAAGGGACTAGCTGGAAACTAATCTACTGATCACATGGCAGGCCATGTGTGGCTCCGTGCTGGCCGAGGTGCAGCTAAGAGGCCATGTTTGTTCACCACCTGCGTTCCTCGCATAGTTAAACCTCAGTCTGTAAGTAAATCGCTATGTGTGTGTGGGGACAGGTGCATTGTTTAGTTTCACAGTGTGGGTTTATTTCCTGTTTTATTTTGCAGTTTCCTGCCTCGTTGTACCTGGGTTAGTTTCACTTCCTGCCCTGTCGTTTTACCGCCGTCATTGTCTATCGTAGTCTAATTGTTTCCACCTGTGTCCATTCACCTGCACCTTCCCAGTGTATTTAAACCATTTGTGTCTTTTGTCGGTTCCTAACCCTAACCCTAACCCACATCCAAAGAAACTAAAAACTAAAAAAGACTCCTAACCAAAGCAGATCTTAACTGCCACAGTGAGAAACGTGAGCGGTCATCAAACCGTTGCCCAGTTCATAAACATATACAATTGCTTGTTAAACAATGCAGTAAGCATCAAAACAAAAATAACTACACATGCTAATCTAACTTCTGCCCAGACATGGCCTTAAAGTGCATTTATGGTGTTTGCTATGTTTCAAGTCTTATTTAAAACCTTAAACAGTTTTCACTTCGTCATGATGGGTTGTCGTGTGTAGAATGTTGAGGAAAATAATTAATTTAATCCATTTTGGAATAAGGCTGTAACATAACAAAATGTGTAAATATTGAAGCGCTGTGAATACTTTCCGGATGCACTGTGTTTTCACAGAAGAAAACAAAGAAACACACAACAAAGTGTCAAGAGGAGCGCCAGCATACCGACAAAAATATTCTCTCGCTTTACCTTACTCGATGACGGGAGACAGCCAGGGTTGTTTTTGAATGAAATTAAATGCGTCTGTTTCGTAAGCAAGGATCGCTATCTAGCATTAGTATTAGTTCTCCGTTTGTTCCTGCGGTCGACCGCTCATGTTTTTTTTATCAGTGGTAGGCGATCTGCTTTCACAATTAACTGACCGTTGATTTTTGGGAGGAGGGGAAGGGCTGTGCGAGTCCTAGCACCATGCTGCCTATTTCGGCCTATTTCCAATTCTT